CAACTGCTAGCTTTGTAGCAGAAAAACACTAAATTAACCTTTGTGCGCACAGGTTTTAGCGTTTTAAGATTGCACGGAATGCCGTGACTGACGCTTAAAATACTATTCCTTTCAGTATTTTAGCAAAAGCTGGTGCGTTGCCGTAGCAACGTCTTACAACACTTGCAGTGTTAAATATGCTAGTTATTCCTTCAGAATATTAGCAAACAGGGTGTTATCAGTCTTTGAGTGAAGGTTTCAGTTAGTTACAATAGCCACTGTGAGTTAAAGTCGCTAAATTAGCAGTTAATTTTAGCCTAAAAGGGTTAGTCAGAATTACTTACACGCTGCACCTTTAATGAGAAACTGAATTTTAACCTAAAAGGTTAGCCAGAATTAATTACACGTTGCACCTTTAAGGAAAAACTGAATTTTAACCTAAAAGGTTAGCCAGAATTAATTACACGTTGCACCTTTAAGGAAAAGCTGAATTTTAACCTAAAAGGTTAGCCAGAATTAATTACACGTTGCACCTTTAAGGAAAAACTGAATTTTTAACCTAAAAGGTCAACCAGAATTAATTTACACGTTGCACCTTTAAAGAAGCACTGAGTTACTGGTGAGAGTTCGATGCAGCTTCCTGCTCAGCGAAATCAGCACCACTCTGTTGCTGGTTCAAGGCTGAACAACGGATTATTTTAATTCAAGCTCTTTGGATTTATTTGTTTGTTTGTGCCGGATAGAAATCTCTGTGTATCCAAGCCTCACGCGGGCTGCACCAATAAAATGTTGGGGTTATTAGGAGCGAACAATTAGTAAGCTTCAACTTACTTTTGGATTCTTCAATAAATTCTGTAAATATGGGAATATTTACTGATTTATTAATTAATTAAGATATTCTTAGATATACGGGGCACCATTCCCCTTTTTCCGGGGAAAAATTGAATCCAAAACTCTTATCAGTCTTTCTTGAAGTTCGTAGAATCCTTGGAGCAGAGACTTCTCTTCGACACAACAAAGCTACTGGAGACGAAAATCTGAATTTTATAACGTTTAATTAACAATTTGTCAAATGAATAAACAGTGGCATAAATGAATAATAACCATGTGATATAATAAAAGGATGTATATTCAAAATAATGTTCAAGGTGTTTTGTGTGTATGTAGGATGTATGAATGGGGTCCTTTGTTCTCACAAAGGAGTAGTGTGTGTGCGTGTGTATGGATTCAAAATGGAGTCTTGAATACAAGATGGCTGACTCCTTTGTCTGGCTAAAGTGTGGGTGGCAACTTGCACTTTAACTTCCAAAGCACTTAGAATCAGTAGTAACTTAACCTTAAATCACTCAAAACATTTCAAAGGATCATGCAACAACACAAAAGATTAATCACGAGTTAATATCCTTAGTTTATCAGCCTGGCCATGGCCGAACATTTAAAGATACCAAACAATGATTAATAAGCAGTTTATTCTTTCAAAATGACCCGAAGGACGAATTTGGAACGAAAGAGGAAAACACGAAGCTACTTTTTTTAAGCAATAGCGCGGTTTTATTGCTTATTCTGGACTATAGAGGAAACGGGAGAAGAAAAGAATGAGAGAAAAATGAGTTTTCTGATCACCAAAAGAGCGAGGCGTCCCTCCCCCTTTTGATTTGACGGTTCTCCGTGTTTCTCCGCAGTTTTCAGCGTCATCCGCCGGTTTGATGCTTTCTCCGTTGTTTGGCTCCACGAGTGTTTCTCCACGGCTGGACACAAAGAAAACGAAGTTCCTTTTGGGCTGAGTTTGACAACTTACAGCGTTTCTGAGAGCTGGATGGAGTTGTTGTTTCCCTCCGCTGGTTCTATGTCCTCAAACATCAGCTGGAGGGGAGCAGAAACGAGCAGATCAGCGGTCCCGTGGGCTCAACTTGGCTCTTAGAGCTTCCGCGTGCTCAAAGAAGTCGGAGCGTTCGACAAGCGTGTCCTCACCGCCAGGTATCCTGGGCAAAAGAACGAGGTTTCTCTGTCTCTGCTGAAGATTTATGGTCTTAGTTCGCGGGGAAAGCTCCACGGCTTCCCGCACATGCGCAGAACGTGTTTCTGGTACTAGGCGGTAACATCACCCAATGCTTCCGTGTGCAAAGCATCATGGGAAATGAAGTTTCTTGGCGCTGATGTGATTATTTGCTTTTCAGAGCAATTTAAGCACAGTCATTTTGGAGAAAATCACTGCATAGTAATTTCCTCATGAGGTCAGACCCTCAACAAAAATCATCTCGGAACACAAAAATAATCCCAAAATTCTGTTTTCTACAGTCACAAATATTTTGGGTCGTGAATTTAGTTCTCTCCAGAAAACCCCCTCGGACTCTCTCTGTGAGGAGTTTGCAGCCCACTTCAGAGGGAAGGTAGACACCATCAGACGTAACATTTTTTCCACCCAATGTCATGCTGCTCCCGATCAATCTGAGAGTGTGTGTCTACCTGAGGAAACACTGGACAGTTTTGTCTTGGTTGAAGTTGAGACTATTGATAAAGTTTTCTCCTCAGTGAGGCCTACCACATGTGTTCTGGACCCTATCCCCACAAGGTTTTTTAAACAATTTTATGACTCATTTAGAGATGAGATTTTAACTTTGATGAACTGTTCCCTTCAGACGGGGGTCTTTCCTGCTGCTTTTAAACGGGCGGTGGTCAGACCCCTGTTGAAGAAGAGCAATTTAGATTTTAATGACTTTAACAATTTCCGACCGGTATCCAACTTACCATTTTTAAGCAAAATTTTAGAGAAGCTTGTTTTAATACAACTTAATGATTTTATCAACCACCAACATGTCCTAGAGAAATTTCAGTCTGGTTTTAGGGTGAACCACAGCACTGAGACAGCCCTTCTGAAGATTTTAAATGATTTTAGAACAAATTATGATGCTCGGAGGGCAACAGTGTTGGTTCTGCTGGATCTAAGTGCTGCCTTTGATACAGTAGACCACACTATTCTTTTAACCCGTTTAAAACAGATCGGCCTCTCTGGTGCTGTTCACAGTTGGTTTACTTCCTACCTCACAGACAGGACTTTTATGGTGAGTCTGGATACCTGTTCCTCTGGGGTCCACAGCATCACATGCGGGGTGCCTCAGGGATCAATTCTAGGCCCAGTACTTTTTAACCTCTATATGCTCCCTCTGGGCAGCGTCATCAGGAGACATGGGGTGAATTTCCACAGTTACGCTGATGATACACAGTTGTACATCTCCGTGTCTCCTGATGACTCTCAGCCAATGGAAACACTTTTTAATTGCATTTTAGATATTAAATCATGGATGACTGAAAACTTTCTCCAGCTCAACCAAGGCAAAACTGAAGTTTTAGTCATCGGTCCTGAGGCCCAGAGAGAGAAACTTTTACCTAAACTACAATCAATGTCTTTTTATCCATCACTACAAGTGAAGAATCTGGGTGTTATTTTCGACTCTGAGCTGACTTTTATCCCCCATATTAAAAACATCACAAAAATAGGTTTTTACCATCTTAAGAATATCGCCAGAGTCCGCCCCATTCTCTCTCGGGCCAATACGGAGACGCTAGTGCATGCTTTTGTAACCAGTAGAATTGATTACTGCAATGCCCTGCTTTCTGGTCTTCCCAAAAAGAGCATCTCAGGTTTACAACTCTTACAAAACTCAGCAGCACGTGTCCTGATGAAGACCAGGAAGCGGGAGCACATCACTCCGGTTTTAAAATCACTGCACTGGCTCCCCGTATGTTTCAGGATTGATTTTAAGGTTCTTTTAATGGTTTTTAAGTGTCTTAATGGTCTTGGGCCTTCTTATCTTTCAGAACTGCTTTTACTGTATAAACCCTCGCGGTCTCTGCGCTCCTCTGGCAGCCGTCTCCTAGTTATCCCTAAAGTTAAGACTCACACCCACGGCGAGGCGTCCTTCAAGTACTACGGCCCTCGCCTTTGGAACGGGCTGCCGGAGGACCTCAGGTCCGAAGGGAACATCCAGGCTTTTAAGAATAGGCTCAAGACCCACCTTTTTAGCTTAGCTTTTAACTGATTACTATTTATCTATAAATACATATTTATCTCTCTTATTATTTTTATCATTTTATATACATCTTAGTGTTTTTATATGATTATGTTTTCTTTTACTATCTTTATAATCACTTTTTATCAGTTACTTTTTATCATTATTAGCTTTTATTATTTTATATGTTATATATCTTAAATCCTCCAGTGTTTCCTCTGCGGAGCCCTCTGCCTTGGGGCCGGTGGTCAGGGGCGGCGGCGGCCGGGGCGCTCCCCAGGTAGTGCCCGGGCACTGGTGGGGGTTTCTGCCCTACGCCTCTGGGCGTCATGGGCCGGTGTCTTGGCTGCTGCCGTGGATCTGTTGCTGCCAAGGCAGATGGCTCCGCTGATGATGTGTCGTTCATTACCTGACCCATCTGAACTCAGCCTATTGTTTCCTCTGGTGTTCACGAGTGTGTGTGTGTGTGTGTGCGTGTGTGTGTGTGTGTGTGTGTGCGGGTGATTGTATGTCCACTTTGGAAGTTGGGTGCGGGAGGGGAACTGTAATTTTTAATTGTTTTATACTTGGGGAGGGGGGCTGGGATGGGAATGTGGGATCTATGGGGCCATTTTAATCTGTAAAGCACTTTGAGTTGCATTTTTTGTATGAAAAGTGCTATATAAATAAAGTTGATTTGATTTGATTTGAAGATGCTTGGATCAGATGAAACCCTGCCTTCCCTCCTTCCACAATAGTGCACAGCTGCAGGCCTAATTTAGTCAATGTTTAGTAATTAACTCTTAATCAGACAAATAAATGACCATTAAACAATATATTTATGTCAGCGGTTTCTACTTTTGAGTCTCCTTAGCTACAGCAGCTACTGAAATAAAATAAAAATTGAATTTGTTGTATTAAAGAATCATAGATAGTTTATAAGTAGAGTTAAGTTAGGTATAGTGTAACTGTTTATGAAACACACCTGTTTTGTTTTATCTGAACAGATAAGCTAAAGTTGTTCCTCCACAGGTACACAGCCAGACCTCAGGAAAAGACAGTATTTGCTATTTTACTGGATTGGCCGGATAAAGGATGGGTGATTTTGAATGAACCAGTGGCCACTCAAGGATCCACCAAGGTAATGTTCAGTTATCAGTAGTTCATGCATGAGCAACACGCTCAATGAGAGCGAGAGATGAGCGGTCTTTCTTCTCTCTTACCTGAAACAGGTGGAGCTTCTGGGTTATGGCTCGCTGCAGTGGGAGCCGGCGATGGCCAGCGGGCTGAACATCACCCTGCCTCCACTGTCCTTCAGACAGATGCCATGCCAGTGGGCCTGGACCTTGAAGCTGACAGGTGCCTCCTGAAGGGAAAGCCACATCACATGAACACAAGCTAATGTGTCTGAGTCACTAAACTTCTTATTTGTGTTCAGAAATTGGTTCAATCATGAGAATAATAAAAGCCACACTGTTTTCTGAAACTTGCACTGATGTTCATTTTTTTAATTGTGAAGTAAATACGTTTTTAGGCTCTTTGTGACCATTCATTTAAAACTTGAACTGAGGTTTTATCTTACAGCCAAAAAGCAGCTAAATCTATCTTTTTTTGGTTCTAATTTGCACATTTTAATCAACAGAATCATTCTGCCGGGTTTGGGTTTTTATGTAAAAAACGTTTCTAGCTTACATTTTGATGATTTTTCTCTGTATTTAACGGGATTTAATAGGGTCGCTGTGATTTTGTGTATGAATAATTAAATAAAATAATTTGAATAATTTCTGGCATTTGCATTTTCTTGCTAAAAGTAGTTATTTGTGGTGTTTCTCTTCGGTTTTGTTGCTCTCTGGTGCCCCCTTCTGTGGGGTCTAGAACAGCATCCCAATTGTGTGGGACATTTTACAGCAGCCTGGATCTAAACGGAGCGGTGCACCCCTGCTGTGCACAGATGACCCAGCAAAACAACACTCTCCCTAAAGCTCCTCTTAAACACAGCCGTGGAAAGGCTGGCTGCACACGGTGGACGGTAAGTTTTTGCTTCCTGCTCTTTCTTTCGATAAAAATCCATCTTCTGAGCCTCCACCGACCTTCGGCAGCTGCGATAACGCAGCGGAGATGGTGCACCCGGTGGAGGGTCGATCACACTGTTGTGTCTGCTCTCTGCTGCGCGCCTTTAAGGTGGGAGGTCCCTGTACTGCAAATGTTCCATGACGTGCAGATGGGGGGTTTGCAAGGGGTTTTCACGTCCATGCAGTTACCTCCGATCCCCTCCTCCCGTCCATGCCTCCCTCTCTCCCTCCGTCCTCCAGCAGGCTTTCCCCAGCGCGTGACTGCTGATCCCCCCCCCCCCCCCCCCCCCAAACAAACGGCAAGCTGGGAGGATGCAGATCATGTGAAGACAGTTGTGGAAAGGCCTTGGACACATCTGCATTCAGTCCGTTTGAAAGCTAGGATTTAATTAACATTTGAAATATAAAACTGCTTTATAAAAGAATATTTACAGGATTGCATTTTCTCTTGAGATTTGAAACGAAGTGAGGTTGTTATGAGCATTTATTACCAGACCTGCTGTTAAACAGTCTGGAGGTTATTTTAATCAGACAACTGAGCGGGACCAGGAGAAATTCAAATATCTAACAAATGAATGGCAGCATGTGTCATGGCCAGTAGCCATTTTAAATGTTACAAAATGTAAGAACGGTGCAGCGAAATAATCACAAAACAGTCTAATGTCTCAATCTTGTTGGAAGGAATGCTACATTAAAACAGATTTCCTTCTCAGACAGATGGGGGTTGTCAGTTTTTCTCTTTAAAAAAAACAAAAGAGGGACATAGTCTTTGTTTACAGTCTATGAGCCCGCGGGGTTGCCAAGTCTGCGCCAGCTAATGCTGTGAGCATTCGTAATTTAACACTGGCCGGTAAAACGCTACAGCTTTTTGAAAGCATCCTAACCCCGAATCCACGCTGGAGGCATCAGCGGCAAAGAGCAGCAGCGGGACGGTTTAATTGTAGGCTTTGTGGCATGTCAATCCACACCAAGGGCATCTCCACCGTCGTCGTTGCTGGACTCACGAGTAGAGGTTGAGCATTTATTGTTTTTTTATTGCTGATATGATGCCGATATGTAAATGGTAAATGGCCTGTATTTGATATAGCGCCTTCTAGTGTACTGGAAACCCCCAAGGCGCTTTACAACACAACCAGTCATTCACACATTCACACACTGATGGTGATGGGCTACAATGTAGCTACAGCTGCCCTGGGGTGCACTGACAGAGGCGAGGCTGCTGAGCACAGGCACCACCGGTCCCTCCGACCACCACCAGCAGGCAACGTGGGTTAAGTGTCTTGCCCAAGGACACAACAACAGCGACAGACTGAGCGGGGCTCGAACCTGCAACCTTCCGGTTACGGGGCGAGCACTTAACTCCTGTGCCACCGTCACCCAGGAGACATATTGTCAGTATTAACTACTGATCAGGGCTGGGCAAAAAAATCAAAAATGTATTGTTATCAAAATTTCTGACACTTATTGAGAGAATTTTTCCCATGTTAATAGATTTGATGATTAAAAACGAAAGGTGTGTGTAGGTCGGCAACATTTATGTCCCTTTAAGAAGCAGTACCTCTTTGAGTCATGTAAAAACTGACTCAACGTAATACGCGTGACAGCCCCGTCTAGTGGACAACTTTTGTTTCTGCGCATACCTGTAGTTATCATCCATTTATCGTTATAGAGGTGAAATCCTCAATATATCGTGATATTGGTTTTAGGCTGTATCGCCCAGCTCTATCGCCCAGCTCTACTACTGATGATGGTCCATGCACAAAATTGCATCTCTGCAATAGTCTTATTTGAAAGGTACTGGACATTTTACACCGATACCATATGTGATTTCTTGTATCTCTATGTTAGCTGCGGAAATGTACGCATCTCGGGAGCGGCTTGCAGCAAAAATAGAACCCAATCCTATTTTAACAGCGTGGCGAGATGCTTCTGGGATACGCCTGAAACGATCTATGCTGCAGCTGGTGTGGATCAACCCATGAATATAATGGATTCTATTTGAAGCAGTTATTCCAGTGTCGTTCCGTGCCGCTGATGCCTCCAGTGTGGATTAGCATTAACCCGGCTGCACACCGAAAGTATCCCCGGCGCGGAACGGTTTACTCGCTGCAATCACTGCACTCAAGTGCACACTGGGAGAGTCTCAGCAGCGAAGCGGCTTCTCTGCTGTGCTTCTCGCTTGACTCATGAGATCACAAGATGGCTTAAGACTTCAAAGGTTATGGTTTGTTTATGCCATCCGCTATTAAACCAAAAAGAAGGAAATCACATTGTTATTGCTGTTTGATATCACTGCCAGGAATAAAGCAGTGGTTTTTCACTGCTGCACTTCTGGAACGAGGATGTGAGTAAATAAGCCGTTGGGTCACATACGTAAGCCAGTAAACAGGAGTGACCCAGAAGTTATTTCTTGTACCCTTAAGAAGCCACAGCATCCTTTACTTTTACTATAATATTGGGTAAAGACCAACGCTGAGCTAACAATGCTAATGGTGAATTAGAAGCAGATTGTCCACTTTTCAAAATCTCTACAGATTTGCAGATAATTTTCTACAAAATATCAAATACTTTGATGTAAGAATGTGACTTGGGAGCTGAAACATAACACCCCCTAGTGGCTGGCTGCAGTATACTTTTTAGCCCCGCCCCTTTATGTGAAGGAAATTGGAAACAAATGTTGTCAGTAGGCCTTAAACACTGAAAGTTGGGCTTAGGTTCTATAGACCAATTTAAAAAACTGATTTTTATTTTAGAGGCTGAAGATTATATTTTGGTGCAAGTAGTGTTATTGGAGTCCATTAAGCATTAATATCCGGATGAGTTGGTTAAGCATTCACAACATCTCATTAAACTTTTGCAGGTATTTTTCTTTTTTTGCATGATTTTAATCACAACAAACTCTTGAAGTGACTATTTTTTACATCTATCAGCAGAGGATATGTAATTCTCTCTAGTCACATCTGAATCCCATTGTGCCTGCTTATTTCTCCAGCCTCTGTGCTGTAGTCTGTGGCAGTAATTATATATGTAGACAGGAACTGAGAAACTGTTACAGACGTTGGCGCGGTTGTCATGGAAACACACAATCGTGTCAGATTATTTTCAGGTACTGCTGCGATCAAGGCACGAGTCCGCCTTTCTGAGAGGATGACTTGAGATGGATGAAGGAAGCGGTCGGTGATCAGGCTCAGAGGTGGGGAGGGGTTACGTTTTCTGAATGAACTGATGCATCAGGTGAAACACGGAGGATCCCAAAGGGTTTGGTGCTGCTACGTTTCAGCAGCGGGCTCCAGCTCCTCCTGACAGGGACGTGACCACAGCCAGCAAGGAGGAAAACCTGCATTCCTCCCATTCATGAACATCAAATCAATGCTAATTTAAATATCAGGACACCCGGCCTGTGTGTGTGTGTGTGAGAGAGACGTTCAGTCGTGTGCAAACCTGTGGCAAACCAGAGCCGGTCAGCAGAGCTGCAGTGCAGCTGTGGGTAGTGGAAATGCCAGGCAGCGTGTGGGACATCCTGGGGGACAGACTATTGTATTTATAGAGACAAGAGACTTGACCTTCACTGCACACCGAGTATCTGCCATTTTAGTGCTGCTTCTCTAGACACCGAATACAGCAAGCATAATGGATCTCCGCTGCTCTGCAGTTAGTTAGCTTCAATCTCATCTTTGGCTTGTTAGAGGCTGGATCTAATTATAGCTCCCTCCCTGCAATTCCATACTGTGCAGGGACTGTCAATCGCTAGCATTCGCTAACTTTGCTGTTTCCTGTAGGTAATGTGGTGGGAAATTACAGCTTTCTTGCACAATAGATAAAAGCAGCAATTTGGGCAGGATTTCGTCATTAAGTGCTGTTAGACTCAAGCTTTTGTTCTGATGTGTAGGCTTAAGAATGGGGTCTCTGTTTAAAAACAGCTGAGCCACATCTGCTTCCTACAGAGGTGCCTAGTTGCTCTCACCCAGCAGCTCAGCGTGAATCTGAGGAGGATAAATTATTTATAGATCCATAAATTACACTCTTTTAATAGGCTGAAGTTTACTACAAATGAGGGATTATGAAACAGCTTAACATCAGATTAAATACATTGTTGGGTCTAAAACAGACAAGCATCAGTGCAACTTATGACAGTATTAGCTGGTTTGGAATAGATCACCTGAAATTAAAACTTAGCAGTTTGCACATGCTAATGCTAATGGCACGTGCAAAAACTTGTTTTTTTTATTTATTTTTTGCCATTTTCAAGAATGTTTCTATTTAAAAGTAAAATGATGACTTCTGGAATGGCCTCGGTTGAGGGAAATAGAATTCACGTCCTACACGAATGATAAGCTAAAGGCTAGTGCGGCCCAACTGTCGACAGCTTTGCTTTAAAGAGCAAGTCAACCCCTACCATATTCTAACTCCACTCCCACTTCATGTTTGAAAAATGCAACAAATGCTGTTGCCTGGCAGACCGAGAGGGCAGAGCTGCTAACAAATACACACACAGGCTCAGGACAGCATTGTGACATCATAATGTACCAGATGACATCATAGCATACCTCTTAGCCAATAGCGGTGGCAGATTTAAATTAGAATACAGTGCAGAGTTTTTACCGGACAACGGCACAACTGCCAGTTTTAGGCAGAATATTTAAATTTTAACTAAGATGCACTGAAGTGCCAAATTATTGACGACACGTGTCTGCAGCACGATTAGACACTCGTTTATTTAGTTTATCAGCAAAAAAAAGTTTATTTGGGGGTGACTTGCTCTTTAAATGGTCATTCACATGGAAATCTGTGTTGTTGTAATACAGTTAAAGCAGGAGTAGGGAAGACCCAGAGCACTGGTTCATATATTTTAATATAAATACAGTTGTTGAGCAGATTGGATTAAATGGAGATAAACAAAACAGCAGCAGAAATATCTCATTTCAGAAACAGTGACTTTTACATTTGACAGCGTAACGGTGCACACAGAGGTATCCGTCTTTATAACAGAACTGGAACGCTATCTGAGGAAAGTGCAGCTTGCCTTTGGATTAGAACATGATTAGTTCTGAATTTGTCCTCATGAAGACTTGTAACTAAGTCTTATTTTTATTACTTTGAAATGGCCAAAAAGTCTATTTAAAGTGAAAGAGAATTAAAAAATGGGAAAGGAAATCAAAGATAATCATGTGGCAAATAAACAAAGACAATGAGGCAGTTCTTAGCAGCATGTGTGTCAGAAGCACAGATGCAGATTCGACCTCAAACCAGCAGGTAGGGCCACAGGAGTGAATGAAACTGCATTTTAAGTAAAACAGTCAGTGGAACAAAACTGAATATATATATATATATATATGTATGTATATGTATACAGTAAAAAAATTAAGCAGTCTGTATTCTAATTTCAAATCTACAGTCTGAGATATATGATGTTACGTAAATCCTACTTGGAGGAAGTCTTTAGATTTGATTAATGCAGAGGCTTTGTAACATTGACTTTGTACATCTAATTCAGGATGAGGTTTGCAGCTGCACATAATCTACAGCATTGTCCCAGTTTTTGCTGTGTTAATGACACCCTCATCACGACTCTCCATTCACAAAGCGAATCCTGTCGTTACGGGAAGAACTGGCTCTGAGCGGGCTGTGGGAGTCTCAGAAATCACAGAACAAGACTAATTTTTGCAGCAGCCACACATCCAGACGCACGCTGCCTTTTCATTGAGCTGCTCTCAGCGCGCGCGCTGAATAGGCTACACGCTGTAGGAAAATGTACATTCAGAGGCTGCTGCACCGTGTGATTACGGGCTTTCAGAGTCACTTATGCATCCCTCCTCTTCTGTGCAAATGAAGCCGTGCTCAGGTGTTAAACTGGATAATTATCAGTACCTGAATGGAAGCGTGGAATCATCCAGACCAAACCATTTAAGGTTCAGATCCTGAATGAAGAGCGCTTTTGTAGAATGATGGTGTTTGGCTCTTTGGATCATGACAGCCGCCTCCCCTCGTGTGGAGTGAGGCAGCTGCTGCTGTGCTCCCAAACACAATGAGAGAGAGAGAGAGAGAGAGAGAGAGAGAGAGAGAGAGAGAGAGAGAGAGAGAGAGAGAGAGAGAGAGAGAGAGAGAGAGAGAGAGAGAGAGAGAGAGAGAGAGAGAGAGAGAGAGAGAGAGAGAGAGAGAGAGAGAGAGAGAGAGAGAGAGAGAGAGAGAGAGAGAGAGAGAGAGAGAGAGAGAGAGAGAGAGAGAGAGAGAGAGAGAGAGAGAGAGAGAGAGAGAGAGAGAGAGGGGGGGGGGGGGGGGGTAGAAGCGTCCTTAAACGTGGGCTGTTGTGTAATCCCTCCCAGGGCCCCTTTGCTATTTTTGTGCCTGGGTCCGCACGTCACGGTTGGGTATTTTCTCTGGTGGCTTGCTCGCATCAATAGATCTTCTAATGTACACCCAGTCGGCCAGCAGCTTCACAACTGATGGGACTTAACCTGGCTGGGCTCTTTGTTCTGATCACTACCTGGACATGAGGGGAGTGGAGGACAGGACGCTGCAGGATGAGGAATGTCACATGTGACTGTCGCTATGGAACGAGGGAGTATTCAAATGTCAGGTTAGTATGAGGATTACATTTGATACGTGAATGTCAGCTGCCGGAGCCGAGGCTTCTCTCTCCACCAGGCGTGTGCTTCATGTCACACTCAGATCTCCTCATCTGTGAGAACACCACTCGGGGTTTTACCATCCAGCTTGTCACCTCATGATATTTATGGATTAGTTGTCAGCACGATTCCCCATTCCTGTTCCCTTTAATGGCCAACTTAGCCTCTAATGATGTAATGCGGAGGAGGCATAACGATGCTCTCCATGGCAAGCGTTAGTTTTGCTCATTGTCTTCTCTCATGCAGAATGCAGAGGATTAACATCTTAGTCAAGCATACCCATCCACACGTACATACTGTACCACAGTCATCGTGAAGCACACCTACTGCCGCCCACCTGCCTGCTGTTGTAGCACGTCATTGCTGCTGTGTCATATATTTCTGTAGAGGTGAGCGCTTGTTGCCTGGTGGTATGGGAGAAATATGCAGGAAAATCAAAGAATCTAGACCCGTCAACGAGTGTCTGAGCGAGTCGGTTCGATTCTCTCTGGGGCGTCCGTAGTCAAGAGGCATGCATTGGTTCTGAGGGTCTTATCTCATTGTCACTCTGCACACCTACCCTCTTCTCCTGGCTCACGGAGGATGGAAACTAAGCAATGAGGTCACCTTGAAAGGGAGCTCCCTACCAGGCCTCTGATTATTGTCACCCCCCCGGCACTCCCCTTAGTTTACCTCCCCTTTGAAGCGTGGATCATCCCTGTCAAGCCCACACCTCCACCCCTTGTGTCATCCTTCATCATTTTAGCTGTTTCCTCCCAAGTCAGAAGGTTTTAACAGAAAGCCGAGCCACATAGAAGAAGACAATGAAATTTAGTAAAAACACGCAAGGTAGAAGACCTCTCTGCAGCTGCTTTCAAGCACCTCTCTCCAGAGTCACCTTGGATCCCCATCCTCCAGTTTGTGCTTGAGCAGTGTGTGTATGTGCGTGTGTGATGCTAACAAAGGAACGGGAGAAGAGAGTAGGAGTTGGAGGATGTCCTAATTAAGGGGAACTCAGAGGGTTTGAGCCAGATAATCTTATATAACCTCGTTTGGGAGGACACAGTATGATAGTGAGAAGATGGAAGAGACGTGTCCTCAGGTACCCATCCTTAATGGGGAGAAATCAATTCATGTTAGCCACAGGCATGCAGATGTTTCTCAGGCGTGTTTGCATACAGTGCAGCGTGTGGTCCCGTGCAGCCCAGTGTGCAGGCGATGAGTTCAGACGTGTGTGGTTGCAGTCCAATAAGAAGCAGAGAACTGTGTTGCAGCTGAAGAGGTTTAGGTGAATACGACTCTCCAAACAGAAACACAGATAGACTGATCACACTTCATTATCACCAGTATAACACTACTAACACTTGCATTCTTCTCAGTGCTGAACATGTGACACTAAGACTGAAAATGTCACTGCAGAGTCTATGGTTTTACCCTGTAGTACATGTCATTTTGTACTTAAAACAAAATAGTGAAATTAAAGGTATAGCGGAGGATGTTTCTGAATTTCAGTAAAGAACTGCCCTCTCCTCATTTTGGAAAAAAAAAAGATGTGCATGAGAAAGAACGGCCAGTTATCCTCGTTACAAGTAGCCGCCGGCCTTGCAGCCAACTTCTTCTTCTAGCAGTAATCTGAAATGAATTCCTCCAAATAATATTCCGAACTTTAGCTTACCTGTCGAGCAGAAAACTAGCGACAGACGCGTCCATGGGGAGCCCAAACTTCGCTTTGCACATGTGCAGGAAGTGAAAACTACCCAGCAACATACGACAACGGCCTTGCATGAATGGTTCACCACTGACAGTTAAGCGGACCGGTGGTTCAGATGATCCATGCGGAAGAAAAAGATCCTTTACTATACCTTTAAGGTGACATATTTCAGGATGGCCTGTTGACATCCCAAAGTGATTTATTAATAGTGTACAGGCGCATGTAATGGTTTGAAAAAGTCTGATGTTTTGTTTCCAAAACAGCAACTTAAAGGTAAAAGATTGCTTGATAAGTTCTACTCAAAGGTACAGTAAGTAAGAATTTTTTCTGTGAAACAATCACCAAACAGTCCAATGTCTCAGTCATGTTGGAAGGACGGTTACATTGAAATAGTTTTCCTTCTTAGTTGACTGGTGGGTGTCAGATTTTCTCCTTTTAAAAAAGCCAAAGAGGGACGTAGTCTTTGTTTACAATCTGTAAACCTAGGGGGTTCCAGAGTCTGCGCCGGGATTTGTAATTTGACACTAGTCAGCAAAAAGCAGAATCAGTGTGGAAAGGAAGTTATTTCATGTATACCCCTAAGAAGCCACAGCATCCGTTTTGTTTACACTATCGGGCAAAGAAGGCTAGTGGCTAATCTTGAGCTAACAATGCTAAGTGAATTAGAATCAGAAATTTGACTCTTTAAAAATCTTGTTACTTTTTAAATGACCAATGACTCGATATTACAATTTATTTATCAACTTATCAACTTACTGTGTATGACTCGTCTTCGCTCGTCATCTAGAACCTTCTGGTGCTGATCCGTAGCTGGCAACAGTTGCTCAGAATGGACTTGTTTTGATACATGGACTGCAGTACCCAACTTTTACCACAAGATGTAATTTGAGTGAATTAAAATACATAAATAAAAATAATAATAAACAGTGTAACTTTACTGAAAAATACATTAAAATTGTCACCAGCCAGATGTTGTTTGGCCACCAGACAGAAGAAATGTAGGATACAACAGGTTATAGAGGAGATCACTAATCCTGATACAAGCATCAGCCTGGCTGCGGTTGGACAAGTCTACAACTGGCTGATGAATATTAGTGCAGAATCTTGCAGAGACTTTCTAAAACGTCTTTTAACTTTCATGTTGCTACAAATGTGAAAATTTCTCTCACTATTTTCACAAATGCACACACACACACACACACACACACACACACACACACACACACACACACACACACACACACACACACACACACACACACACACACACACACACTTTTTGGGAAGTTTGACGTTTCTGCCAGATTAGTTTTTTCCATTCCTTCTTTTATGGAGCTCATTATAAATTTTACAGTCTGTTTTTAAAGGAGGGACTTTTGGGAAACGACCCTGAATAGCTTTCACTTTCCTGAAAGTACTGATTTTTTTTCTCCTCTTTTTTTTCTTTATAAGACTCATTTTATATGCATCTAGTTTGCACTGGCATTTGTATCTGTGGTTTCTAACGCCCCTTTCTCTCCTGTTTCTTTCAGATGACCCTTCCCTGCAGTTCACATACGTGTTAGTGCCACTACAGTTGCATAACAGATATCATCCTTGAAAATCGATCGCAAAGGAAGTGACATTGGATTCATGGAGTCACTTGAAACTACTGCAGGGGTGAAAAGCTCCGCTGAGGGTCAGGAGAGAAATGTTGCAAAGAAAAAAGGCTCATCGGATGCTGCACAGACTAAAAGAAGACCATCGGTCGAATTGGAAAGCAAAGCATGGCACCAGCAGCTAGGAGACACGTGTGGTTTCAGTGAAATATCTGACTCAGGAAAATCTCTACAATTAGAAGATCAGTCCTCTCACAACCTGTCTGCAAGCCATCAAGATGTTGAAGTGTCTTCACATCTGCCACAGTCCGCAAAGCCCTTTTCTGGTGGCAGGCAAAAACTTTCAGCTCAGGCACATGGAGCTGCATCTCAAAGGAAGTGTCCAACTTCACCTGAAGTCCAACAAACAGGTTCCCTTTCAGGAACAGATCAGCTGTCACAGGTGGCTTCTAAAGGGGAGCAGAAACCTCAAAAACCAGGGAAGTATGTTTGTGATTATTGTGGAAGGGCATGTGCCAAACCCAGTGTGCTTAAGAAACACATACGTTCCCACACCGGGGAGCGACCCTATCCATGTGTCCCCTGTGGGTTCTCCTTCAAAACCAAGAGCAACCTGTATAAACACAGGAAGTCCCATGCTCACTCCGTCAAAGCTGGCACGGTGCCATTCTCTGAACATGGGTCTTACAACGCCATTACCGACCAGGGGTCTTTTGAAGGAGAAGGAGAGTTATTCTCTGATGCTGAGCAAAGCACGGACACAGACGAGGACACTCTTAATGACCCGCTGCTGCTGCTGGACTCTCCAATGGAGGGATCAGATAACACTGCTGTAAAAGTACTAAATCTCATAGCGCAGAAAAAGGGAGCCACATCAATGTCAGCTCAGGATGGTTCATCCCAGCCACAAGAAATCAATGCATCTCCTGTCACGGCCGAGGCTAGTCGTGCAATTCAATCTTCCGCGATCAAGCAAAAGCTCGCACTCCGGCTGTCTGAAAAGGGAAGCAGTGACTCTGAGCATAATCTGTCCCTCCCGAGTCAATCCAGCAAGGGCAGCACAGACTCTGGGTACTTCTCACGCTCTGAGAGTTCAGAGCATCAGACCGGTCCTCCAAACACCAACGCAAAGTCCTATCAGGAAATCATGTTCGGAAAGTGCTATCGGCCGAGTCCTAAACAGACCGCGGCTTACGTGGCTTGTTGCACAGAATCAGGGCAACGTTCTGGGAAATGCTCAGAGAAAGGGGTGTCCCGCGTTTTCACTCAAGAAAAAGATCAAGCGGAGTCAATCAAAATAAACACAAAATCGTTCACGAGGGAGGAGGTAAAAGACTTGCAGTCGGACGCCAGCTGCGACACGGGCCCTCTGATCAGAAGCAACTCAATGCCATCATCCTCAGCTGTGTGCCTGACGATGCCACAAGCCCTCCGAGGCAGCCACTCCTTTGATGAAAGAACAAGCACAAGCGGGATGAGGAGGCTCAAGAGGCAAGGTGCTATCGAGCTATCTGTGCACGATGGTCACACAGACGCAGAAAGCCTTGGAAAGATTTCACCCTCAGGACAGGAAATGGAAAACTACTTATCAACCGTGCCTAGTGTGAGCCAACAGAAACAAGCAATGGAGATGGCAACTCGTAAGCGTCGCAAAGAGAAGAGAGAAGAGGAGGAGGTACCGGGGCAGTATGAGAGCCATCATGAGCAGTGTGAGGAAATCTTTGATCCAAACAAAGACCATGATTTAAAACAAGCTGCAATGGGTATCATGGCTTTAGGGAGGGCACATCTGGACAGGTGTGATATCGACGTATCAATGAGCTCTGAATCATCTGGTCGTAAAACCTTAGGAAACGTGATTTCAGTCATTCAGCACACAAATTCAATCAACAGGCCTCACTCAGAACAGTCAGAATCCTACAAGTGCCACCGACTGGAAACCAGTGAATCCTTTGAGATGGAATGTAGACTAAGGCAGCCTGTTCAGATGGCGCCTAAACTTGTGCGACAGCCAAACATTCAAGTCCCAGAAATCAGGGTTACAGTTGAGCCTGACAGTCCAGAAAAAGCTCCAGAAGTGCAAGTGAAGGAACCGGAGAAGCACACCGAGGTGTTTCAGTGGCCTCAGAGGAGTGAAACTTTAGCACAATTCCCCCCAGAAAAACTCCCTCCGAAGAAAAAACGGCTTCGCTTGGCTGAAATTGAGCACTCCTCCGGTGAATCGAGTTTTGAGTCTGCTTGCACTAGTTTGTCTCGCAGTCCGAGTCAGGACAGCAACTTGTCTTATAGCTCCACTTACTCCTTTGACAGAGAAGAGACCTTAAAATCTGCCTCTCCAGTCCGACAAGATGAATTTGGCAAACCGCTGGAGCTTTTAGCCGTGCCAGGGAGTGGGCACTCCCTCTCTGTGCTCCACCAGCGCCAGCAGCATGAAATGAGACGCTCCTCCTCAGAACAGGCGCCATGTAACTTGCGCAAGGAGTTCCCAGAGGTACGCAGCATATCATTTGACTATGGCAGCCTGTCTCCAACATCCAAAGTTAGACACGTGGACATCAGCGCTGTGAAGGAGAGGAGGAGAGGAAACTTGGTGCGACAGGAGTCACTGAATATGGAGACTGAGGTAGCACAAGTCCCATCACAGGTGTTTCCACCGTACCTCAGCAGCACCGCCCCGCTGTTTGCAGCAGCCACTGTTCTGCCACAGACTTTGCCAATATTTTCCACTGGGAGCACATTTCCCCAGCTGCCACATCCCAGCCTTGTAGTTCCAGTTAGGATTCAAACCAATATGCCATCGTTTGGCAGCGTCACATACACCTCCCTATCGCAGATGGTTGACAATCACTTTGACGTAGTTAGCTCGGCCACGTCCTCTCTTCAAAGCCAAACCTCCCGCTTGTCTGGGCATCTTGATGCTCATAACATATCAGCTCACGCAAAACCACCCGCAGCTCACTCTTTCAACGTTGAGGCCCTAGATTTGTCATCAGCTAAGCTAAAGACAGGCATCCCTCTGTCTTTGACCTCCAGAACCATCTCCACTACGAACGCCTCCAGTGGTGGCACAAACAAGCGGATGCTGTCTCCCGCCAGCAGCTTGGACCAGTTCATGGAGGTCAAGCAGCAAAAACGAGTGAAGGAGGAAAGAATGTTTGGGCAAATAGTTGAGGAGCTGAGTGCTGTGGAGTTAGGGAAATGCCATGTGAGTGAGGAGAAGGGGCACAGGTCAGAGATGAGGCGCACATCGACACCTGGAGTTCAGAGTGACTCGTGTAGGAATACGTTTGTCGCACTTCATCAAAAGGCAACCGAAGCCGTTGAGCTTGGTGCTGAAACCGCTATGGACAGTAGCTCCCCTCCTCACTTGGTGACGCCAGTAAGTGAAACAAAAGAGCAAGTGAAGATGGAAGTGTCCACGCAGCTTGGTCACAGTCAAGACATCCTCATCTCAGATCCTTCCAGGCTCCTATCTCAGTTTCCAAGTCTCCGCACAATGACTGGCGTGAGCTGGTGTTACCTCAACTACACCAAACCGAGTTGCGCTGACATCAACGCCCCTTTCGCCTCCGTGTACGCCACGTGGTGCGTGAGTTCCCACAATCCCAATCCTCTTGAACTGAACACGAGCGCGGCTCTGGCCTTGCTGCAGTCCAGACAAAGAGGAGACGAGGTTATATACACCGTGGCTGCCATGTGTGCGCCTGGCACGGGGAAGCTAGTCTCATCCCTCATCCTCTGGAGACAGACCATGGAACAGGTGAGAAAATCCTCACATCTGTTTTAACACTGAAAAACATGTAAGGTTCTTTAAGTGTAAAGCATTATGCACAGCATTTTGAATTAGTCTACATTTAAACTGTTTAAAATGCAGAAAATCTAAATGACATTATTGGCTAAAAACTGTCAAACTGCACTCTTTAGTCGTTTGGCAGAAGGTTCTGGGGAGATCATTAGCAAGCTGGCTGATTCACTTTCATCGTTCACTTGCTTTGCATACGCAGAAAAAAAGGAGATAAAAATAGCCCTGAGTTACTTCCAGGTTGAGAAGTTGTTTATCACTGGTGCACTAGAACAAAAATGGATGCTAAATCTATGTTTTGGTTTAAAAACAATGTTTAGGATTCCTGCTATGGGTTCCCCCCTGCAGCTTCGGAATAATGCATGTTTTGCAAAACATGCAGTGGAATACCATGTGTGACACATAATATTGGATGCATCAGATTACTCCGTTGATACGGTGTGCATTCAGAATGGGTATTAACTTCATGTGTGTTCGTTTGATTCAGCTGCAGAGGAAACCGGAGCCCAAAGAGGTGGACATCACTTACGGGAAGAAGGTGAAAGACACCAGCTGCAGAGCAAAGACTGCAAAGGAGGAGTGGAAAGAGAGGGAGGCATCCACAAACCAAACAATGCCAACGAGGATTAAAATCTTTGAGGGAGGGTCAGTCGATTTATGGGTTGTTGTGTTATTGCACACACAGTTATTGGCTGTTTTTTTTTTTTTTTTTTTGCTCAACAAAACACAAATATGTCAAATTCAATCCCTTTTATTTGTTAGGTATAAATCCAATGAAGACTATGTGTACGTCAGAGGTCGAGGTCGGGGGAAATACATTTGTGAGGAGTGTGGGATTCGCTGCAAGAAGCCAAGCATGCTGAAAAAACACATCCGAACACACACAGATGTGCGACCGTATATCTGCAGGGTTTGCAACTTTGCTTTTAAAACTAAAGGTGAGCATTTATACTCATAAACACAGCTGCTCATTATCAGATATGTGATGATCACACACTTGAGGGCAGTTTCTAACATTTCTATGTTCTGATGTGTAATCATAAGCCTATTTTTGACCCATTTTGAGGTTTATTAATAAAAAAAATCACCATAAAATACATTCAGATTATTTTTTGAAAAAGTCACATTTTTGTGGCCCTTGACTTTTTGACACCCCTGGAAAAGGTGTTGAGGTATTTTTTTTAAATTATTTTGTCATTGTTTAACTTTTTAACACCCTTGTAAGTTGTACATTTCTTTTGGGAGATAAACATCTCCTGCCTCTGATTTGAAGTCCTGGACAGCGGACACTCATCCCACTCGGCCACGGAGCTGGAATAAATGCTACATGCTTGTATTTTCTTACCCCAAGAAGCTACAGATGCTAACTTTGTGCCAGAATCCTGGAGTCTGTGTTAATGACAGCTTTGTTTGCCTTATTTCTACAGGAAACCTGACTAAACACATGAAATCCAAGGCGCATATGAAGAAGTGTCTTGAACTGGGGGTGTCGGTAACGATCGATGAGACTGAGATACAAGAACAAGGTAAGAAAGTTACATCAAAACACTTTGTAACGTGACTGGTCCAGAACATTAAACTAACTGATGTGTCTTTTTGAAGCGGACATTCAACAAGAGTGCAAGACAGAAGTGGCAACAACTACAAAACACCAATTCTCAGATGCTGAGGATTCCGACGGCATGGATGAAGAAGCTGATGAGATAGACGAAGAAGATGATGAGGACGATGAATACGAGGGGGACTCCACCCCAAAGCTGCGTTCAAGAAGCACCAGTCCTCAGCCGTGTGGTGTGACCTCGGTGTCGGTTACAGCCTCTGCTGCCGTCCATGGCTGCTCCTTGAGCACTCTGCCTGGAGCCGACGCCCATCAGCCAACCTCTGGCAAGCGCTCAGATCATCGACCTTCCCTCATGGCCGAGCATAGGGAGAAGTTTGTGGATGAAGACTCTCTGAGCATGCTGCCTCTGGACCAGACCAGCCTCCCCTTTGATCCTTACTCTTCTTGCCTACTGTCTCCTGGTTGGGAGTCTCCCATCCGTGAGCCCTCTCCTTCCCGTCTGCGGTATCCATCGCCGAGGCGAGAGCTTTCCCCTCGAGGTCGGTCATCTCCAAGGTGGGATTCCTCTCCGCTGAGGCCTGGGTCACCTAATTTCAAATCCATTCAGCACCCATCCCTGGTCACAGTGGAGCGATCCATGTCTCCTGGGATGGAGCTTGGTGGGAAGCGGGAGTCCTCTGTGAGGGGCAGGCAGAGGGTAGTGCTGAGGGCCGTGTCGCCCCGCAGAGGCTCGCACCAGCATAAAGGCAGCTGTGATAAAACCCGACATCAAGCAAAGCTGGAGCTGGCTCTGCAGCAAGGAGCCTTTGAAATGGTAAAGGTTTGTTGCACGCTTCACTTTTTTCGGTTAGAGCTCTGTCAGAGAGTATTTGTGTTGTTGGAACATTGCAAAATCTCTTCACCGTCTTTCGTGAAATCATTAATTGATTCCAGTTATTAAACACTTGTGAACACTGTAAATGTCTGAATGAACCGCCAGACCCGTTTTACTTTAATTCCTTGCAGATTCAGGTTTAATGTTCCAAATCTGACTGAAGTTTATTACCCTAACCCCATGCTAAGTTTGGCTAGGTGCTAGCTCAGTTTGGTGCATGTTTGACCATAACAGGCGAGTTCTGATGAATGTGTTTGAGAATAATTCCACAATTCACCAAAGTTAAAGGCTGAAAGGGATATGAAAGTTTGCTTATTTTGTCTTGGAAATTAAAACAATTACTGCAAAACACAAATGTTAGCTACATGAATGAGTGTCTACAAAATATAACAACACACAAAACATTCTTCAAAATGGGTTTTCATTAGGGGTGCACCGATTGCAGTTTTTGGCTGATCAACAATCTTGAGAAAAACCTGACTTGATTTAGGTCTAGTCCACACGTAGCCGGTTTTTTTTTTAAACGAATATCCGCCCCTCCAAAAACTTGCATCCACATCACCTCGTTTAAAAAAAAACCTCTGTCCACACGTACCCGGATAAATACGTTGTTAAGGACATGCCAGACCTGTAGGCGGCAGTACTTCCCCCGTTCTTAACCTCGTCCTTCGTCTGTGGTCTTCCGCAGTAAGGAGCAGTAATTCCGCTTGCAAAAACAAACAAGCAAAAAGCGCTTGGACCATTGATAAAGCGAGCGCAGCTCTGAGGGCATCCATGCTGTCGGCTAGTGTAAACACAGGTCGCACACGTGATGTCAGCATTTTTTTGTGTCGCGGAAAGTGACGTTGCGGACCTTAAAACTCCGGTTTTGTCTGTCCACACGCAGACACCCAAAATGGAGAAAACGCAGATCTTCACTTTGGCCGGAGTTTTTAAAAAAGATCAGTTTTCGTGTGAAAAAACTCAATTTTCATGTGGATGACAGGCCAAAACGTAGAAAAATATCTACGTTTTGGCAGATCCCCGGCTACGTGTGGACAGGGCCTTAGTCTTAACTAAAAGCAGATTACGTCAAAGTTTCAATTAGCTTTTTTTGAGATAACCAACATGAATACTCATGAAACAATACCAGTTTCAGCTGGACATGAGGTAATGTTCTCAAATATAAAAGAACATATTTAGCATTGCAGTTTGAACTACAAAATCATATTTGTTCCTTTAGACTTTCATTTTTCTAATTTTGAAAACAAAACCTTGTGCCCGTTTTGACACAGTTGTCCAAAAAAAAATTCTATAGCACTGGTTTAACGACTCTAACATAAAGTAGGGGGGCTCCGACTGCAGTTTTTGGCTGATCACCGATCTTTTAAAAAACCTGAGATCGGGGCCGATTAATCGGTTGGCTGATGCGGTGCACCCTTAGTTTTCATCCATTGTGAAGTGTGCTTCTGGGTAAAAGTAATAAACAGTCACTATTCTACCTGTTGGAGACAGCTTCCTGAACAGCCTCTGTTTGGAGAAATTGAGTTTACATCCTACAGGACTCATGCTAGCCTCAAGCTAGCCAAGACCACAACATCTCTAGATTTGTGTCTGCAGACATTTTAAGACATTTTTCTTGGATCTGACCTCTGAAGTGCTAATATCTGATGCTGTTGGTGATTTTTATGCCTTATTCTAATAAAACAGAACCGTCCTCTATCACACGCACTTGTGGGGCCTCCACTTTCATATGGTAAAAAATGAACTCTAAAGACATTTGTTTGTCCTTTAATGACATTCTGAGGGACAAAATGCTGCCTTTCCTTTGTCCATTCACATCTCTGTTATGTGTTTGTTGGAAATATGTGGAAATGAAAATCTGGGACGTTTTAGTTCAGAGCACAACAACAGAGATGCATTACAGAGTTTCAGATGTCTCTCTTTGTGAGGTTATAACAATTGTATTTGCCACAGTTGCTAATTACCAGAAATAACCTCATATATTTTGTTCCTGGCTGCATGGTGGCAGAGTTACCTCGCAGTGAGAAGGTTGCAGGTCTCAGCTGTAATCTTTCTGCTTGCTTCTGCGTCAGCTCCATGAGGAAGAGTATTGTATTGACGGATTTATGCACATGTATAAACATGTATTGACTGAGCCGTTTTGCTCTCTTCTCCGTCTCCTGGGGAGTGTTGCAAAGCAATTCCCCGCAGAAACAACAGAAGGCGTAGCACTGTTCTGGGTTACCGTGTCATGTATCTGGTCCAAGATAGTGCATTTAGCATTGTGGTTTTTGTATTTCAGAGACTTTTTAACGCGGACACATTTGTCCCTCATTTTCCTCCACCTCTTCATGCGCTCGCCACCACTAAACCCAAGTTTCTCGTCATTCCCATCCACGAATAAAACGATCGCTGCGTATCTCTTTACTCCTCCAGTCATGAGTGAATAAAATGTTTATATTTTTAGAGTTTTTCCTTGAGGCATTCCCCAAGCTGCTCCGTGTCTTCAGCTAGATATCGTCGGCTTTCTTTATTTTTTTGAGGGCGCAATGGAACAAATTTAAAGGAAGCGGCATCCTGACCAATAGCAAGCTTGTGCTCCCCGTCTCATTCGACAGATATTTAGAAAAGTAGGCTCGACTTCGTCCGTCCTTGCGAGTCTGTTAGTCCTCGCAATGACTGATAATGGGGTTGCGTGTCTCTGTACCGACGCAGAAGCATAAAATAGTCTTAGGACTCAGAGTGAGTGTGCGATTGGTTGTTTGTCTCTGTGATGGACTGGAGACCCGTCCAAGGTGTCCCCCACCTTTCATCTATTGACTACCGAAGTTAGACACCAGCTCCTGACAACCCCACTGGGGAAAAAGCTGTTTGGGAAATGTGGAACTACAGTGTGTGGTGCGCAGCAACTCACCAAAAGCTACAATACACTACACACAAACTGCTTTCATGTACAACTTTCTTCACTCAGAAAACAAATTCTTGTAAGAAAAAACGTGACTTTCAAGAAAACATACATGGCAGAGGAGGAGCGTGCATCATGCTTCTGCCAACTCACTTCCTGGTTTGCTACATAACAACCAAGAATCAGACCGAGACAATCAAACATGTTTGAAAGCCTGGATTTACGATCAGAGTGGTCCAGACATCCTTCCTAGCAGACTAGAACTTTCCCAACACCACACAAGGTAGGATTATCTGATAAGATTATCTTTAGAGCTGTTGTGATTCATTTAGCGCAACTAAAGATTGCTGGAAGGGGAGGATTTGGTCAGAAATGTACGCGATTATCCTCCTGTGTGCTTTAGCTGCATTTAGACTAGCCTTTAGCTTATTAGTCCATGGGGATAAACTTTGTGCCTCACAACTGAGTCTGTTCAGGAAAAAAACCCTGCAACAGTTAAGATTAGAGAGGCACAAAAACTCATCTGGTGAGCTGGCCAATATTCAGCTTGATTGGCTGAATTAGTGATAGAGCAATATTCAAATCAAAACAAAATATATACAAGCAACAAGGGAAAAAAACCAAGGATTTTTCCTGGTCTGTGAACTCACCATTGGTAAGTGCTAACTCAAACACAAGTCTTCCATGTAGAGGTCGTTCCCTCTAGAACATTAACTTTTCAGTTAATCAGAACTGTTTTAGATGTTCTGTTGATTACAGCTTCAGAAAGATTCAAAATCAGGTTGGAGCTGTGCAAGAATTAAAAATCAGTATCAGCCCTTAGACTAACATTGGCTCATCTGAAGTTAAGATGGAGATTACTTGTAAGTTTTAAGCAGAAACATTTGATAATGACTGAAAAAAAAATAATGTTTTTAAATTGAAACTGTTAAAACATTATAGGAACTTAGAGGAATTTTGATGCCGTTGACATTTTGGTCCCCTGGACACGTTTGTATTTTCATTTAACGTAACTTTGACATTTCTGCATGATTTCTAACTAATTTTCACATGTGAAGTGTTGTTGGCAATGCTTAAACAGCTGCTAACGCTGGCAGTGATGTTGTTTCAGGATGAAAGGAGCAGTCTGGCTTCTGCGCTGCCCAGTCCTGCCAGTTCTCATCACCAGAACATCCTCAGCCACCTCCCTCTGCACTCCCAGCGGCAAGCCCACAGTTTGCTCCCCGTCGTTCCTGTCGGAGGGCTCCAGATGTTGCACTCCCCACCTTCCCCCGGCACCGATGCTAGCCCCTCATCAGCGCAGAGCCCTGAGAGCAGCGAAAGCCAACGCGGCAGCAGCAGGGAGGGATCAGTTCACAGGGCTGAGATGGGAGCAGAGAACATTGGAGACCATCAGGAGACAAGTCCTGATCCTGCTGTCAAAGACATCAGACAAGAGGAGAGCGTTCAGACCTGCCTGAAAGCCATCGCCTCATTGAAAATTACCACAGAGCCTCACTGAAATCATGTTTTTCTCCTCCGATCCACCCATGAACACCTGTAGCCATCCTTTAATCACCTTGTCTTTATTCCATTAGAGGCTATATAATAATATTTCCTTTGGTCTTGCACGTTCAGAGTGAGGAAGACAGTTTCTCTTCACAGGCTAGTCGAGTCAAATGAACGAGCAGCAGGGTGGTTTGCGAGGTAAAAAATCATAAGTGGGTGCAGGTGCAATATGGAAAGATAAATATGCTAATATGCCTTTTGTCTGAGCTAGTTTGCGTACAATTGCACAACAAGTGATATTTATGGATCTTGTACAAATGTCTTTAACATATATACTCATTAGATGCATACAAACAGTGTATTTTACTGTGTGTACTTTGAAAATAGACTGTTGTTTATGTAATCATATCAAGGTGTAATGCAGTAGTGCAGTAATTCTAAAGACTATTTATAAGGGGAAATGTGTATTATAAAGCAGTCTGACCAAATTTGAAATAACGCTTCTTGTGCAGTTTGGTGCTTCTGAGCAAGCAGCAAGGGTCCGTGCCTTTTTGTTTGATTTCTCTCGTTGCTTTTCTTTATTTCTTTTTCCGTAGATGGTTAAAAATAAACATACTCTTATTGAGAAGTGGCCACGCTTTCTGAGGGTTTGCTCTAAGGAGGGCTTTTTTTCTTGGATCGTCACTTCTGCCGACAGACGGATGCAGGTTGAATTTTGTGAACTGATCTTAAAAGAAACATTTCTTATGTTGCATTTTTCTTAATGTTGTGGTTTTTATCCTGGTACAAATGCATGGGGTTTGCTATTGCACAAAAACAGAGGAAGTAATGATGTAATTATGCATACTGTAAGATGTATTTATATATTAGAACGTAAGCACTTATTGATACTGGTAAATATTTGACTACTATTTATATGGTATATCTGTATTTATGCAGCAGTGATGCAGTTATGCAGTGAGCCATGCTGGCTTTGCTTTTTGCTCTCGTCTTTTTGCTTTGACTCAACAGAGAGCCTGTTTTCTTGCTTATACGAAAGCTCACAAGCATTTATCACAAGTTTTAATGATGCACTTTCATCCCTTCATGTTTGATGCTTGAACTGACTCCTTCAGTGAAAATAGTTATGTTCTCCTGTAGTTTTTTTTTAAACATTCCAGTTTTTTCTCATCGTGCGAAACGTGTTGCGCACAAACAAAAGGGGCTACGACGTTATTCAAAGTGTTGCATTTTTGTGGATAAATCAATAACAGTTTCTGCAAGTAATATTCAAATAGTGATGTTAACAGCATGGATTGATTACTGTGCTTCAGCTCACAATGTAAGCAAGCAGTCAGTGTATTTCTTCTTTGTATGTATATATGTGTATTTTAATGATTTAAACTATTTTTGCAGTGTTGAATTTCAAAACTTTTTATGTGGATTATTTTTTATCTCTTTAGGAGGTAAAATAACAACAGTCAGAGGATTTAATGTGGGTGAAAATAGCACAGTGTTGATCAAAAACACGTGTCTCATCTTTAAATAAATGCATTCATATCTTTAAGTGGTGATCAGTTTGGTACTGCACTAGTTTAAAGATGAACTTTGTTCACTCATGTTTACGTGAAAAAATTTAAAGGTGCACTGCTTTAAATTTGTTTCTGAAGTTCACATTTGTGTCATTTTATTTGTCGTAGTGAAGCTGCAGAACACAGATTAAATGTGAAGGGAAGTTTAAGCCTTTTTGTTTGCTTTTGCATACAGAAGTATTCAGATTTTTTTATTTGTATTATTCATATTCACTGAACTGCATTGTGCCTCTCATGTCTGTGGAAAGTCCCTGTAAAACAGAGGATAAATCATTTTTACCTCTCAGATTTATTTTTGTTTTGTGTTTGAGGGGAAACCTTCAGTAGCCAAACTGTTGTTTAGCTATTTGCTTGGAAACTGGCTAGTCTGGACAGAGTGCCTCTTTTCTGCAATGAGGACTTTATTGTTTGGTGCTCTACTTTTTCAGATTAAACTCAAAATTGTTTTAAAAACAATATACTTCGAACCCAGTCATGTGTCGCAGCTTTTTTCATGGTTTGGGATTTATGCAGTTTCACTTTTGGTGGTGGAACGACATTGACTTACTCCAAATAACGGCAAATAAAAATCACTTTTTAAAAGTAGAGTGACCGTTACAGTCATTAACAGATACCATCACAAACAATAGAAATTAAAATAACAAAAAAGAAGCTAAATGTCCACAAATTGTTGTTGTTTTGGAGCAGGCACAGCTAACAGCTAGCCTAGCCTAGCGAACTGGAAATCCCTTTCAAACTATAAATTTACAAATATTTAGTAGGAAAATACATTATAATAAACACAGATTTGCTCTGTGTTATTACAATTTTAACAAATAGGTACTGAAACAAAAACTGAACATAAGTGAACGGGGCTGTCAAAGTTATTTCCTGGTCCGCTTTAGCTTACGCACTGAATCACAAATATGTTTTACTTCAATTTAAATGATAAATAATTATGTGTTTTGACTATGTCTGTCACGTAATTTGAGATTTATTTGCTTAAAAAAGTCATAAATAAAAAAATTACAAAGCAGAAGTTGCAAACTTGCAAATATGACGTCGGCGCAGAATCTCATCTCCCTAGCGTAGCTGCTACTTTGCACGTGGCCAGATTTATAACCTTAACTCTGAAAACATATTTTTTATTATTATTTCTGATCAGTCACTAAGTTATGCTGGCTGAACATGAAAATAGTCTCCCACACCTATGTCCTGCTATGGTGAAACAAGGATTAGAAAAGCCAGTCAGTGTTAGAGGTGCGTTGCTGTTAAGTAATCTGAGGTAAAATGTCCAAATGTCAGAAAATAAGACAGCTGTGATGAGGCTCACTTTTGGTTCCTGGAAATGCACCGGTGCCCCCCCCCCCCCCCCCCCCCCCCCAAAAGATGATTTCAATTTTAGATATGGTATATTTATTTCCCCACGTTTAGAAAATGGATTCCTACATCAAAGAATTAAATTAGACATTGGGCCCTGTCAACAGATATTAATCTCATATAATCAGAAGGAGGAGAATTTTTTGTGGTCTGTTTATTACTTTTTACAACGTGAAATATAATTATTGAGAGTAATATTCAGTTTCAATGGTGCTGAGCTGGATAATGATGCTGGATTATCTCCCTCCCCAACTACATCGGTCTCTCATTATCATTCCACCTGTGCGGTTCACAAGAGCCCATCATTCACTTTCTGTCTTTAGGGAGGCAGAAAAAAAATATCTCCAGTGTGAAACTTGTAATAGCTACATCTGGTGGCGAAAATTGAATACTGCAGCTGCAGCGTGGAGGTAAAATAAAATGGGTGCTTCCAAAAGTAGTGTTCACCTTGTAGATAGTTTTCAGCCGCTTTCAGAATTTAACTGTCAGCTCAAAATCAGCAGATTGTGTAAAAAAATAAAAAAAACTGAAAGAAAGGCTTATCAGGCCAGTCTGAGAAACAACGTTTTCTCTTCTCTCCTGCTCAGTCTCTTTTCATGACTAATAGGAGCGAAGCTTAAAATTAAATCAGCACTGCGTTGATCTAAAGTAGCAAAGGTGCAACACCAAATAACGAGTTTTACTCTGAGGTTTGCAGCAGAGATGAGCTGCAGAGCGTCCTCCCTCTCTGAGCAGTGAGCTGCTCTCTCCTGGTTTATTTTGAGGGGCTCTTATCACAGCTGTTGCATCAGTGGTGGCCGCCTGTCCGAGCCCCTCCACACTCTTTCTGTTCCCCATCTGGCCCTCAGTCCTGGTAAGACCCTGCCTGCTCTTTACCCTGCTTCTTTTCTGATATTTGCACACAAATAACATAGAATTCTTGGTTTCCTAACATCTGTCTCACACGTCTAACAAACGTGGGACTGACTCCAGTGGCGGTTTGGAGTTTGCCAAGTCTGTTGAAGATGAGATGCTGTTAATTGCAGTGAGACTTTCCTGCGTCATTTGCTGTCAGAAGTTAAAATTGTCTGCTGGTGAGAGAAAAGGGAACATTTTAACCTCTAATGAAACGCTGCATAGTTAAAAGAGTTTTCCTACACATAGCTCTGTAAAATTTCCATTTTAACATGTACTTCTTTATAAAAGCATTAAAAGATCAGAGATATTTGTCTTTATTTGAAGTTTAACCACAATAAAAAGATGTTTTCAAGAAACACTGACCCTGACATAAAAAAAGAGTGGAATAGAATTAAATAATAAACAACATGCCCATATTAAGAAGTTCCTAAAATAGCTTGTGGGTCTGGAACAGGTGCCATTTGCTCTTCTTGTGAAAGCTAATTATATGCATCTAAACAGGCTCTGGCTGCGAGTACGACTCCACAGATACAAGCATGATGGACTTTATTACACCAGGAAAGCTTTGTTCGGGTTTATCACCTCGCTGCTGCAAAGACATTGAAATTCATATTAAAAAAAGGCATTCAGATATTTCATCTAGAGCATTATTTGGTGCGTATTTCTGTTTCTGCAAAAGAAATGTGCACCAAAGTTATGTTTTTAGTCTAATAAACAAAAACAACTTCAGCAGCATAGAATATTTAAATAAGAAAAGCTTCTTGGTGGTGGAATCTGCTTAATTCTGATTAATCTGTTATGATTTCACTCAACAATATGTATGTGAAATCTCCAACCAGTTTTCTCTGTAAATCTTGTTAGGATCTGCAAGGTGCTCAAATGGAGGAAAAACACTTTATATGAGGTTTTTAGACTGAATTTCAAGGTGTTGATTTTAATGTCAGGTTACATAGTTGAAGATTTCTTTATCATTTAAGTGCTGCTAATTTAGGCATCAAACACACAAAAATTCAGGCTGTAAATGTACTCGTTGTTGCTCTTAAACATCACAGGTTTGGATACTGTAGCTGTTGTGGATAGCACTGAACAACCTCAGTTTGGAGAAGCAGAGATGAGTTCTGACTGGACAAATGCTGATCTCAGTGGGGCAAGTCACAGACTGATTAGGAATATCTCAAAAGCCTCACAGTAGTTAGTGTGAATTAACTACATAAAACTCTGGTGGTTTGCAGCAGAAACTAGCTGCTTTAGCATTTCTGAAATTAAATGCTTAAAAGGCTACGGTAGACCAGCTTGTTTGTCATACCAGAGATAATTTCTGTTCCTCTTAAAGCCAGGCGTTCTCATGTGAGAATCTTTGAGGTTGAGGCGAGTTTGGTGTTGTGTGTCCAGTAGTATACAGGGATTACGAGAGGCGATTAGCACCGCACGACCAGCTCCCAATCAGTAATTGCACAAATATCAAACATGTTTGATATTTTCCTCATCCCTCGTGAGGTTATCACACTGTTGGAACAGCGCTGCGAGCCAAAAGTACCAGAACTGCTCACACAGCGCATGCACCAACACGGCTCGTCAGCTATTTTCGTATCAACTCAAGCTGTATTACTTATTTTTATACTTTTCTCTACACACAGTGACAAGGATTGTCAAGAAAGTGTGTTTTATGCCAAATAAAACATTGTTTTACTTCCTTTCTTTTGTCTTCCTTCTCAAACCCCCATAAACCTCATGTTGTCCTTCTATGGCAAGCCCGAAGGATAACACACATTAATAACATAGTTTGAATATGTTCATTTTTCCAAATAAATGCTGAAAAAAAAACACCAGTAACAACACAACAGGTTTTAGAAATCGAAAGTCTGACATGTTGCGTAAAAACGACTATTTGTAGCATATTTTAGCTCCGATGTGTTGCTAGCACACATACAGTGTGAACAGTACAGTGAGAGAACATGTGAGCTTTGCTCTGCGAGGAAGTCATCCAGTTTGAGATGGAGCTGAATGCTACGAGTGAAAGCCACACAATGTCCACCCGTCCTAACTGATGTTGTCCAAAAGGCTTTATGGAGGATGTAAGATATTCATTGCTTTTGGCCTTTTAAGAGAAACACTTCAAAAAGCAGAACCCCCGCTTTTATGATCTTTTATGGTTTTCTTTCCAGTAAACCACTTTTAAAGTGGCCTAAATTGTACAAATAAATCAGATGTGGCTACACAAACTAATTGTCACGGTGTAGGAGGTGGAGATGATGGACCGCTAATTAGGGAAACATGGGCAGGTAAACGAGGGACAGGTGAGAACAATAAGGGCAATCACGGCAGGAGAGGAACACAGTCAGGTTGGGCAGGGGCAGATCGTGACACTAATATTAAAAAATCCTAACATGTTTTTTGTTTGTAATGGGGAGACTGTTTCTATAAAACCTCAGATATGATGTTTAATTCAACGATGAAAACAGATTTTTTTTATGTGAAAAAGTGATCAAAGCATTTTTGTTGTGAGATAACAGACAGAGCAGCCGTGATCTGTCTGTAAATGATTTATTTTTGGTCTCTCGTGCAGAGGCAACTGTCTCCTTTGTGTTGCTACTAGCTCAGAATAATGGAGGCTTGTCAGGAGAGCAGCACTGCCCCCACCGGTCCCGAGGCATCTCCGGTCGAGGATCACCACATCGACCTGACAGAAGACCTGGGCCAACAGCTGGAGGACATCATTAGCACCTACCAGGCAGCCCCGAATCCAGCTGAGCCAGAGGACACAGAGGTCACAGCTGTCAAAGAGTCAGACGCCCGCAAGGACCAGAAGCTGGAGAAAAAAATGCTCAAAAATCTAGGTGTTGTATTTATTTTCCATTTAATCTCATCAGAGTGTTTCATTGATTTTAGCTACAGTGATTCAGCTCAGTCAGCAGCATTCAGAGCTACGGTGAAACTGATAGGTGTGTTAGGAGAGCCGAGACATGTGTAAGTTCCTCCATCAGGTCAAACACTATTGATGATATTTCTCAGTGTGGGCTGACAGAGGTCGTGTAATCACACGTTAATCTCCCAGTTCCTAGAAGTCTCCTGGTGTGGAGTCACCAGCAGCTGAGATCTGACTTGAGTTTCTCTGTGTGCTCAGGAAAGGAGGCCATGCTGCTGATGCAGAGCCTGAACAAACTCGACACTCCAGAGCAGAAACTGGAGGCGATCATCAAGAAGCACGCTGAGCTGGTGGGTGGATGTAGTAAAGCCAAAAATAAATCAGAATATAAAAAAGTGTGCCAAGCAAAGGTGAGAACATCCCCCCTTTTTTGTTTTGTTTGTTTGTTTCTGCAGTTGGAGGAGCATCGCAGTGATCAGAAACAGATGAAGACTCTGCAGAAGAAGTTATTCCAAGTGGTGAAGGAGAAGGACCAGCTGCAGAGCGAGCACAGCAGGGCCGTGCTGGCTCGCAGCAAACTGGAGGGGCTCTGCAGGGAGCTGCAAAGACACAACAAGACGTTAAAGGTACTTCCTCCACTGAACACTAGAGGCATAGAGGTTAGATACATCGCGCTATCATGAATTTTAAAGCTGCATCAGCACCAGATGTTTCACTCCAAATGAGATCTGACCTCTGACCCCACCGTCAGAGGTCAGTGTTAGAATTAGTAAATATATTGAAACATTTACTAATATTCCCTCATTTTTCTGGCTGATCCGTGGTGACATGGACATTTAACAATAATAAATCGTAGGATGTCATTCTATTGCTTTTGCCTGAAACCCACAGAGATTATTATTCCCATCATTTGTATCACTGGGAAAAGAAATACCAACATAGCTGCTTTTCTTCAGGTTTGATGTGAGAGATGATCACCAGCCTCCCTTGATGTCCCTTTTCTGAAGGGTTATAATCAGGATAGAGTTGTTTTTTGTTTATTAAACTGATAAATTCAGGCATGAATATAGATTTGTACTACTGATTTTTATTGTCCATCATGGTGGTAGTACTGGAGAGTTTAGCCTAAGCAAGACAAGTCCAGACTGCAGCTCTTTGGAGGAACTTCGTGTGGGCTCTTCATTTTTAATGCTGAATTTTGCCTCTCCAGTAGGCTGTTGATGCAGATCGACACTTTCTAAAATTTAATGTTGTAATTTTTTATTTGTGTTCCCATTCTTGGACATAATTTGAGGAGCAAAACCAAACGATTTCACCACAAAAAGTTTGGAATTTTTAGATACAAAAGTCTTCTTCTCAGTGGCCTGGTGGTAGTGTCCACCCTGGGACTAGGAGGTTGAGGTTCAAATCCCAGTTGGGTCATACCATGCCTCCCTGCTTTTAAACTTCCACGCTTCTGATGAACAGAACCATGCAGATTTATGAGCACCAATCACAAACCGTGACTAAATCCAGCAAACATTGCTGACAAAATTGTGACTCATGTCTTGTTCTTGGTGCGGACCATAGATAAATTTTATTTTCAAGACATAAAACCTATTAAACATTTAACCGATCTGATCCAGGGAATTCGATGCATTTTTTAATCATAGCAAATTTACAAGAACTTTTTCATTTCTTGAATGCGCATAAAAGCAGATACTTTCATTTGCTGAAAAAATGAAGAAAAACTCAAGGGTTCATTTATCTCTGTGACTTTGGCCCACATAATGAAATATTCTGCTGCATAAGAAACGGGCTTCAGTCCCCATGAACACCACTGGGTCTGATGAATAAGCTAACCCTAACCCATAAAAGGCAACAAAGGCTCCAGAAATCTAAGTATTCAGTTCTGATCTGGGTCCTTTATTTGCAGGAGGAAACCCTTCAGAGGTGCAGAGAGGACGACCTCAAGAGGAAGGAGATTACCACTCATTTCCAGGGAACGCTCAGTGACATCCAAGCCCAAATTGAGGAACACAGCAGCCGCAACACCAAGCTCTGTCAGGAGAACGGCGCCCTGGCAGAAAAACTCAAGTCGCTCATTACACAGTACGACCAGCGGGAGGCGGTAGGGAGCCTAGCACACACAGCTCACAGCTTCAGGCCAAACCCAGTGCAAAAACGGGCCGGTTTATTCTCATTTTCTCTCTCTCTCTCTCTCTCTCTTTCTCTCTTTCTCTCTTTCTCTCTTTCTCTCTCTCTTTCTCTCTTTCTCTCTCTCTCTCTCCATCCATCATGGGAAGTTAAATCCCACACACGTCTGTGGCTATGAATTATTTGCAATCGTCTCCCAGGTCTTACATCTATTAGAAGCACTACTTTAGCCAAAGCTCCCCGAGGAAGAAATGACACGTGTGAACTCATAAATTCACCTGAATATCTCCCAGAACCTGGAGAAGGTTTTCAAGCACCGAGACCTGAAGGAGAAGCTGCTGGAGACCAAGCTCAAGCAGGCCAATGTGCTCCTGCAGGAGGCCCAAGAGAAGCACAAGTTGGAAAAAGAGCTCGTAAGTCCATTTTGTTCAAATTTGTCCACCGGTACGATTGTTTATGGAACACATTTGAAATATTTCAACATCCCACAGCTGCTCAAACAGACAGCAGAGGCTAAGCTGCAGCTGAAGGTCCTGAAGGAGCAAGAACTCGATATGAGGAGCCAGGTAGGAAGGCTCGTTGTTGTGGGCAACACTGGCCCGTTTCTCTCCCTTTGTGTGTAAAATATTTTTGTCACTGCTTCTCCTCAGCTCGACATGTACTCCAAGAAGTTTGATGAATTCCAAGGCACGGTGTCGAAGAGCAACAGCGTCTACAGCAGCTTCAAACAGGACATGGACAAAGTGAGAACATTTGCTTTTCAACCAGTCTCATCAGAAGTAAAGATGATGAGAATAGGAGAAAATCCCCAGAGACCTTTAATGAAACTCTCTAATTTACTTGCCTGGATGGAGCTTTTTTTTATATTATACTGTATGTCAGGCATGTTTCATGTTTTTATTTATTTATTTTTTAGATGGCAAAGAAAATGAAAAAGCTGGAGAAAGAGTGTCTGTCATGGAAGACTCGCTTTGATTCCTGCAACAACAGCCTCATTGACATGGTGGCAGATGTGAGAAGATGTTTTTTTCTTAAAGTCCTCCACACACAAATGTCAGAGACTGAATCCGTTCTCCAGAGAAAACTCTTGATGTCTTTGTTGCTAACTATCTTTGCAGAAAGCAATCAAAGAAAAGGAGTTTGAGCTTCTCACCATCAAAATCCAGAAGCTGGAGAGTTTGTGCAGGGCCCTGCAAGAAGAACGAAAGAGCCTACATGAGAAGGTGCAGGGAGTCCAACCAGACATTACCACCGCTGAGAAAACACAGAATGAAGACCTGAAAGAGAAGCCAGCTCAGAGCAACACAACTCCTTCTTCTGCTGGAGCACAGACGGTCACAACTCCACTGACCCGGGAACTGGCTAAACTGAAGACTGAGCAGGCCCTCCTGAAGGAAATCGCCGGTCCTTTTACAATCTCTCATGTTTTACCTACAGAAACGAGAACAGACCAATCACATGAACTCTCTGAGGTCATCCTGGGGTCAGAGGAGAAGCACACAGAAGAAAAAGTCCATGAGAATGAAAATCAGGAACAGAGAGATCTGGAGATAGAGTCAGTTGATTAACTGCTGTGATGAGAAACCTGGGGCCTGTCTGGAAATAAAACAACCTCTCTGTTTTCAGTGTCTTGTCCTCACTTTACCCCGTCTCCCGTCATGGCATGGACATGTTTTACAAATGCATGATAGATTCATTCTAAATTTCACTCTGTGCAAATCAGAGGTGTGGACTCGAGTCACATGACTTGGACTTGAGTCAGACGAGTCATTATTTTAATGACTTCTGACTTGACTTGATAAAATCTATAAAGACTTAGAACTTAACTCGGACTTGAAAGCCAATGACCTGCGACTTGAATCGACTTGCATCTGTTGACTTGATGATGACTTGAGCATATTTGATATTTTAGCACAAAAGTGGCACGACATGAACAAAAATCATGAATCATTCTTGGTTCTGGGTGTGATCTTGTGCGGCTGAATGCAGCAGCACTTTGTTTAGAATCAGGTTCAGTTGCACTTTCTGCTTGTTTGAGCAAATAAACGAAGCTTTATTTCTGGAGTTTATTTATTAACATTGTCAGTAAATTAAATTTGGACAGATGACTTGATTATGACTTGAAAATTCAGAGTTAAGGACTTAGACTTCCACATCATTGACTTTGGGCTCCACTTGGATTTGGTAGTCTTTGACTTGGACTTGGCTCAAGACTTGACTGGAAAGACTTGTGACTTTCTTTTGACTTTCAAAGGAATGACTTGGTCACACCTCTGGTGCAAATGCATGTATTAGTTATGACCCTGTGGTTTACAGGTGATCATGCCAAAGCGTGCTCTGTCTCTTGGTCTTGAAATTCCCCACAACCGTCTTTTAAAGTTTATTTAGTGACTTAACCTGATGCCCTGACTGGATTTTAATCGAGGATTTAAGAAGTTGCATCCATCTCCGTCCCATTCCTGCCATCAAAGCGCTTGCTGCTGCTGCTGCTGAAAACGAAAAAGCTCCGCTGGACCTCGCTGACATTGAGAGCAAGAAAGGTAGGCAGCATTTGTGAGGCCATACAAGTGTGCATAAAAATAGACAGCACTGCGGACACAGTGTTCTGCAGTTGAATGGCAATTTATAGTGGCAGTCTGAGTAGTGCAAGCAGGAGACCTGTCAATCATAACACACAGACTGTTACACATACACTAACTGGATGCATTTGGTGTTTTGTCAGTAATTCATCAGGCAGAAACTCTGGACAGGGTGAAATCAATCTGTTCGGGGTTTGAATAAAGCTGCTGCAGCTATTTATAACAGGTTACCTTCAGAATGTACGATAACTGTGGCTGGTTATACAAAAACACACATTTTCTGCCTGAAGGCCACAGTACAGGATTTCACTTCCATGACTTTTTATATTAACGTATGTCTGGTGGAAGGAAACAGGATGCAGAAGGTCCTTGAAGGAAAATATCAGCCAGAAAACGGCACAGTAAAGAGAAACATCCATTACTGCCCTCACGAGTGTGTGTGTGTGTGTGTGTGTGTGTGTGTGTGTGTGTGTGTGTGTGTGTGTGTGTGTTTGAAACTCAGAGATTCACTGGACTTAACTGGACTGATTCAACATTTCTGTAGAACTCCACTCAAGATGTAGCCTAGTGAACTAGACCAAATTCTTGCTTTTGCAAATAATACATTTATTTAGTCTGGCTTGCCAGGCTACTCAAGATGGCCATTAAAGCAAATCGGTCTGAGTAGACACAAAATCATATTTCATTTTAATGATATGAAGCTGAAAATGTCTGAAGCAGCTGATTCTTTCACAGAAAATAGAGCCAGTACAGTACTGCATGAGACTCCACAACTAATATTATTCAAAAGATTGTTTAAAAATCTGGCTTGAAATGCTGCAGGAAATACAATAGTGCCTTAAAATTTACATGAATGCTGAAGGCTGTGGTGAAAGTCTATGGAGCTTTTCAACGTCAAGCATGGACTTTTAGAGGCCTCGGCAGGGGCGGCGTTAGGCAGGCTACTTGGGCTGAAGCCCCGGATGTTCTATGAAAAGCCCCAGATCTAAATCGCGGAATTAACATGCAGTACCAAAGTCCAACAGAGAGGGAGCAGCTAGCAGTAGTTTGTATACAGCCTGCCTGAGCCTCCACCACTGAAGAAGTACTGCCCTTCAGCAGCTGGCTTCTTCTACACTCTCTGCCTTAAACGCATGAGTGAAGATGGACATAAGGATGTTTTTTAGACAAAAAGTACAATGACAGAACCCCAGCTTTGATGATACTGGTGTTGACTCAGGTTTGTGAGTCTTATTTGAAAATATTTGTTGTGCTGCTGGTTTGCCTAAAGTTAGCTTACTATCAGGTAGAGTTGTTGGAGAAAGATAGGGAATATTTACTATCATCTCACACTAAACACTAACAGGAACAATACTCTGCCCTGAAAATGCTTAATATGTAGCTTCAGATTAAAAATTATGTGGTACAAGACAAATATATATGATGTTGACTAGTGCGTGTCACGTGTGTGTGCGTGCGCGCGTGTGTGCGCGCACGTGTGTGTTAAGCCCCGGATCTTCTTCAGTCCTAAATCCGCCCCTGGGCCTCGGACATGCAACAAAACACCTGACATGTTGCAGACTGGGAGAAAAAAGCACCCTATAGGGATTACTAGTTTCACGTACACTGAACAAAAATATAAACACAACACTTTTGTTTTTGCTCCCATTTTTCATGAGCTGAACTCAAACATCTGTACATTTGTCTACATACACAAAACACCCATGACCCTCAAATATTGTTCTGAAATCTGTCTACATGTGTGTTAGTGAGCACTTTTCCTTTACCAAGATAATCCATCCCACCTCACAGTTGTGGCATTTCAGGTGGGGTTGTCCCAATACAACTTTTTCACTTCCGATACGATACCGATATTGCAGCCTTCAGAAATGACCGATACCTATATCAATCCGATACAATATCAGCACAAATCATACATACTTTTACTTTTCATAGTGTGGAATGTATGAAAAGCTTGATCAAGTGATATTACCTAATCGGAGAACATGAGCCAATATCAGTGAATGTGAAAAAAAAGACAATTTTTTAACCATTGGTTGCAAAAATGTGAACTTTAACGAAATGCTAATAACAAAGATTTTTGATGCTGTCCAATATAATCCGATACAGTGTTTTGGGCCGATATCAAATTACTTTCGATTTTGATATTGGAATGGGACATCCCTAATATCAGGGGGCTGATTAGACTACATGAATAATGTACAGGTGTGCCTTAGACTGCCCACAATAAAAGGCCACCCTGACATGTGCACAGTTTTGCTTTATGGGGGGCGGTGGGCAGGGGTGGACTGGGACCAAAATTTGGCCCTGGCATTTTTACGAATCGTCGGCCCTCCCCATTGGGAGTGCGGTGGGGGTGGGGGATGTTGCCGCCCGCGGACTCGTCTCTAGGCCGAATGTGAGATCTAATATGGACTGGGACTGTTAAATTACAAGCAGGGCCAGACCGCTGCGACCGGGAGCCCTGACCTTCCAGATCAGCTCATTCTTCACGGGCGGAGATCAGCGGGACATTAGCTACACGCTAACGCGGTAAAACAACTCCTACGCCATCAATCTACCGTGTTTTTCTTGCTAAAAACGCCTGGAAAAACTGTTAACTTTGTATCTAATGTTCTGCAGATCACCAACTGTGGAGTGGTGTCGGCCCAAGCTGGGTAAGCAGCCCACTTGGCTAAGCGGCCCACCGGGACAGTGCCAGATAGGCCAGTCCACCCCTGGGGTGGGGAAGAAAACCAGTCAGTATATGGTGTGGCCACCATTTGCCTCACACAAGGCAACACGTCTCCATCACATAGAGTTGATCTGGTTGTTGATTGTGGCCTGTGGAGTGTTGGTCCACTCCTCCAATAGCTGTGTGAAGTTGCTGAATATTGACAGGAGCTGGAACACACTGTTGTATACACTGATCCAGAACATCCCAAACATGCTCAATGGGTGACATGTCTGGTGGGTATGCTGGCCATGCTAGAACTGGGATGTTTTCAGCTTCCAGGAATTGTGTACAAATCCTTGCAATATGGGGCTGTGTGTTATGCTGCAACATGAGGTGATGGTCATGGCTGAATAGCACAACAATGTACCTCAGGATCTCGTCAGGGTACCTCTGTGCATTCAAAATGCCATCAATAAAAAGCACCTGTGTTCGCTGTCCATGACATACGCCTGCCCATACCAGTACCCCAGGAGCATTGCAGTGCTCCAGTTTGCCATCTCAGCTGATGTTGTTCAAAAAGCAAAAACTTACAGCCTGTTTTCACTTTCATTTTCAATATAAATACCGGCCGAAGCTCGGCAGTAACTCACCACATCATCATGACACCTCCCTCTGCTGCACCAAGGCACACTCGCCATTTATGAGACAGACAATTACCATAATGTTTATGTTTATGTTTATGTATTTAGCAGACGCTTTTGTCCAAAGCGACTTACAAGCGATAATCGGCATATTGCCCTTGAGGCTAACAACAACAATAACAACAACAACTTGACATCAGTCATGGGGAGTAGGGAACAAGGAGTGGACAGTAGAGAGGTGGGGACGGGTGCAGGGAGGGTGCTAGTTAAGAAGATGCTCTCTTATAATATTACTATCAAGCAAGGTGGAATGAATGCCACAAAATTTGCGCAATGCCATGCTAACACTGCTCGTGTATAAGACACACCGTTGCTGTGATATTAAGCTGATTTGCAGGTGCAGTGTGTCTTGTAAAAAGGGCTAAGATGAGTATTTCAGACCTGAGAACACAGCATCAGCTGTTGAGCACGGTGGTGGTAGCATCATGACGTGGTTTTGGTTCTACCTCCAAAATGTTTACATTCACCTGGAATCAGAGTACAGTTGGGTCCTCCATCGGAACAATGATCCCAAACTCTAGAACTGGTTTCTTGTTAGATAAAAGAGGCTAACATAAAACTTCTGCTGATGTTGCTTAACTTATCATCCTTGTGGTCTAATTTTAACAGTCATTGGGGTTTGAAGTCCCAAATATGGGTGGCACCCATGCTTGTGATGCATGTCTATAAACATTTTACTGCTAATGGAAATTTAATTCCCAAACCGACAATTAGTCCCAACTCTTTCTCACGGATATCCTCCCAAGTCCAAAATGTCTCTTCAAATCTGACATAAAATCAATAAAATGTGTTTATTAGGTATAAAGTTTTTTTCCTAAAATAGATGAGTACTTCAGAAAATGTTCTTTTCAATACAACCTAACTTCCAGACAACACTACCTCGGATTGTTCAAACCTCACTCTTCATCTAATGGAGGGCTGTTTTTATGAAAGCTTTTGTCTTTTTGTAAATTTACCCTGAAATCTAACAATAGCTGTCCCATATATATTGTGGGCAAATGAAAGGGAAGACACGCAAATTGTGCAGAAAATTACTGGTACGCATGGGAAGTTGGATCAGTCACAGCGTATATAGCTGTGTCACCATGGGTGAAAATTCCTGAAGGGAACTTTGAAAATGTTTCAGACAATTGCACCGTGTTAGGAACACATAATGCCTCTGAGATATTTCTGAAGCATTTGATCAAGCGTAAAAAGGTTGAACTCATCGAAATGATGATGCATTAGTGGGAGGAATGGATTCGATGTAAGGTGTTTAAAGTTTTTATGTCAGATTTGTTATTAGTTTGCCTCATTTAGCAAAGCTCCAGTGACCTGTTAAACGGGGGCGAGGGGGCGGGCAGCGGGGACAATTTGTGGTAAATTATGCAATTATTTCTAACAATGTGCCACAGAGGACAGCGAGTCTATAGCAGACCAGAGCTGAAGGAGGACTCTTCTCTCATTTTGCTTGTCTTATTTTTCTTTGAAGAAGATCTAAGGTGTGAAGATGCCAGAGATGGAAGAGCGAGAGGAATTGGCTAAAATGATCGGAGAGTGGAACAACAACAGACTGGACCTGTTTGAGATCAGCCAACCTGATCAGGTGGGATTTTATTTAACTAACAGATATTTTTGTTTGTTCTCAGGACTGTAATTTTGTTAATTGTTCTTAAACCTGTGAAAATGTCGAGGCTCAAAGAGCGTGCTCCAGACTATCCAGTTCAATCTGACGGCTCGTGATAGAAATGAACAAAACACACAAACATTGAATGTAGACTTTAGACACCATTCTGTTGTTGTTTTACTTGTTTTTACTCATTAGGACATTTCTCCATTCATATTTTTATTCTCTATAATATTCTGTTAGTTTTTTTTTTCACAGGATTGTAGTTTTTACTTTTGTAATAGTGGTAAATTCAATTAAACATTTTAATTATATAAATGGTTTTATGTTCAATGCACAGACTTTTATTCCTTATTAGATTTTTATATATTTTTTTCTTCTTTGCTCCTGTTGTCAACTTGATTTGCTGCTGTGACAATAGAATTTCCCTCTGAGGGAAAATAAAAGAATATTCTATTCTATTCTACTTTTGTTGTGACATTGTAAAGAAAAGCATAAACCTCAAAAAGACAAACATAAATGATGGCTTTAAGTATCACCAACTATGATGACATCTTGTTGGTAGATTATTTCTTTCTTTCTTTCTGACTAATCAGAACAACGGACAATCTAGTGTAGTCATATCTACTGATGTCCGTCAAGGCGGCTGTCCACCATACGTCATCAAAGAAGAAGAAGCTAATAGATCCTTTTTTTAAATGAAGAACTTAAGTCTAAATCATCAAAAGTTGATACCAAAGTTGTTTTAAACTAGTGCCTTTCCTGAGCCGACGCCATCTTTGTTGTTATTCTCTGTTGCAGCTGGTTGCAGCCCTAGTGCTAAGTCTGCCCAGCAAACATAGAGCGCTGTGATTGGCCAGACACAAAACAATGGCTGACCTGTTGAGCTACATTGGGGTGTGGCTAGGCTGACCTGCAGAGCAAAATTTTTATGCAATGGTCTAGCTATATGTACCAGAAGCTTTAACATAATGATACTCATGGTTTGTTATCTAAAATCTAAATTATACTACATTATGAAACTAAAGAACTATAATAATGTTTCCTATTTTATTTTTGTCTTCACACAGAACTTTAAATAGCTAATAACATTGACTGGTATTTGGATATTTAGACAATGATCAAAATCATGTAGATCATAGGAGTTCTGCAATTACACCACTCTAGTAAAAGTAAAGTTGCTCTTTTAATTTTTTTTTTGGAATATTCAGACGAGCACATCAACTTCTCCATCTATTATCAGTTAAATTCAGATTTCTTCTTCATTCTGATGCTCAGTTTGATCTTCTACAGAATCTGGAGTTTCACGGTGTGATCCGCTTCTACTTTGAGGACCATACAGAGGGAAACGTCGCCACTAAATGTCTGCGTGTTTGCAGCAACTCTCCAACTCGAGAGATTGTTAATATGCTTTCAGAGAAATTCAGGCCAGATATAAAAATGTGGTCGAGTTGTTATTCTCTGTATGAAATCCACACAAATAAAGGTAAGCATTTACTCTGGTGAGAAAAGTATTATGAAGTTATGGCTTCATGTACATTTCTTCCATACCAACTGGAGATATCATCAGAAATATATATATATATATATATATATATATATATATATATATATATATATATATATATATATATATATATATATATGGTTTGGGTCTGGTTTGGGTCAGCCACAAAAATGGACAAATGCAGACTACAGCGTATTATTAAAACAGCAGGAAAAATCATTGGTGCCCAACTGCCCTCTGTCCAGGAACTGTACATCAGCAGGACCAGGAAAAAGGCAGTGAATATTGTCCAAGATGCCACACATCCTGCATCTACTCTCTTCCATCTCCTCCCATCTGGCAGACGCTATAGATCACTGTACACAAAAACCACCAGACACAAGAACAGTTTCTTTCCTTCAGCCATTTCTCTCCTGAATCTGTAGATTCTTTTACCTTCCTTTTACTATAGTTTTTAATACTTAATCAGTATGCTTATGGATATGTGTGTGTGTGTGTGTGTGTGTGTGTGTGTGTGTGTGCGCGTGCGTGCGTGTGTGTGTGGGTATGTATATATGTATATAGGTGTGTGCGTAAATGAACATGTGTGTGGGTATTCATGTTCTTATGTGTTTTTAGGTATTTTTATTCTCATTTATTATGGTTGTGGTATGTTTTAGAGAGCGAACATCTACCGAAGACAAATTCCTTGTAAATGTAATTTTACTTGGCCAATAAATCTGAAATCTGAAAAAAAAAATATATATATACACACATATATATATATATATATATATATATATATATATATATATATATATATATATATATATATATATATATATATATATATATATACTGTATATATATATATGTGTGTGTGTGTGTAATTGGATTGTTCTGTGCAGTTTTCTGTCATCCTTGAATTATTTAGTTTTGTGGGTTTTTATGACCTACGCTGTGGTTTGGTCAAATAAAGTTTGTCTAAATTTGTTGTGCCTCTGTTTTAATTTTGTCCATGGATTAAGAGCGTAAATTGGATCTGGATGAAAAACCTTTGATGGTACAACTGAGCTGGAACTCCAATAACCGAGAAGGACGTTTTGTGCTCAAAAAGGAACCAGACAGTTTAGAGGTAACGTTCAATTGAAAGTACAAAGAAAAGTAAACAACTAAAGTTTTGCAAAACTTTCACATAAACCCCATTTTCTTCTTCTAATAAAAAAGGAAAGCTGTAACGAGAGGGAGAAGGGAGGCGTTCTCCAAACCTTTCGGAGGACTTTGTCAAGAAAAGGAAAGAAGAAAGAGAAACCCCTTTCAACTGGAAACATGTCAGAGGACGAGAGCAGGTAAAATCTGCACGGCTGGAATTTTTATCTCTAAATGATTGTCTGGTCATAAACCTTTAAAATAAAATAATCTCTTTTAAAATGACAATCTAGATCGGCTGATCTGCTTTGGGAAGCAAAGGAACAGAGTCAGATTCTGGAGGGTAAAAACCATTTTTATGTTCAAGTTTTAACTGAAATTTTGGGATCAGGTTGTTTATTGTCTCTGTTTCTGTCATTCAAACCTTTCAGCGTTGTCTGGATTACCAGTCAGAATTCAGATCAGTGGTAACGGTGAGTGTAATCATCAAAAGTTGATACAGTTGACAGATTAAATGGCCTCTCTGATATCTGCCTGCCCCCTGCTGGTTGTGTTTATCTTTCAGCTGAGGAGGCCTTCCTGTCAGCAGTCATAAATGACACCAACAGCTCCACCGTACATTTTAATCTCTCACCTGCGTACATCCTGTACGCAGTGAGCAGGTTTGTTCTGCAGCACCAGCTCAATGGAAGTCCTCCATCTACGGGGAACCCACACCCTGTGACATCCATCACAAGCAAAATGGTGGCCATGACAGGGAAGGTTATCCAGGCATGTTTCCCCATCTTCTAAGGATGCAATCACAAAATGCAGAAAACCTGGAATGAACTGGTTAGATCCCAGTAAGTTACAGTTTGCTTCCACAGAGGCAGCAGGCGATGGCGGGTGCTCTTGCTTTCTGGATGGCCAACTGTTCAGAGTTGCTGAACTTCTTTAAACACGACAAAGACCTCAACCTGCTCACTCAGCAGAGTCAGCTGGACCTGTCCCACCAGGTGCACACGGCCTACAGGTACGGACAGCCAATAGGGCTCTTCTCAGTGTGTAAGTGGACAACAATTGAAAAATAGTTACCATGATGTCTGGACTAAAGACTTTTTTTTAAATGATGCACCTACCAGAGAACAAGGAAACTGAGGGCTATTTGTACTGGGGGGGGGGGGGGGGGGGGGGGGATATACAATGAGTGTGTGCGCACAAACCAGTGGTGAACAACCTTTCCCATGCATATTTCCAGATTTACATGATCAACAATGAAAATGGAGAGGTGAAGTGTGCAGCTCCAGTTATCTGTCTTAGAGTGTCCTGCAAAGAGTGCAGTACAAACTGAGAACTTTGTGTAGAGCCTGAGAAGTTTTTCTGGGCCAAGAGGAAGTTACATAATTGTGTTGGAGCTGTGCTTGATGATTTTACCTATCTGAAGGCAAAGTGATGAAAAGCTGTGGTGCCATCTGCTGACCTCACTGGGTTTCCAACTACTGGGAGGAGCTGGGACCAGCGTTGTGTTGAAGTGTCCTGGTTTAAAGCCAGACTTATTCATTCTGGTGGATGGCCTAGTTTGGAACGGACTAATTGGCACAGTGCTGGACTGTAAATGTATTTAATTGTTCTGCTCACGTGGGTAATGACAATGACACCTGGAGAGGTGTGATGGGGAGAAATGGCCCCCTTGATCTGAATTAGAGCCATTTTGTTATTGAACTTCTGTGCTGGTCATAGATTGTCTATAATGAACACCATGTTCAAGCATAAATGTGTCCATATGTGCTCTTGGCACCAGGACTTTGTTGTTGTTTCATCTGATCTTCAGCCGAATGTCTTGGACACTTGGGTGAAGGGAGGGGCGAAGCTGTCAGCTGACTATTACCTGGTGGTGAGTTGGCTTCGATGGTGGGGGAGGATGCCGGTCAGACCTGGCAGGCCCAAACGTATTGTGAGGGTCCGCTGAGGACATCTGGCAAAGTCTCTTGTCAGAAGGAGCTTCAATTCCCTCCTCCGACAGAAGTTCCAGCGTGAAACGGGGGTGATTGCGTCCGAGTGGACTATGCCCTATGCTTCCATTGTCAAGGCGCCAACTGGAGCTGCGGCCGCAGGGTTGTTGGTGCCTGATGTCATGGCAATCCCCGAATCCGCTGGTAGACACCAACTGTTAGGGATGCTGTCAAGCTGAAAAAAAGAGTATCTGGTCTTTTTGGACTGTGTGACTTCAGAGGCAATTGATGGTTACCGGCAGCCCAAATGGGATGTGGCCCGGGTGGTCACAGAGGCAAAAATTTGGGAGGAGTTTGGTGAGACAATGGAGTAAGACTTCCATTCGACTTTGAGGAGATTCTCGTCCACCATCCGGCACCTCAGGAGAGGAAAGCAGTGCACTAGCAACACTGTTTATATTGTGGATGGTTTGCTGCTGACCTCTACTCGGAACAGTTCCACTGGATTGGCAGACTGGGGTAGCGGTCCCCCTATTTAAAAGGGGGACCACAAGATGTGTTCAAACTACAGGGGGATCACAATCCTGAGCCTCTCTGGTAAAATCTATTCAGGAGTTCTGGGGAGGAGGGTCCAACGGATTGTTGAACCTCGGATTCAGGAGGAGCAACGTGCTTTTCGTCCTGGTCTTGGAACACTGGACCACCTTTTTGCCTCTACACCCTTAGGGGGATCCGGGTGGGAGTTCATCCAACCATTTGTTGTGGATTTGGAGAAGGCATTTACTGCTTCCCTTAGGGGGCCCTTTGGGGGGTACTCCAGACGTATGGGGTACCAGACCATCTGATACAGGCTGTTAGGTCCCTATGACTGGTGCCAGAGCTTGGCCCACATTGCCAGCAGTAATTTGGGCTTGTTTCTAGTGAGAGTTGGACTCTGCCAAGGCTGCCCTTTGTCACCAATTCTGTTCATAACTTTTATGGACAGGATTTCCAGGTGCAGCCAAGGTGTTGAGGGCATCCATTTTGGTGGCCAAAGGATTGAGTCTCTGCGTTTTGCAGATGATACGGTCCTGCTGGCTTCATCAAAACATGATCTCCAACACTCACTGGAGTGGTTCGCAGCCGAGTGTGAGGCATTTGGGGTGAGAATCAGCTCCTCTAAATCCGAGACCATGGTCTTGATTCGGATAGGGTAAAATGCCTTCTCCGGGTCAGGGATCAGGTCCTGCCCGAAGTGGAAGAGTTTAAGTATCTCAGGGTCTTGTTCAAGAGTGAGGGAAAGCTGGAGTGCAAGATTGACAGGCAGATTGGTGCTGCGTCTGCAGTGATGCAGACCTTAAAGACCAAAGGTGACAGATGCTGCTGCGGCCCCCAGACTCTGGAACTCTCTCCCCCTGAGCCTGAGATCAGTGGACTCAGTGGTCTCCTTTAAAAAGCAGCTGAAAACTCACTTGTTCAAGCTGATTTTGGTGTGACCTTCATCACCCTCTCCTTGTTCTGCTCTCCCTACCTATTCTACCTTCCTCAGAATCCACTGATTTCCCTCTTTCCTATTCACTCTCTCTCTTTCTTTACATTATTTAATCACAATTGTATATTTTTTGCTCATTTTAAATATATTTTAAATCATTTTCTAAATTCTTTTTTATAGTTTTACATTTTTTGTTTTTGTGAAGCGCCTCGTGATTTTTATCTTGAGAAGCGCTATAGAAAATATATTTTCTTCTTCTTCTTCTGATGCAGGTATTGTAGTGATCTGTCGTGGTGAAGAGAGAGCTGAACCGGAAGGCAAAGCTCTCGATTTACCGGTCAGTCTAAGTTCCAACCCTCACTTATGGTCACAAGCTTCAGGCAGTGACCGAAAGAATGAGATCGCAAATACACTCGGCCGAAATGAGTTTTCTCTGCAGGGTGGCTGGGCTCTCCCTTCGAGATAGGGTGAGAAGCTCAGCCATCCGGCAGGGGCTCGGAGTAGATCCGCTGCTCCTCCACCTCGAGAGGAGCCAGTTGAGGTGGCTCGTGCATCTAGTTAGGATGTCACCTGGATGCCTCCCTGGAGAGGTTTTCCGGGCACATCCAACTGGGAGAAGACCTAAAGGAAGACACAGGACACGATGGAGGGATTATGTCTCTTGGCTGGCCAGGATTCTCTGGAGGAGTTGGCCCAAGTGGCTGGGGAGAGGGAAGTTTGGGCCTCCCTGTTGCCCTCACGACCTGACCCCCGATAAGCGGCCAAAAATGGATGGATGGATGGATGGATGGATGGATTTTCTAACAATCCCTCCCACTGACGTGCATAAAACCTGTCCAGCTCCAGACAACATGCTGTTTTTCCTCATTTGTAATGGTAAAAGAGAAAGACTTCCAGTTTTTGATGGTATTGACAACAGTTTTGAAGCTTTTTACGTTTTTGGTGCTAGCGTTCCTCCACACCAGTCCTGTTCCTGCCCTCCTCAGGGTCATACTGGGATGAATGAGAAACATCACCAGGATGTCTGTTAAATCTGCTCAGTTACAGCTTTAGTTGTGTGCGATTGCAGCCCATATAACAGCTGTTCTTCATATTTTAAAATAATTTTCTTGATCCAGAATGTGCTTAAATGACTCTTTGCAGGGTTAATAAAAAGTCACTCAGACCCCCACTGGCCCCTGTGGCCAGAACACTGCACTTGCAACTTCAGAGTGTCGGTCCGGTCCCTATTGGACTTAGTAAAGTGAAGCTGGAATGCCTGGTGCTGGAGACGAAAGCGCAGCAAGGAGATATGTTTCACTTTAGCTTTCACTAATAAAACACCAGGGGGTGCTAAAAGCAATCCAAAACAGTCTTGTACCCTTTAAATATAAACCAAACCTTTAAAAACAATCTGTCTCCAAAATAGGGCAACATGTAATTAAAAAAATTAAAAACAAGCTTGTCCAAATGTGAGATATTGTCGCACTCTGTGTTTAAAGGGATAGGATCAAGAGCAGGCGAGGGGAACCCTGGTCCTCGAAGGCCGGTATCCTGCATGTCTTTGCTCCAACACTTCTGATTCAGTGGTTGAATCACCTGTTCAGCGGCTCATCAGGCTCTGCAGAAGCCTGCTAATCACCTGCTGATTGAAATCTGGTGTGTTGAAACAGGGTTGAAACTAAAATATGTTGGATAGCGGCTCTCGATGGACCAGGGTTCCCCACCCCTGATCTAGAGTGACAACTGTATCGAAAGTCCAAACATTCATCTTGCATAGAAAAAAATAAACACCTTAAAATTAACACAAAAGTTGCATCTTAGTTGATAATTATTATTTATTCTCAAAGCTTCCTGCTTCAATGCTTCCACAATGAGCTACGAAAACATCTACCAACTTTCCTGATGGATCCAGAGCAGCATGGCACCCTCCCACCTGGTATAGGTAATTGTTCTATCATTCAGTACAGTAGAGGTTAAACGGTTTTACTTTAAACATCCAAATCTGCTTACAGAAATGGTTTTGAACTCCTTGATGAATGCCATGTCCTTGTTGCGCCGCTGTCGGGTCAACCCTGCCCTCAGCATCCAGCTCTTCTCCCAGCTCTTCCATTTCATCAGTGCCTGGCTGTTTAACCAGCTCATGGACCCAGAAAGCAGCACTCCAGGCCTGCGCTCCCACTACTGGGGGTCCACTCTGTGTCAGAGGCTTGCACCCATTGACGCCTGGGCGGAGAGGCAGGGCCTGGAGCTGGCGGCTGACTGTCACCTGGGACACATCAAACAAGTCTGTCTACTTGCAAACCCTCTCTTAAAATACAAGTTTGGGTCTTTTTGTGTGATAACACAGTTCTGACTTTATTTAAAGTTTAAAAATACGTCTCTTTTTGATGTTAAAATAGTAACGCCTGTCTGTTCCTAGGCAACCACACTTCTGACCATGAATAAGTACTCGATGCAGAACGCCAAGGACATCCAGAGCACCTGTTTCAAGTTGAACTCGCTGCAGATGCGGGTGTTGCTGACTGACTACCTCTATGCATCCAATGAGCCTCTCATCCCCCCTGTGAGTACGGTACTTTCAGCCCTCCATAAAAGACAGCTTTAATGATTGTTGTTTTTATCTCAACACTAAAGAATTAATTATTCCAGGCTCCAAAATAAAACATTAACTCAAACGTTATCAGGGATTTTGATATCGGAAGCTCCAGCAGCAGAACATGAGCTCAGCTTATTAGCATGAATAATTGATAATAATGAATATGACCATGAATAATAAATGAAGGATAGCAAAATGGTTTTCACATGACTTCATTGATTTTGAGTGAACTGTTCTCTGATGCTGAATATTAACTGGGGGAAACTATTACAAGGATGCCATCAGCTGTGATCAGTCAGACTGGAAGGCTTTTGGTAGCTGATTTAAAATAATGTAGTTATATAGGCTCAGAAAAAACCTGGTTTTTAATACAATACAACCCCAAATTTAATCATGCACACTAAAAAATACTGGGTTATTTTCAAAACCCAACTGCTAGGTTAAAGCCTTTGGGTACAACTTTGGGTTTGATCGACCCGATATTGGTTAAAAAGCCTCGACTCAGGAGTTGGGTCAGCGATGTGTCGGGTTCTTTAATCAACCCCAAAGCATGACTAACTATGTTGGGTCAGGGTAGCTTTGACCAACTGCTAGGTCAAAATATACCCAACTGGTGGGTTGAAGACAATTCTCCGAAAATGCATCATCCTCACAAACGGTTTTCTGTGTTAAGATAACCCGGTGTTGGGTGCAACCACTATCTACCCAGTGGCTGGGTTTAAATTGGGTTGTTTTAAGCCAATGCTTTTAGAGAGTGATGACTTTATTTAAACACATAAATACAGAATCTTTTTACTCATTTTGGATGTTTGACATTTCATTGAAATGTGATAAAATGTTTTTAGAAAGTTATTTTATGTTCATTTTTGTTTTTGTGGTAGAGTTGTGGAGAGCAGGTACATATAGGCAATGTCTTACCAGCTGTGGAAAGATATTAGAGTGATGTCATTATGGAGCGTAATAGTGTGAGTGTCCTGTCACTGTATCCCGATTGATCATGCGCCCTGGCTACTAGGCCAAGGGGATGTCCCTTCGGCTGACTGGCGTGACTCTCACCTGGGAGTCTGGGGATCAAATCCTGCCCGGGCCCTCATTTCTCCACCTTGCCACAGGAGAATCTTATAAAATCCTTAAAATATGAAACTTAAATAAATTTAACTGAGTCAAATGTGCAGAATTGTGTAAATGTACTAAAACTTCCTCACTTCTCTCCTTTTGATGATTGTGCAAACATCCCTGCTTTGCTGTGCTTGGAGGAGCCAACTGCTAACACTAATGGAAATGTAGTAATTGCATGTTTTTCTAGACTTCACAGCACAACATATTGTGCAACATATCTCCACCTCTGTAGGGAGATTTAAGAGCAGGGTCAGACCTTTGGTTTGGCTGAGGCTCACTGCAGTAGGATGGTTGTCCCTCTCCTGTGTGACGATAACTGAGAGAATTCACTGGATCAACTTGACCCTGAAATATCTCTCTGCCTGTCACCCTCTCTGCAGGACTTGATTGATGTTGTGGTAAGAGCTGCTGAGGCCTCTGCGGATAACCTGATTCGGGGTGAAGGATGGGACATCCATCTGGAGGAGAGCTTCTTCCTGCACCTGCCTTTCTTGCTGCCAGAGGGTGGATACTCTTGCAACGCCATGAGAGGAATCCCTCAAGGGTTTTATGAGTTTATGGAGCCGATTTGTCAGAAAGGTTGGGGATTCAGCCTTCAAAAGCAGGTGCTTCTGTGTATTTGCATGACGATATGCCCTCCTCTTACAGGTATCTGTTCACTGGCGTTTCAGCCAGAGTCTGGAGGTGACTGGACGGTGTACTTCAGTGAGTTTGCACATTCTGACCAGGACACATACTTGGTAAGACATCATATTAAGTGATTCCAGATATTTTGGAGTGTTGCATATTTAATGTAGGTGTTATTCAGCCAGCAGCACACACCCAGCCAGAGATTGAAACCATCACTTTACACAAACCTCTGAACAGTGGGATGGGGATTAGCATCGTAGCTGCCAAGGTGACATTTTATTTTGCCTCTTTTCCAACATCCAAACTTTCTGCACAATGGCTCCGTAGCTGAACATCCTTCCTGTCGTCTCACCACAGGCAGCAGGCCAGGATTACCTGGGGATCTATATTAAATCCGTTGTCAAGGGAGGACCAGCTGACGTGGTGAGATCATGACACATTTTGGGACGAAAGACTGCTTACTGTGTTTTATGATATTACATAAGAAAAGTGTGTTTAACGGTGTGCAGAGTGGGAGGTTAGCAGCAGGAGATCAGCTGCTCAGAGTGGACGGTCACAGCCTGGTTGGACTCAGCCAAGAAAGGTGAATGCAAAAAGTATCCGTCAGATACAGCTGCCATGAAATATTTCCAAAAGCAAAGAAAATGTAATAAATGCAAAAATAAGGAAAAAACGTCCTTGCAGGACTGTCTGAAACCTGTTGCTTTTAGTTTGAAACGAAGACCATCTGATGTTTACTAGTGCAGCTATTTTTGTAAAATCGTGAACATCAAACATGATATGTGGCTCTAACCCTGTTTGTGACCTTTTGACCCTCAACCCCAAACAGTGTATGTCAAGTCTCGGTGTAAAGCTGGATGCTGAACTCACAATGGCCCCACAGATAAACTCCGTAGTGAGGTCTTGCTTTTATCAGCTTCGCCGCCTGACTCGCCTCAGACAAATCCTGAAACGGAGGCATTTGGAGGCGGTCATCCATGCTCTCCTCGTTGGTGTTCTGGTCTCTGCCCTGAATCGGCTGCAGGTCGTCCAGAACGCTGCTGCCAGGTTCTTGACGAATACACACCGACGTAGCCATATTACCCCTGTCCTGGTACATCTTCACTGGCTCCCTGTCATTTTCAGAGTACAGTTTAAGTTATTGACTTTTGTATTTAAAGCACTCAATGACCTGGCACCTCCCTATCTCTCTGACCTGCTCACTCCATATGTACCCACGCGCACGTTGAGGTCGGCTGACCTTTTGCTGCTGTGTACGCCGCGGATGCTATACAAATCGCGGGGTGAACGAGCATTTGTGCATGCTGCCCCAAAGCTGTGGAACTCGTTGCCCACTGGAGTACGGCAGGCTCCATCACTGGCGGTTTTTAAATCTCGTTTAAAGACCCCCTTTTACGATTTGGCTTTTAGACAGTGATTCGTTTTAGTGTTTTATTGTGTCATTGTTTTAATGCGTCCTTAGAATTCATCATGTTTTATCTGCTTTGACTGGTATTTTTATCCTCTAGAATGGTCGCGTTTTGTTTTAGCCTGTGCAGCACTTTGGGCAGCTCCCACGCTGCGTTTTAAACGTGCTATATGAATAAACTATGGTATGGTGTGGTATGTGGCCATTTAGCTAAAGCTTGTATGATCTTTCAGCTCTTGGCGAACATGTGAAGGACTCTCAGCCGCTAACACACCAGATTATAGCAGTCTGTAAATCTAATGGGCTTTGCTGGTTTGCTAATGTCCTTCAGTCCAAGCTCACTATAAGTTTTCTACACTATCACCTCTAATTTGACACTGTTGGCCTTATGTTCTTGCAGGGCAGCAGCAATCATGATGCAAACGGGGCCTGCTGTGGCCTTACAAGTTGCAAAGTTTGGAGCGAGCTATCATGGTCTCCGGGGACTTCTGAGTGGACCAACTACTAAAAATACCACAGGTAGGAACCTAAATCTAATCTTTTTTTCCCCCTTTTTATGGCTTTTAATACCTAATGAAAACCTTCTAATCTCAGAAGGTGGTGGGGGTGGAGACAAGCTGAACAGTAAACGGTCCATGCTGTACTGTGGTGTGAATCTTGGCCCTTCAGAGCGGCCCCACGAAGGCAGCAAAAGTAAGAAGGAGCAGGTGATGCAGAGAAACAGACAACTGTACCGCTCCAACCCCAACATGACCTGTGAGTGAGCTTGTTTTTAAACACATTCAGCTGCTGGGCACATTATCCTTCATGTAAAATACATGTAATGCACGAGGGTGAGTCAAAAGAGCGGCTCTGCCACCATTATTTTCTGTTCCAGTGGATTGTCGCCCAGAGGAGGGAGAAGAGTCTACCGACCCTGATGTGAAAGGAAACTATTCCGTCTCTGGTAGCAACCTGATGTGCACAGATGTGGGTTTTTTACTAGATAATCCTAATTTAGCTGTGATGAATGAACGCTTCATCATGAGAAAGTGATAGAAACTTGTGTTTAGGCCCCTTCAGACATTTTGTTGGTGGTAAAAATGTGTTGATAATCATATTTTTATGAACCAGAACTTTGTAAAATTGAATGATTTTATGCCACAAATGGTATGATCTTCTGTATTTTGTCTTTAATTAGACGTATCACAGGGAATATTTAACCCTTCCGAACCCTAAATCTAAGCCTGTTTCTGAACGGAGCCGACCACAGCAAACCTTCAGAACGTTTGTGAGTCCTTCAAATGGACCGAGCTCTGCTAAAAGAACCTTAATGGTTGGTTTTTATTTACTACTGGTTAAAATTGTTGCTTGCACAGATTTGTGCTGAATCTGACTGGAACGTGTACTGTCCTGTTTAAGCGGCAAGCCCAGTCACAGGAGGATGTGTGTATGAACAGTGGAGGCCCCCTGCTGGACCAAAACCAGAACACACGGACCCAGAGGGACCAGATTTTAAAGCAACCACTGAGCCTTTACTCATCTTTCCCAATTCGCTCAAGTGTTTCTGCTCATGACATTCTCTCCAGTCACAACAAGCAGGACAGCTGCAACAGTTCAGCTGGAGTTTGGAGAACTCCCTTTAAGCATCAGTCAGCAGTTACACCTTCAATCCAGCCCAAACGCATCGACATTCCCATCACCAGAGCAGCAAATCCTCCTCTCACTACCTTCCAGAGCTCTTCAGCGAGGATGGGCCAGACCGTTAAAGTCAGCAGACCCAAACAAAGTCCTCAATACCAAGAAAGTCCAACGTCTGCAACCAAGAAGCAGCCTCTGCCTCCAATTTTGTGGCAGCAGCATCGATCAGCTGCAAGCGGAGAAAAGGCAGAAAAACCCCAAGTGAGCATCCCTCCGACCAAGCACGTTTCCTTCAAAGAGCTGCCTTCTCAGCAAAAGATCACGAGTCCCAGGAAGCAAGTGTGTGATCCCTGGAAGAGGGAGGCCCAGGAGAAACTGGAGAAGGAGCAGCACGTTCAGGCCGTGGAGCTTCTGGAGAAGGAGGTGCAGCGGCTTCGAGCTAAAGAGAGACTGACAGCGGAGGAGAACGACAGACTCCGAAGGCTCAACCTGGAGTGGCAGTTTCAGAAGAGGCTGCAGGAGGTTCAGAGTAGAGGAGAGGAGGAAGAAGATGAAGATTTGGATATGATGGTGATCCAGGTAGATTCTTCACTTTTCCAGTTAGCTCACTTAGCTTTACTTGGATTATTTTACGTGTGTTTGGTGTTAGAAATGTTGCACCATCCAACAAACGTTTCAAGTTTTGGGGACCGTGATCACATTTACACCCAAAATGTTTAACGTGCTTGTTTAGGAAAAGAGCAGCTCTGGAGGAGGGGACAACTGGGAACAAAAAGAAGGAAAGAAGGCAGAGGTTAACCTCTTCCACGAAGAAGACAAAGCAAAGATTGGTAACAAATCTAGGAAGAAATCTGATTTTGTTTATTGAAAATTGTGTTTGCCTATCTGACATTTCACTTCATATGATATCACATGTTTTTTGTTTGTTTTTGGCAGAACAAAAAGCAAAACTGAAGTACGAAATGATGACAGCAGAAGGGTGAGTTCACACTTTACATACCGTAGTTTAACACAAGGAAATGATTTAGACAGCAACGTGAAATTCCCCCCCACACACATGAAGCTGTTTTTAGCTTTTATTTTGAAAGAGCAAGAAAACAATGTCCCTGAGTAAACAAAATCAAAAGATGTCACTTTATGTAGATTATGGCCTGAGAAGCTGTAAGTGCCAATATATATATATATATATATATATATATATATATATATATATATATATATATAAAAAGTCAAGTCTTTCTGGTTGTTTATTTGCAGAAACCAGGACGAGAAAATCCGGAGTGTGTTTGCTCCGGAACGGCTCTCGTTCAGAGAGCGTCAGCGTCTCTTTACTCTGGAGTCAAGTGCTTAACAGAAACCTCAGCAACTCTCTGACAGTGAAATGACAACATATAAGTGCCATGTAAGGGGTAGAGTGCATGCATTTGTTGTAGAAATGTCAACAATTAGCTAAATGATTTCATTTGATAACAGTGTTTTTAATATCTGAATATTTTTCCATGTTTTAGAAAATAAGAACACTCTTATTTTCTGTTTATTGACTGTTTGCTAACATGTTTACTAACATCTGAAGCAGAATCATTCCTGTTTCCGTCCCAATAAAAGTTATTTAGAGCGCTGATAAAACTGCACCACTGACTTCTCCTGTTCATGAGTTTCGATGGAACCGGGTCGCATCCTTCGGATCTCGTTGATGGCGTCGATCCCAGAAATCTTCCTCTTCTTGACTAAGTAGCAGGCCAGCATGGTCCCTGTTCTTCCATGGCCGTGCATACAATGAACCGCCGCACCCTGAGGACAAACAAAACTCTGTTTTACATCAGATGCTTGTGACAAGGCACACACCCAACGTTACTTTCTGTTGAGATGGGAGTTTGTTTTTCCTGCACACACCTGGAACAGTTAGGCTTTAATTCATCTAGGGTCTTAGACCCTTAACCAAGACATCTGGACTCTTTTATGATTAATTATTTTGTGTTTAGAAATCTTACCAAAAAAAAAAAAAAAAAAAACTTTGATGCTGACAAGGTGAAACATGAGTTTTATGTGATTTTATATTCTGATAAAGTTTTCCAAAACCTTTTTACCACATTGTGAGTTCTGCACATTAAAGAAGCTCCAAAATACATGCCGAGTCTTTCAGGCCACATTCTTGAATTAGTTAGTATAAAATAGTAATCTCAATCGTGAAAAGTTCTGAAAATAGTCCTCACCTCTCCTTTTGAGTTGGCATCTTCTGCAATTGAGAGAAATGTGTCAATCTGAGTGGGAGATGGAGGAGTGAAGTCTGCTATCTTAATGTGGTGAAGCTTCAGCTCCGGACATGAGTCATGCTGAGGTGGTTTCCTCTCACACAGACAAACCAGGTGCTTGATCCCATTATCCAGCAGGTAGCGGTATTCGCACGGCATGCTGGGCCTTGCCAGTCCAGCCAGTTTACCTGGCTCCACCCAGGAGAAGTTGTGTGGAGGAGAGGAGGCCATGAGGCTGAGCAGAAGACAGCATTTAGACTATGCTTGTTTACTGATTTAGAGAGACATTTCAAAACACATTCAGCTTTAATGTAATTAGTCTGTCAGGGTTTCACATCTGTACAAATGTAATGGAATCGTTTGTTTGTTTAAAAAAATAACAAAACATTTACCAAAAGTTATTGCATTTCAGATTGATGGAGTGCAATCAGTTTGGTAATAAATGAACACATTAACACTCTGTGACTTAATAAATGACAGATAGTAGCCTAATAATAATAATAATAATAATAATAATAATAATAATAATAATAATAATGTGTACTACTAACACATTTCAACATGTATTTTGAGTAGGAATCTTCAGATGTAAATAAAAGTCTAACCCCTTCAAGTCCCGGGAAATCTCGTGAGATTGTCGTTGTGTACATTATCCAAAAAAACGACTCAGTTTACCGCGGTGCATAAAGATTACTCACAAACTGCAGGTCAATATTAGCACAAGTTTACTGGTTGAACTAGACTCTCCAGCAACTCTTTACAAACTTTATTAGCTAGTAACACGTTTAGAGGTTAGCTGGGAGTCAAGCTAGCTTTACCAAAACAAAAACACAACTAATAGGTAGCATTTAGCTATTTATTAGCTACAGAAGATGAACATAGCTATCGTCTTTCATTTTGAGAACGTTGAAACGACGCACATCAGTGTCTTCTATTTGTGTAAATATGCATTAAATATCCAAACACATCAACCTCATCCGAAGGAAGTTACTTACAGTTTATATGAAAAAAAAGAACCGGTGAGCGTCGAGCTGCTGTTGCTAGCTGAGCTAAATGCTACTACCGCTAGCTACTTCCACAAGTTGCTCCTAAACTAGATATTACAGTGAGTTTACTGAGGTAAACCGGTTATAAAACCTAGCTGAAGTCCATCGCAATGAAAGGTGGGGCAGGCAGTGCCAGCCTATACATATCCATCATTGTGGATAATAGTTGTCAGATACGAAAGACAGCTAATCCGTTGATTAATAGCAGCATTATTATTGTGGGAGCTGTGTTGTCGCGACAGATTTTTGTATAACGTAACGTGTTTATAAAATTGTCATTTCCCAACATACTTCACTTAACTTAGAATCATAAACATCTGTTCCGCTCTTCTCATCACGAGTCAGGATGGCCGAGCGGTCTAAGGCGCTGCGTTCAGGTCGCAGTCTCCTCTGGAGGCGTGGGTTCGAATCCCACTTCTGACAAGTACTTTTTTTCACACCTCAAGAAGATGTTACACTACTACCCTATAAATGCTTGATAATATTATCTGATCTTTACCAAATTATTTCTTGTCTACAATCATTTTGAAGCCTAAATGAGTAAGTCTTTATACTGTGACTAACGTCTTGAAGATTATTGCAATTTACTAATGATCTCGGAAAAGGAACCTCTTCAAATACATTTACTGGACTTGTTCTTACATTTACTTATATAATATATAATGCTGTTTGCTGATGCCTGTTGTAGGCAGCAATTTTGTCATTAAACCCTGATGCCGTCATCATTACCAGTACCTTTTCATTTTGCATTCTGCAAACATTTTTTTATTTGTACATGAGAGAGTAATGAGTCAGAAATTTTTGTTCATTAGCATCAACATTTGTACTTGCTTCTTCTTTTGGCATCATGGCGGAGCCTGGAAGTAAAAAGTGTCTTATGAACGTGCCCTAGTGGCATGGCAATGCAAGAATTTTACAGCATTCGTTTTGCCAAGCTTGGTGGTAATATTGCTGCAACGCTGGACTTGTGAATGCATATTACACCTTGGGTGGTGTCACATGGGGAATTACTGTAGAGCTCCAGCCATCAACTATGTTGAAAATGAAAGTAAACATGGTAGTACGTTTTGCTTTTGTAAACAAAATCAGCTGAGACGGTAAACTGGAGTGATGCAGAGCTCCAGGAGCTTCTCTCTGTTAGAGATGGAGGTCGAATCACAAGAGACTACACAGGGACTGTGGACGACAGACACCTTTAGGAGCAGCTTGTCAAAAAATCGTAATGACTGCAATAAGAAACAAGTTATGTCCAAGTTAAGTGGAAGTCCATGGCAGGGCAGAGACACCCCCCCCACCCCCCCCCCCCCCCACCCCCTTTATACCTCCATTGCATGTTTTTTTTGTAAAAAGGACACAATTACGCCGCATTACCGCCACGGTCTGGCTACTTTTAAACAACCTAAGGCTCCCTGATGTTGCCTTAGCCTTGCGGCAAATTGACGGCATTCTTTTCTAAAAGAGGCACAGGACAGTAATGCCTTTGGAGGCGAAGCAAAGAGCTAAAACCGGAGTAAATATCAGTGCGGCCTAGCTATTTGAGGGAGCTAAAGGAGGCTAGTAAATCACAGACTGATGGTGACCGGGCTTTGTTGCTACTGGACTTGTAAGTTATACAATTTTTGTCCAACAGTGTGGACCTTTTGACTTCATGGTTCATTTTAGTATTAGTTGGCTCATCTTAAAGTTAGCTTGTTGTTAGCGATAGCTACAGCAGTCTGCTGCAGGGTTGTTTACGACAGCTGTAATTCCACTGAGGGCGGAGGAGCAGGAAACTGCTCACTGTTACTTTATTATCGGGTAAAGGTTAGAGGCTAGCGTTGACCTAACAATGCTAACAGTAAATTAAAAGCAAATACTTGGCTCAAAAAATCTTGAGCTACTTTTTCAAATACTAACAACTCAATGAGAAATGTATTCATCTACTTATGAACTTATTGTGTTTGACGCTTTTGCATCCAAACCAAAGCTAAGCTACAAATTAAAGGACAGAGAAAAGGCTGTTTGCTTGTTTCATGCAATAATTAATGATACAAACACAAATATCCAGAACTCACAGCACAGCACAGTTTACTTGCTATTCGCTTTGTACAAAGAATAGAAAGAAGGTTTTAGTCTGAAGGAGACAAACAGTATCACATTTGTTGGATAGATGTTCATACATTAAAAAGCGTTCACTAAACTGCAGGTTTAAAAAAGACAGCAAAAGCAAAAGAAAGCAGTTTATACGTACAATTAGAAAAAGATGTCTTGGTAAATCTGGAGCAAACGTGAAACAAACAATCAGGTTGGTGTGTTTTGGTTGATGTTCTACAGCACTTCACCCTCCCATTAACCATTTACTAGAACACCAAAAGTCCCCTTCCCTCCAAAAAAAAAAACCCCAACAACAACAAAATATGTTTTATTCTGTAAATTTGTACAAATGGTAACCTTAAAACTGGGTAGGTTGATTGGTTGTCCCATCACCCATCACATCTCTGGGTGAAAATCATCCTCACCATCATCCCTGTTGTGTCATCTAAAAGCACATATCCCTTCAACATTACCTCAAAAAGTTCTCATTGGTTACATGTTAACTCGGTGGTTTGGATCATTTATTTATTTATTTTTTTGGCACTCTGTAAGTGAGTGAGTGAACCAATAGCAGGGTGTCGGTGGGCGGGGCATAAAAGACCATACCCTCCTACTAGAAGATTTCTACATAGTTTGAACATCCATGTACAAAGTCCCACCCGAAGCACACAGCTGAAGGAACCCTGCTGAGTTTACAGGATGGAACAGAAGAACTTCTTCTCCCTGAACGGGTTCTCTGATGCTGGCACTGGTGATAACAGAGGGTCCTCTTTGGCATGGGCTTCGCAGTAAGACATCAGGTCTGCTGCTGCTTTAGACACCTGCAATCAGACAGATGCAGAAAATATTCTCACAGGTTAGAGACTGCTGACACCTCACTGTGCTGCAGTAAAAATGTTCTTTTTTTAAAGCATTTATCAACCCCTTTAATGCCCAATGATTCATATTTGCTCCACATATTTCTAAGTTTGCTGGACCTCTTTCAGATTAACTGCTTAAACTCTAAAATGCACTGAGCAAAACTAAAAAAATGACTAAATTAAAACAAATCCAAAAAAATATTTACTTTTAAGTCGTGGTTTACGTGTTTATTCAATACATTTGCAGTTTTCTCCAGTGAAAATCAATGTCTTATGAGTCATTTAAAAATAAAAAAGCAACAATTCTCCTTTTCTGAGATGCAGAGGTAGGCTGAAAACAGCAGGACTGCTCATTATTATTAATGATATGCACACACCTCGCTTTTGATTGGCTAACAGAATGCGTTCTGCCATGTTGCAAAGTCACTATCAGTAAGAGACTCTGCGCTCTCTCCTTGCTGCAAAAATTATTTTTTAAAAGCCTTCCTGTGTGTGGGCGTGGGTCAATATGGGCAGAGCCATAAATGCTAATTCACAGTGCGACATAGAAATGTGAGTATTTTCAAATCCCAGCGTTTGCTGTCTAACTTCTATCAGAAGCTAATGTAGGAGACTATCTTAATGTTCAGCCTGCATGAAAAACTCAGTGTGACTGATTATAATCAGAAATAATCATTAAAAAATGTTTCTCAGTCAACCACACCTTTTAAAATGTATTCTATTATTTTTATTGTGATTACCTTAAATTATATTTGAAACTTCATTATTTAAAATTAATACAAAACATGCGAAATGCATACTTTCATTGCTTTTTTAAATTCTTTATGTGGAAGTTAAAGGGATTAGTTCAGCAAACTTCTACTCTATTGAATTCTGTGCTAGTCTTCTGCCTCCTGGTGGAAGATCTAAGAGCTGCAGGAGATAATTGCCAATTATATTATTCCAAACTGTTGCATTATTGTAAATAAAATAAAATCTTCAAACTAGACAAAGAGAAGAATAAAAAATGGCTGAGTTTAGCAAGCTTTGCATCCTTTTACCAGAATGAAAGAAGGAGCACTAGAGACAACAGGAAGTCCTGCTCACCTTTATCCTGTCAATGTTGGCCTCCATCTTCAGCTGCTCCACCAGCTTCCTGGCCTGTGCAATGCTGGCCGTGTTGTTGCTCGCCATGGCCGCTCTGAGTTGGTCCGGGTCCGCTCGGCCTGCTGGGAGGAGATGCAGACTTAAATATCAGAGACATTTAGGTTCACTGGTGAACTCTACAGGCATGTGGTGCTGGTGACAGATAGCCTGTTTATTATCACAGGCCTGTGCGAGCGCACACACACACACACACACACACACACACACACACACACACACACACACACACACACACACACACACACACACACACACACACACACACACACACACACACACACACACACACACACACACACACACACACACACACACATTATTTATGGTGTCAGTTGCTAGGCAGCTGCTGACAGTGAGGAGGAGGTGGACAATGTGGGTGGAGAAAGAGGGGGTGGCGCTTTGTCCAACACTGTATTTAAGACAGATAAAGAATAAGAAGTGTTGAAGCTTTTCAAAATAAAAGTTTCTATTATGGAGTGTTTTCTCAGTGAAGGATAATGATATGATGATTTAGCTGCTTTGGGAATAAGGCATGCTCTGTTTGCACACCGCCGGTTATTATTCTGCAGTTTTAATTTCCTAATCAAAGCAAAGGTGAACACCGGTATCGGGAGTAGAAGCCACTCTTCCCCTTGACACTAGCTACAGAGCTGCACAAACAACATCCCACTCTGCAGGAGCTGGGGGGGGGGGGGGAGCTTAGCTTTTAATTAAGGGTGCCATGAGGTCAAAGGTCAAGTCATTTTTCAGTTGGCTGATGGTCGTTTATTGAACTTTTTTATATGAAAGACTGATTAGTTCTTATTTGTGGGACAAATGTTGAATAAAATGGAAAAATAAATCTGTTGTTTTCATGGGGGTGCAATGACTAGTCCAAGGGGAGCTATAGCGCCCCCTGATGTTTATTATGACTTTTTCTCTACGTTTTAAGTGTGCTTCTGCAAGAGTTATAGGCCAAATAATTACCATCTTACGTTTATGAGCATAAATATCCTCACCAACAACAAAGTGCTGCACATCTGGTGCACCCAGAGGCCAAGACTAGCAAGGATGGCTGAATATTTCTGTTTAATAACCATGTTCATAAAAATACAAATTGGCCGAGTTGCTTTTGTTAAGCATCTCATGAGCAGTTCCTCTAAACGGAGGTCATTCTGGGAAGTTTTACACTTCAAATTGATGGAAATATCCCTTTGAGTGCCCTGGGATGCTCCCCTCTTTGATCAGCTGGAACAGCATCCTCCTCGGTGTGAGATCAATCATCCCTGCTACCGTGTGTGTGTGTGTGTGTGTGTGTGTGTGTGTGTGCTATTGGGTGGGCAACAGTGTGGGATCAGTGCTGATCTCAGTCAGAAGTAAATAATGCACATCAATGCTCCACTGGAGAACATCTGCTTACCGGGTCATGGAGCAGCTCCAGGAACTAAAAGCTCAGCGTCAGGTCACGGGTCACACACGATCATGATAGAACAGATTTGTTGTCCTTGACCTCGAGGCGCCATCGTCTGACTCAACGCTTCACTCTGGTTTGATGCAACGATCTACAATAACTGTCTAGTTTTCATTTTCAGTCTGACCCAGCCGGATCGTCTCTGTGAGACATCAGAAAAGACCCAAAGACATTTTGAAGTGGATTTGTAAGCATAGGCTGCAGCAGGATCTCAGTGGAACGTAAACACTTGGCTCTGCTGAGGGGTTCTGCTCGTCCTCAATGTGATGCTGAGAACGCCACCTTGTAGGGACATGGCCACATCATTATTTTGAATCATTTAAAAAGAAAAGATTCTTACGCCAAACAGATCAAGAGCAGAAGTTAGCTCTGGATGGTTTCTCACATCAAGGTCAAAACATTGTTTCAACGCTCTGGGGAAACAACTAAACAGGCCGCGGCGTCTTCTGACTGTTGATGGGTTTGACGTCAGTCCTTAAGGTTTCTGGGAAGTCTTCATCTTTTATTTGGAAAGGAGGAATCTGAGATGAAGGATGTGTCCATGAAGATTTAAAGTTAGCTAAATGTTTACAGACATGTTAGTGTTAACTCTTGTTTCTAGAGGTGTTTGAACATCTACTATGCGCTCCAGAAAAATGTCAAGAGACACAGTAAAACTTCTGCACTTTTAATGACCCAGACCTTTTCTAGCAGAGCATGCCACTAAACCTCAGACGTTTGAATTCCATCAGCGTTTCCAGGTGTTTCAAACGAAAAGTGGCTCATCTCCTTCTCAAAAAACGTAGGTGAAACATTAAAAATGTCGTCATCGTGTGAAGGCGAGACACTTTTGTGATGCTGCGGGTTTTCCCTACAGTTTTTTATTGTGAGGTAAGATGTGCATTTGCAAAAGGAGCACCTAAATGTGGGCGTAACGCTGCCAACAAAGTGCTCACTAATCCCCTGTAATGTTTTTCTGTTGCTATTCATTCTTGCTCTGAGTAGCTGGGTGGATTCAATGATTTAACGGCCCCACAATAATTAGAAATATCCATTTTACACTTTTTTTTAGCTTTTCAACTCCCAGGGGCCTCAGCAGCATGTAGAAGATCCATACGCAGCCACAACAGCAGCCTTATTAGCTTAGCTCCTCCTCCTCCTCCTGCTGGTCACATGTCGCTGTGGAATGACATCCTATTTTGGCAGAGTTTTGCAGCATTACCAAAGCCCTTATCTGTGTTGCTCAGTCCCATAACTGCATGTTTCAGTTGAGCTTTGTGGCACAGGTGACTAATCCTGCTCTCAAAAATAGATATTATAATTATTACAACAAAAAATAGTCAACCAAACCCAAACTGAAACAATTTCTGTCTTTTGTTGGTGGTATTACTTCATATTTTTGGGATATTTATGGTTTCAATACAGATGCAGAGGCCAGACCTTAATCCCGTAATGATACACGCTGAGAGAAGATCAGGGAGATGTTTGGTAAGGCCGAACCAGACTACAAACTGATTTTCTGAATTGCTGGTTCAGTTGAGTCATCTTGAGAACAACTGCATGGTTCGCTCCCTCTGTCTTACCTTGTCTACTTGATCCCCCGCTCTCTGCCCTGGTGTCAGCCTGAAGTTCAGTCAGCAGCTCTTGTGCACTACGCTCCCTGTAATTAGGAAGACGTGAAGAGAGGTCAAAGTGGCTGCGAACCAGAGCTCTGCACACATTCAGTTCTGCATTCCAGTAACGGTGAGGTGTGTGGGGATAGCCTGAGACCTCTGATCGCCACGCTAGAATGTCACGATTCAAAAAACACACAGAGGGAGAAACAAAATGCCACAATGGGGAGATGCTGTCAAGCACAAGAGATAACTTATAAGTTATTCAGCCTCAGTGCCAGACCATTTCTCCAGTGAACTACTCTGTTAGCATAGACCCTAGCTGTAGTTTATACAGTCGATAGCTGACCCTAACTTTCTCTTCATCAACCCTCATCTCCGTGACCCATCATTCATCCAGATTCATTCTTAATGCATCTGTGGCTCTTGTCTCTGATAAATGGGCCTTTTACCCTGCATGAACTGATCTGCTGAGGAAGGGAATTCCACCCGTCGTAACTCATGGCAACGCTAAAGCAACATTACAGCGAGGCAGCCATTAACAAATCCTCACCCCTGAGACAAAGTATTCAAGCAATGCTGCGAATGAAATAAAAGCACATAAAGGAGAGCTGGAGATCTGAGAGTAGAGCGCTGTCATCACTCTACCTTTATTCTTCATGGATGCTCTTAGTTCTTCCTGTGTAGTGAGATGTTCAGATGCTGAGCTTGATGGGTGATGGGAAGTTTATCGTTTAATACTACAAACTACTACTTTTTTATATTTACTCATTTTTGGGGTTTATTTAGTCAGCCACCAGTTGTGCAAGTTGTCCCAAAGATGAGAGAGGCCTGTAATTTTCATCATAGCGATGCATTAACCATGAGAGACAAAATGAGAAAAACAGATCCATAAAATCACATTGGCTGATTTTTAAAGAATTTATTTGCAAATTATGGTGGAAAATAAGTATTTGGTCATTAACAAAAGTCCATCTCAATACTTTGTTATAAACGCTTTGTTGGCAATGACAGAGGTCAATGTTTCCACACACTGTTGTTGGTATTTTGGCCCATTCCTCCATGCAGATCTCCTCTAGAGCAATGATGTTTTGGGGCTGTCACTGGGCAACACAGACTTTAGACTCTCTCCACAGATTTTCTATGTGGTTGAGATCTGGAGACTGGCTAGGCCACTTCAGGACCTTGAAATGCTTCTTATGAAGCCACTCCTTCGTTACCCGGGTGGTGTGTTTGGGATCATTGTCATGCTCTTCAACACCCTTGCTGATGGAAGGAGTTTATCACTCAAAATCTGATGATACATGGCCCCATTCATTCTTTACTTTACATGGATCCGTCATCTTGTTCCCTTTGCAGAAAACCAGCCCTAAAGCATGATGTTTCCACCCCCATGCTTTACAGTAGGTATGGTGTTCTTTAGATGCAACTCAGCATTCTTTCTCCTCCCAACACAACAAGTAGAGAATTTACCAAAAGTTCTGTTTTGGTTTAATCTGACCATGTGACATCCTCCCAATCCACTTCTAGGTCACCCAGATGCTCTCTAGCAACCTTCAGACTGCACATGTCCTGTCTTAAGCAGGGGGGCACGTCTGCCACTGCAGGATTTGGGTCCTTGGCGTTGTGACTTGTAACTTTGGTCCCAGCTCTCTGCAGGTCATTCACGAGGTCCACTAATGTAGTTCTAGGATTGTAGCTCATCGTTCTTGTGATCATTTTGACCCCACGGGGTGAAATCTTGTGTGGAGCCCCTTACTGAGGGAGATTATCAGTGGTCTTGTATGTCTTCCAGTTTCTAATAATTGCTCCCACAGTTGGTTTCTTCACACCAAGCTGCTTTTATATGGCAGGTTTACAATTTTGTTTCTGGTGTCCTTTGACAGCTCTTCGGTCTGGTAGCTGGAGCATTTAGTTATAATCAGGGGTGTGTCTAGATCTTTTAAAATGGAGAGGCCCTGGTGGGGCACTTTGTGCATGGGTGGCAACAATGGTTATGCTTTTTTGGAGTTAGGAGTGTGACTGTTTTGGGTTTAGGACAGGTGTCTTTTATAGTGATAACGAGTTCCAACAGGGGCCATAATACAGGTAACGAGTGCAGGACAGAGGAGCTTCTTACAGAAGAAGTTACAGGTCTGTGAGAGACAGAAATATAGCTTGTTTGTAGGAGACCAGATATTTTTCCCACCATTATTTGCAAACACATTCTTTAAAAACCAGACAATGTGATTTTCTGGATTTTTTGTTGAGGTATACATATGATGATAATTACAGGCCTCTCTCATCTTTGTAAGTGGGAGAACTAGCACAATTGGAGGCTGACTAAATACTTTTGCACCACTGTATATCATATCTGATTACAGACGACTCCAGATGACAAACGCTGACAGTCACGTGACCTGTGACTTGTGGCCGAGTCAAGTTTTATTTGCTCAGATCATTTTCAAACCGAACACATCCTGTTCACGGCGCATTATCTTGCATTTACATCTGCTTTTCTAACATCAGTGAGCAACAGTCTGCTGTCTTCTCTCATCTCAAACCGTTGAATCTTTGCAGATTTCTCCATCCATCCAACCAAAACTAAAACAGACACAAGAGGTGGATTATTTCAGAGATATGAAACTACAGATTAAAGGGTTGACTTCATGGGGATTATTTCATCCGCATATCAGTTTAGAAGACTGCAAAATTACATTTATTTTCTTGTCATCATATTTAATTTGTAGCATGTAGCAAGTTCTGAGGAGGAAAGTTTAAACAAGAAATAAAGGGAGTTTATTTTTATTCCTAAGCTTTGGTAAAACATTTCCTGGACTGAAGCCAGGAAAGCATCCAGAGCGGAGCTTAAATGAGAGGAAAATCCATTTGTGTCCTGTGTTCATGCCTTCTGCTTCCCTTCCTCCCCCAGAGCAAACAGGTGTTCATCGAAGGCCCCGTCCTGCTGTGGACACCACTGAATCGTTCTGATCCCCTCCACCATTTGGGCTGTTTGTGATCCTTTTCCTCTGGGTTTTGGGGCTCCATGTTCGTCACAAGGCTGAATCATGCTGTTGCTGACTCAGAGGGTGATTAAGCACCACAAGAAATATCCTGGAGAGGAAAATATAATTCCTGGCCTGTCGGGAGTGACGATCCATCATGTACTCCCACGCACGCTGTGATTCTCGGCTTAAATTTCCCTCCACTCGTTCTCTCTTCAGAGCACAGCTTTTTACCTTGTATTCACACCATATGGAGTGACACTACGGCAGGCAGGCAGGGAGCGTTCTGTCCTCTGTGACGCTCAGGGTGTGAAATCAGAGCGTGGTAATTAAAAATGTGTCTCTAGCTGAGCCATCTGGACCCCGGAGAACAAGTGACTAACCTGCAAAGGTCTGAAGGGACGGCAAGATGGCAAAAAAGGCAGGAGGCGACTTTTCGTCTCAAAGCCACAAATAACAGCAGTGATGCATGCAAATCACTCAGAAGCAGAGTCATCCGAATGCTCTCGGTGACCGTGTGACCGAGTGACTGAACCATCCTGTCATGGGACAACTCTGCAATGTCAGTGGGAAACTGTAGAGGCAGCGAGTGGTACTCTGGTCTAAAGGCAGATTCAACAGATCTGGATGCCGATGAGCAACTATAAACTGAAGGAGATGTTCCAAGGTGGCTTTCCCAGTGGTTTCAGCCAGGAGAAGTAACATGAAACTGACCTCCAGAGTTATTATTGAGCTAAATCAAGACGACATTGACTATTGGATGTAATACAGCACGGGCTCCCGCCCTTGAACACGAGGAAAGTCCGACCTTCCCTATGCCGAGAGAGAGAGAGAGAGAGAGAGAGAGAGAGGTCGGGCTGTGATGTGTGGAGGTGAGCATCTACACAAGTTTTATTCAGACCTGGACATGAAACCTGGTCTCTAATTAAGCATCTGTACATTTATGAGTTACAATCCAAAGGGTACAAAGAAGGAAACGTGACCTAGTAACAATTTTACAGAGTAATTGAGGCCTAAAGTACCGGGAGAGCTGATTACAGAATGCTGAACTGTTGAGTGTGTCAGAGAGAATCAGAAAAGTGTTTGTTACAAAGCCTGTTCATCAAATCTGGGCTTTCTTTCTTTAGTCTGGCTTGACTGAGCCTAAAACTCCACTAACAGTTATTTGATGCGTCTTTTTCTGAAAACTCACCAGAATAAATCTCGTCCAGCTGGTGAGATTTCATTCATAAAAAACTGATTTAGTGAAACTGTTTTATCTACTGGTATCCATGCCATTTAGCCTGGATACTGAGCTTAACCAGCTGACCCTCACTGGTTCTGTGAGTTACAACCAGAACATCATTTATATGCTCCCACACACCAAGGCAAACATGGCTAAGTTAGCCAGCTGCTACTGGAAAACAACACAGAAGTCTAAAAATGCACAAAAGCACAGAAAATGTAGTAAAATCATTCAACTTTAATCAAAGAATCAGCGTAATTTAACTGTTTCAGGAACAGGGTACCTACCAAACTCTAAAAGATGGTCTTTACCCAACAGGAAGTCAGCCATTTTGGATCATCATTTTCCATCAAATAACCCATGGGACATGTTGACATTTTGGATAATATAAAGAACCTTTCAGTACAAACGTCTTAGTTTGAACATGCAGAACTAGACTCATGAACCCAGGAAGTGGGCGACCTGGAGGCTGAGCGAATCGTGGATCAGACATCTTTAAAAGGATGTTTCACTTCCTGACACACAAGAGTCCACTAAGTAAACAAACTTAGATGTGTAAATTAAACTTGTAATATGTTTTATTTAAATGTTTTAGTTGCAATGGCAGAATTTATGAGGACAAGCAGGATGACTGCAGTTTTGGCAGATCGGGTGAAAAAGCTAAGTTATACAAATCTGACTTTTACATTTATTTGATAGAAAGTTATTATTTTCAAAAATGTGAGCATAAAAGTCATAATTAGCACTGTAAAAATCATCACAACGCAATTAAAGTCAAAATCATGATATTCAAAGGTTTAAATATGCAACAAAAATCCAGATTTGTAAGATTGGTCATTGATTGTGAGTAAAAGGTCATCCTTTAAAAAGTGAAACTCAGCATTCTGAGATAACACAAATCATAAATACTTATCAAAAATAGCTGTTGTTCATTATGAGCTGCAAGTTTATATTTAAAAGATTCTAATGAACTTTTATGATTCTGACTTTCACAACCAGATAGGAGCTTTTAATTACAACAGAATTAAATATGAAAAAAATAAATCAAGCTAATTAAACAGGAGCGAAAAAGATGTAATTGCAAGGTCAAAAGTTACAATTTTGACATTTTATGTGTTCATTATTCATTTTTATGCACAATGGAACAACGTTTTTGTATTTCCCCCCTAAAAACATCTCAAATTAAAGTTCCTGTGAGATTAATTTCATTTTATTTTTTGTGATATAATGTAGAAGAAAGTCTTAACTATGAAGTCAGTCTGGTTTCTGCCTTGCGCCGTTAGACCACCACCTCCCACGAACCTTTGATTATCTCGGACATCTGTGTCACCCCCAGCAAGCCCTGCCATCTTGCAGACTGTGGTGCATTCATGCATGTGCATTTATACACGTGTGTGCTGTAGGTTAATCTTAGCCCCAGAGAGGCGCGGGGGGATGCAGTGGCCCAGGAAATGATGCATCCCCTCAGGAGTCATGGAGGCAGCAGGGTGGAGGATTAATGCTCCAGGGAGCACAAATGTGGCCCGTTATGTTTATTAAATCAAACAAACGGAGCCTGGTGTGTTGCTTTCTTGTTGGATTACAGCAGCAGTGTGGGGTTTAGGCCTTATTCTTAAGAGTTTGCAGCGTTTAAAGCCTTTGATACCGATGTTGCGTAACAGCAGCGTGGTTAGTGGGGTAGAAACAACACAGGTCACACCACAGCAGCAGATAAAAGGAAAAACACGGCTTTTGTGTGACCGTGGTGCATTTTATACATACAAAAATATGCATAAAGCTACAGCCTAGAGGCTCTTTTACGCAATGTCAGGAATGCAGAACTGCATGTAGAAAAGTGAGCATGTCCTGTTTACAGCATGGGGTGACAGCAGGAATGACCAGTCGCACGTCAAAAGATGAGCTTATGGACGCTTCTGATGGGAAACAGGCTTCAACACAAGCGGTTGTTCTCTGCTTGGTCCTAGTGCTCACCCAGAGTCTATTTAATATAACGTAACGTTGTTATTGGACGGTGAAAAGTGCAGGGGACAAAAATTTACTTGGGAAAAAAGTGTGTGTGTGTGTGTGGGGGAGGGGGGGGGGGGGGGGCATGTCCCCCCGTCCCCCAAAGCTACATCCATGGTGGAGAAATGATTACCACCCACCAGCTGGTGTTATTTGGCTGTTTCAGTCACCTCTGAAAGTATCCACGTTATTTTTTATCTGTAAATGCAGGTTTAAAGTTGGATTTCCTGTCCTTTGTGTCACAGATGCTATTTTTAGCATCTTTTGTGGTTATTAAGTCTCCTCGGAGACCTAGACGTGAATGTTCCCCTGGAATCAATCAGCAGCTAACAACTGGGCCGTTCCCTAGGGCTGTGGAGCTTCTACAAACATCCAGGGTTGTTTAAATGTTGCAGCGAGAGCCGGAGAGCTGCTTGGACAGTTTCAGACCACAACTGCCTCTGACTGTGTGTGTGTGTGTGTGTGTGTTTGCATGCACTATGTTAAACGGTTAAGATTGCTGGTTATTCCACGTTTTCTGGGTCAGCATGCACACTACTGCAACATGTGTGAATGAGCTACAGTTCATTTCTAGACCGTGTTACTTCAGAGGGACTGGTGGCCATGGGGATTATTTAGTAAGCTTACTGTTTGAGCACAGATTCAGATTTACAGTCTGAATGTGAGCTAATCATCAGACTGGCACCTCAGTCGGATTTAAAGAAACATTTCAGATGTTTTAAAAATCTGTCTCTATTGGGAAGTTACAAGCACGCCTTTAGCTCTGATCTGACTGATGAGCTAAAGGCTAGTTGAAAGTTGATTGCTGCCATCTTAAAATGAGCCTAGTTGGAAAAATTCAAGTCTCATCGATAGATAGCTAGATCCAGATATGTCCAGATTTAAATAATAAATAAATTTTCTGAAAGTGTTATTTCTTTTTTCCTTTCATTTTAAATCAGATCATCGATAATGAAACATAGTCCTCTGTTTGTTCTTAGGGCTGGAGATAGATGCCCTTATTATATCTTCGTATGTAAAGCAGGAGTGTCCGAACATTTCCAAACAATAGCCATAATACTCGAGTGCAGCAACAAGAAAAGAAAACAAAGACAATTTGTTTCTTGTGTTTTTGTCTTTGATCAAATATGGAACAAAACATGTCTGCACCAACCAGCTGGTTTGGGGACTAAATAAGACCGTTCTTAATTTGCAGCCGAGGGCCACAAATGGCCCTTGGGCCACACTTTGGATCACCTATACAGGTGTTGCTTTAATGCGTTAGAAAATGAAGCATCTCGTTCTGCAGACAGCTTTTAACGTAAAATATTCTTTCTTCAGCTGACGAGTTTCCGTTTGGAAAAGTTAGCAGAAATGAGGCTAACGTCAGCTCAATTCCTCTCTAATCACATCAAGGAGTTAATCAAAAGCCAACATCAAGTCATTTGAACGTTTAGCATTAAATGTGTAATTTATCTGCAGCACACCTCTTCTCCGCAGCTCTTTCATCATCTATAATCAATATTTTTGACATATGGCCTTCAGGTTGTTGACATTACATCTTTTGGTGCATCCGTCCTGCAGGATGTGAACAGTTTTCACCAAGCAGAGGCTGTTCTGGACACTAAGGTAGTATTTATGACTTTGACACAGAAACACAATTCAAAACGGCGACTTGTGGAGGCCTTGGAACAGTTCCACCCAGCTGGATGGGAGCTCTTGCGTAATTCTGACTTTCAGCGTGCGTTTGTAATCAGGATATGTACCTCAGCCACACACACACACACACACACACACACACACACACACACACACACACACACACACACACACACACACACACACACACACACACACACACACACACACACACACACACACACACACACACACACACACACACACACACACACACACACAGGACTGAATGCCTGATTGTGAGCTGTGCTTGACGATGTCTTCAAGTGATGAGCAGAGAGTGGGACAAACAGCAGGTCTGTATTTGTTTGCTTGTTTCTGGTGATTGAATGCTGTTGTCATACAGTATCTGTGTACCATGAAAACACAAGCCACCTCCTTATCTTCCTCCTCCTCCTCCTCCTCCTCTCCTAGCCATCTGCCTGACACAACCACTACACGAAGCTTGCTCGTGGCCGACTGTTTTCTCCTCACAGAACCAAAAACGGACAAAAATCAATATTTTCTTTTCATATATCTGTTTCATCCCCTCTGAATTTGCTAACATCTCCTGAAACAGATGCTCCTAATTCCTCCGGCTCTACGCTGTTAGATTTGAGGAGAAACAGGGAGGAAAAAGAAAAAAGGAAGGAAGGGACTCCATTCTAGATTGTAAAGAAAAGAAGGGATCAGTGGATTTGAGCCCAGATCACCTAAAGCTGGGAGGTTTCTGGTGATGTTTGAGGGAGGAGGGGATTCCATGATGTAAAGCAGCCAGCAGCATCAGTCCTCACCCCTCGAGCATGAAAAAAACCCTCATCCACTTGAACACACCCTGTTTTGGATGTGATTAACCCGGATCCCACCAAAACACTACACAAACTCAGTCTGCTGCCAGAGAAAAGAGATTTAAAAGAGCCTACCTTTATGAGGATCTTTTGTTTGTGAAGCCACACACATCCAGTGCTGTGGGATCCATGCGCTCGCCCCTTTTCCTGATCTCCCTCCGTCACACACATACACTCAGTCAACGAGGCAGAGCAGATCACATCCACACACACTCCTCTGTCTGTGTGCCTTTCTCTATCTACTCACTGCCTCCCTCCTCACTGCTGCTGAGTCTCCACCCTTCAGCCAAGACACTACACTCCTCCTCCTCCCTCTTTGTTTCTTCTCTTTTCTGCTATAACGACACGTTCGTTCCCTCGGAGGTCCACAGGAAGGGCTCCAACTGTCAATCTGAGCAGCCACAGTGAACAAACTCCTACCAGCTGGTCATTTTTGCTTTTCCTTTTTCTGTTTTGAATTCATAACTTTAAAAAAAACGTGGGTTGAGAACCTCAACACGACATCCTGTGTTGCACTTGTGCCATGCAAGAGAGGAAGCTTTGAATCTGCACGTTGTGGCCGTAGCCATCAGAGATCAAAACAGACAGAAACTGGAGCAAGACGCACAAACATGCAGCTTGTTTGTATCTGGGGTTTGCAGGATGTGCTCGGATCAACAGAATCAAGTGCCGTGGGCTGGCTGTGCACCCAGGAGCTTAAGAACCTTTCTGTTCTGGGTTTAGAAAGAACTGGTAAAAGAGAAATGATTTTCATCTTCTTCCTGCTGGGGAACATTACATGATTCATAGTTAGTCAAGCCTTAGAGGGTACATCAGTTCAAATTTTTGACTGTGTGGTATTTTTAATTACATGAAACTTGAGCCTTTTCTGTGTCTTTAATGCAAATTAAATGAGTCACTGGGTGGATTTTAATAAAAATATCAACAACCTAACTATTATGGATGTTCACTTACAGATGAAACTTGAAAAATCTGAATATGGTGCACAAGTTCATTTACGTCACTAACTCTACTTAAAAAGTGAGACTAGACTCATTCCAAGCAATGTCAGATAAACCTCAAAATCAGAATGTCAGACAATTATAATGTTGTGAATATGTTCAATATTCTAGACTCTAATCAGCTAATGAATCCACAACACCTGCAAAGGGTTCCTGAAGCCTTTAGGTCAGGGGTGCCCTGCCCAATCCTGGTCCTGGAGGGCTGGTATCCAGCAGGTTTTGTGGTTTTTCTGCTCCAACACACTTGATTAACTGGTTGAATCACCTGTGCAGCATCTCATCAGGCTCTGCAGAAGCCTGTTAATCACCTGCTGATTGAAATCAGGTGTGTTGAAGCCGAATTAAAACCAAAACAAACTGGATGCCGGCCCTCGAGGACCAGGATTGGGCACCCCTGCTTTAGATGGTCTCTCAGTCTAAGTTGGATTTCCGACATGAATGGACTTCTGCACCCTATTCTCATTTTTTGAGTTTCATCCAGCCGCATCATCAGCTGATTTTGACGGGGCTTCCACCCAAAATGTTTGCTCCTTTGTTTTCACTCATCACTCACAGGGTTGAACTGTGGCTCCAGTTTACCGCCTCCTCGTTTCCACTGAGTGAAACCATGGATGTAGCTTTTTTTGGGGGGGGGCATGACCCCCCCCCCCCCCAAGCGCCACACACACACACACACACACACACACACTATTTCCAAAGTAAGTTTTTGACCCCTGCAGCTTTTACCGTCCAAAACAACATTACACTATATTAAGTAGACACTGGTTGAGCGCTAGGACCAAGCAGAAAGCAGCTTGTGCTAAAGCCTGTTTCCCATTAGAACCGTCCATGAACTACTCTATTGGCTCTGCTGGTACTTGCTAATGTGCGACTGTATTCCTGACATTGCATTAAAAAGCCTCTAACCTGTCATTTAGACAGATTTTTGTATACTTATTATTAAGTCCCCCCCCCCCCCCCCCCCCCCCACCACCACCACGAGTTGATTTTCTTTTCAGCTGCAGGAGTAGAATTTTTTCTTCATTCTGTAAAATTTTGCAAACATTTTATTCCCTAAGGAGAAACATTTATGATTTGGTTGTAAGTTAAATTATCTTTGTCCACCTTTGCTCACAATTATTGACTATTTGGGAGAGCTTCTCAGTGTGTGTGTGTGTGTGTGTGTGTGTGTGTGTGTGTGTGCACGCTCACTGTAAATCTGCTTTCACGGATGTTGTGTTGCTCGCCTGCAGGTAAACCCAGCTGACCTCATTCATCTCCTCGCTGGCTGAGCGTCACGTTTTGAGCGAGTCACATTTTCCTCGTCTCCATTCATGCAGACATCATTCACTGGGAGACGTACAGTAGCAGCAGAGGTGGAGGATGGTGAGTTAATGAGCCGTGGTTCCTGTCACCAGCGTGCTCTTTGGGAGTGCCCTCGGGTCCAGAACCTCAGTGGTTCTCCACCTTTCTGTTACTGCTGCTCTTATGATCCCGTCATTCTTCATCCACACAAAGCTGTGGAAAAGTGTTTCCTCTCTCGGCTCAACCTGAACCAAGTGAAGCCTGCGGAGGTTAAAATGTGGTCTGCAATCTCCATCGGATCGTGCGTGGTGTTGCTTTTTGAGATCTTTAAGCCAACTTTGTGTTTTTAGTCAGCTGATGAATGGAAAGGAATTCAAACTCTTACAGGCTAGTTGTTTCTCTGCTCCAAAACCTGAACCAGTGGTTGAATCCATCCATCCATCCATCCATCCATCCATTTTTGGCCACTTATCAGGGGTCAGGTCGTGAGGGCAACAGGGAGGCCCAGATTCCCTCTCCCCAGCCACTTGGGCCAACTCCTCCAGAGAATCCTGGCCAGCCGAGAGACATAGTCTCACCATCGTATCCTGTGTCTTCCTTTAGGTCTTCTTCCAGTTGGATGTGCCCGGAAAACCTCTCCAGGGAGGCATCCATGTGACATCCTAACTAGATGCACGAGCCACCTCAACTGGCTCCTCTCGAGGTGAAGGAGCAGCGTATCTACTCCGAGCCCCTGCCGGATGGCTGAGCTTCTTACCCTATCTCTAAGGGAGAGCCCAGCCACCCTGCAGAGAAAACTAATTTCGGCTGCTTGTATTCGCAATCTCATTCTTTCGGTCACTGCCTGAGGCTTGTGACCATAAGTGAGGGTTGGAACGTAGATTGACCGGTAAATCGAGAGCTTTGCCTTCTGGTTCAGCTTGGGCCAGCTCCTCCGGGGGAATCCCAAGGCGTTCCCTGGCCAGGTGAGAGGCATAGTCCCTCCACTGTGTCCTGGGTCTACCTTTAGGTCTCCACCCGGTTGGACGTGCCTGGAAAACCTCACCAAGGAGGCGTCCAGGAGGCATCCTCATTAATTGAAATAAGGTGTGTTTCAAAACTTTTCAACTTTTTAGTTGTTTCTTTCTAAACTACATTGGCAGATTTAAAGGAGATCGCTGAATCTAGAGATTTGTAATCTGATTACCTTGTTTTATCTTCAGCTTGATGATCATCTCTGAAGCTTTAGGTGTGGATGCAGCTGTTAGCTTTTTTCTTGGTGAGTTTTATGCCATTGTTTTATTTTTTAACCTAAAACTTCTTGACTGTGTTGTGTTTTTTTGAACAGGAGCCAGGTGTTTGAGTGTTCGGTACATGCATTACGTACAGCGTCGGGGTTATCATTCAGTCGGGGGGAGGGGCCTGGATTTTGTCTCTGGTTTGTGACCATCTGCCTCCTCCAGGCAGCTCCAGGCTCGGGCCGAAACAGAACCGCTCCGTCTGCGCGGTCCCAATGCCCCATGGGATTTACAGAGAGGTCATATCTGCAGTTGGAGACGAGCTGCCATCTAACAGTGTCAAACAACTAACACACACACCCAGTAAACACACACACACACACACACACACACACACACACACACACACACACACACACACACACACACACACACACACTGAGGATGATAGAACAGGATCTGAAAGTAAATTCCTCACACTGAAATACTCCGAGCTGAGCTGCACCTCCTGCAACAAGATAAAGGAGCAAAGAGGCAGAAAAGAGGCGAAGTCAGAGCCAGGAAAAGGATTTCCCCCTCAGTGTTGCCATGGTGACAGCAGTGGCTAGTGGATGACTGATTTCCATAAAGGAGGAGGAGCTTGATAAGGAAGCATCTACATTTTTTTAAACTGTTACGTCAGCACCATTGTGGTGATTTCTTTTTGTCAGATCATGAATATTTTTAACCTCCAATCGGAGCAGGTTTCTCTTAAAGAAAAGGGATTGAACGCAGTTAATTGAAAATAAAACGCTGTAATCAATGGGATGATCAAAAATATAAATGTTGAGTCTTTAATATTCTATTAAATTTTAATTTGAATAGCAAATACTTTTTCAGATTATGTTTGGTTTTATGTGTTGTGTAACAAAAACATACAATTTTATGTTTACTAAAATAAATAAATTATTAAAATCTAAACTTAAACCTAAATAAACATCTGGATGTTCCACTGAACAAAAATATGTTTTTTATTATTCAAAAGGTTTTTTTAAAAGAACAATTCCAATATTTTAAAATTGCTTTTCTGAAATTGAACAACCTCCCTGGGCTGCCATCTTACTGTGGTCCCAATGATCCTAGGAGCTAAGTTGTCTGAGGCTTTATTCCTCTGGTAGGGTCACCCATGGCAAGCAGGTCTTAGGTGAGGGATGAGGTGAAGTCCATACTGTTGTCTGTGCGTATGCACCAAACTTCAGTTCAGACTACCCACCCTTTTTGGAGTCCTTGGCTGAGGTGTGGAGAGCGATCCTTTCGGTGAATCCCTCGTTCTGCTGGGGGACTTGAACGCTCATGTAGGCAACAACAGTGAGACCTGGAGAGGTGTTGTTGGGAAGTCATGGATTGTCCATAATGAACACCATGTTCAAGCATAACGGTGTCCATGTGTGCTCTTGGCACCAGGATACCTTAGGCCGCTGCTCGATGATCAAATTTGTTTTGATTTCATCTGACCTGCGGCCACATGTCTTGGGCACTCGGGTGAAGAGAGGGGCGGAGCTTACAACTGAACACTACCGGGTGGTGATTTGGCTTCGATGGTGGGGGAGGATGCCGGTCAGACCTGACATCTCCAAACGGATTGTGCGGGTCTGCTGGGAACATCTGGTGGAGTCTCTTGTCAGAAGGAGCTTCAATTTCCACCTCCGACAAAAAGTCCTGAGGGAAGCGGGGGTAATTGCGTTCGAGTGGACTATGTTCCGTGCTTCCATTGTCAAGGCAACTGGCCAGAGCTGCAGCCGCAGGGTTGTCGATGTCTGTCATGGTGGCAATCCCCAAACCCGCTGGTGGACACTGACGGTTAGGAATGCCGTCAAACTGAAGAAAGAGTCCTATCGGGTTTTTTTGACCTGTGGGAGTCCAGAGGCAGCTGATGGGTACCAGATGCATGGTGGTGCAGTTGTTAGCACTATTGCCTCGCAGCAAGAAGGTTGCAGGTTTGAAACTTGGCTGTGGCCTTTCTGCGTGGAGATACATGTTCTCCCCATGCATGCGTGGGTTTCCTCCGAGTGCTCCGGTTTCCCCCACAGATCACAACATGCCCTATAGGTTATAAATTGTACACTGCTTTGGATAAAAGCGTCTGCCAAATAAATAAACATAAACATACCGGCAGTCCAAGTGGAATGCGACCCGGGTGATCGTGGAGGCAAAAACCGGAGAGTGGGAGGAGTTTGGTGAGACCATGAAGCAAAACTTCCGTATGGCTTTGGGGAGATTCTGGTCTCCCATCAGGTGTCTCAGGGTGGGAAAGCAGTGCGCTACACACTGTTTATAGTGGGGACGGTGTGCAGCTGGACTCTACTCGGGATGTTGTGGATCAGTGGGCGGAATATTTTGAAGACCTCCTCAGTTCAAGTGGTATGTCTCCTAGTGAGGAAGCAGAGTCCGGGGACTTTGTGTTGGGCTCTCCAATCTCTGGTGCTGGGGTAAATGGTAAATGGTAAATGGCCTGCATTTGATATAGCGCCTTCTAGAGTCCACATTCACACCCTGGTGGTGATGAGCTACGATGTAGCTACAGCTGCCCTGGGGCGCACTGACAGAGGCGAGGCTGCCTAGCACTGGCGCCACCGGTCCCTCCGACCACCACCAGCAGGCAAGGGGGGTTAAGTGTCTTACCCAAGGACACGACGACAGTGACAGAGGTCACTGAGGTGGTCAAAAAACTCCTTGGTGGCAAGGCCCCAGGGGTGGATCAGATCCGCCTAGAGTTCCTTAAGGCTCTGGATGTTGTAGGGCTGTGTTGGTTGAAGCGGGTTTGCAATCTGACATTGGGGTCAGATCCACTGGATTGGCAGATTGGGGTGGTGGATTGCAGGGTGTGTTCCAACTACAGGGTAGGGCTGGGCGATATGGCCTAAAATTAATATCACGATATATTGAGGATTTCACATTGATAACGATAAATGGACGATAACTACAGGTATACGCAAACACAAAAGTTGTCCACTAGATGGGGCTGTCACATGTATTACGTTGAGTCACATTTTTACGTGACTCAAGGTGGTCCAGCTTCTTAAAGGGACATGAACGTTGCCAACCTACACACATCTTTTCATTTCTTTATCGACTTCATTCACATGGGAAAAATTATCTCGATAAGAGTCAAAAAATTTCGGTAACGATGCATGTTCGATTTCTTGCCCAGCCCTACTACAGGGGATCACACTCCTAAGCCTCCCTGGTAAGGTCTGTTTAGGGATTCTGGAGAGGAGGGTCCATCGGATTGTTGAACCTGGAATTCAGGAGGAGCAATGTCGTTTTCGTCCTGGCTGTGGAACACTGGACCAGCTCTATACCCTTAAGGGGTCCTGGAGGGTGCGTGCGTTTTGTGGATTCGGAGAAGGAGTTCGACCGCGTCCTTCAGGAGTTCCTATGGGGGTACTCCAGGGGAAGGGGTACCAGGTCCTCTGATACAGGCTATTAGGTCCCTGTATGACCGGTGTCAGAGCTTGTTCCGCATTCCCGACAGTAAGTCGGGCTCGTTTGCGGTGAGAATTGGACTCCGCCAACATTGCCCTTTATCACCAATTCTGTTCATAACTTTTCTGGACAGGATTTCTAAATGCAGCCAAGGTGTTGAGAGGATCCATTTTGGTGGAAGATCAGGTCTCTGCTCTTTCTGATGCTATGGTCCTGCTGGCTTCATTAGAACATGATCTCCGGCTTTTGCTGGAGCGGTTCACAGCCAAGTGTGAAGCAGCTGGGATGAGAATCAACTCCTCCAAATTCGAGACCGTGGTCTTGAGTCTGAAATGGGTAGAACGCATTTTCCAGGTCACAGACGAGGTCCTGTCACAAGTGGAGGAGTCTTGTTCACAAGTGAAGCCTGATTCATGCTTCTACGTCTGCGTCAGTGCGGAGACACGCAGCGTCCTTATGGAGCTGCCGGAGAGCTCCGCAAGGACGGACGGAGTCGAGCTCTCTTTTCTAAACATCCGTCAGTCGAGACGGACAACGCAAGCTTGTGATTGGTCAGGACGCCGCTGTTGTCTACAGCACCGCCATTGCGCCCTCAAAAACATAAAGAGAGCCGAGGATAACAAGCGGCAGACTCGGAGAAGCTTGAAGAATACCTCACGAAAAAACTCTAAAAACATGAATGTTTAATTCTCCCGTGACTGGAGGAGAGAGAAGATGCGCAGCAAGCGTTTTATTTGTGGATGGAAATGACAGGAAACGTGGGTTTAGAGGTGGCGAGCACATGAAGAGGTGGAGGAGGATGAGAGACAAATTTGTCTGTGTTAAAAAGTCTCTTATATACACAAAAAACACAATATAAACACACTATCTTGGACCGATACATGACAGGATACCACAGAACAGCACTACGCCCTCTGTTGTCCTGCCGGGCAATTGCTTTGCAACACTCTCCAGGACACGGAGAAGTATGAGAGCAAAACGCTTCCGTCAATCCGTGCGTGTCTGTCCCTTGCGGAGCTGACGGAGAAGCATGAACCAGGCTTGAGGGGAAAAATGGAGTGTTAGATCGATAGGCGAATTGGTGTTGAGTCTGCAGTGATACGGGCGTTGTACCGATCTGTCGTGGTGAAGAGAGAGATTTACCAGTCGATCTATATTTAAACCCTAAACTATGGTCACGAACTTTGGGTAATGACCGAAAGAATGAGATCACGGATACAAGTGGCTGAAAGGAGTTTTCCCACAGGGTGGCTGGGCTCTCTCTTATATAGTGAGAAGCTCGGTCATCCGGTAGGGGCTCGGAGTAGACCCGCTGCTCCTTCATGTTGAGAGGAGCCAGTTGAGGCATCTAGGCCTAGACGCCTCCCTGGCGATGCTTTCCAGGCACGTCCAACTGGTAGGAGATCCAAAGGAATACCCAGGACACACTGGAGGGACTGTTTCCTGGCTGACCAGGGAACGCCTTGGGATTCCACCGATGGAGCTGGCCCAAGTAGCTGGGAAGAGGAAAGTCTGGTCCTCTCTGCTTTTGCTGCTGCCCCCATGACCTGACTGTGGAAAGCAGTAGAAAATGGATGGATGGATGAAATTGAACAGAATAAAATGGAAAATTTGGAATTTTAATGATTGAACAAATAAATTAAACATGCATTAAATAATTACTGTTACAACTGGTTTACATTTGACATCCTGAAATGTGGGTTAAGAAATATTTTTTGGTCTAAAACAGTTCCATTACATCTGGATAAATATCTTAATAATTATAGAAGCTCAAGAAGATTTATAGACTAATTACTAAAAGACTCAAGCTGGTTTCTTTCTTCATTAAATTGTATTTTAATGAACCACTTTCTGATTTCATCCATTTATGAGTCATTAAAACAATAAGGACTAAACAGCTGACAGGTCCTGAAAGAGCAGAGACTAAACTCTCCACTAGAGGGCAGTGTGGGCTAATGGAATATTTCTGGGCCGATGATTAAAATCACTTGCAGGATTTACGCTGTTTGCTATGTTTGCAGTTGAAATGATCATTTATCATTGATTGTATAGTAAATTTGAAAACACATAAAACTTGCTTTTTATATTTTGTACAGTTCCTCAATGAGAAACGAGCCATCAGCAGGACGCTGGTATATAAATGTACCATTTTATTGTATATGGAGGACATTAGTACCAAAAAGGCACAAACCAGACTTCATTATAACAAATCATTTTTAACGGGCTGACAAACTTTAAATTCTCTTGCAGGAAGATCCTTTCACAGAAAGGATGATGGACACAGACTCTGACCCACTTTGATCAGAGTCGGAGAATTAAATCATTCAATGATGGTTTCTATTTCAGGACATGGCTTATTACCAAATGGCTATGTACCTTTACACTATAACAGACCCACCACTGTCCATTCAAACATGGCTGTAGACATCATGAGTTCACTAGTCACACAAACAAATGGTAAGAAATATAAAAGTTATGTTTACATCATTATATCAAATGTATGCTTAATAACAAACGAGCGACTTCTCTTACAAACTTTATTCAGACATTTAAACGTAACTGTGGTGAGAGGAAATACCTGGTGTTTAATGGACTTTGACAGCTCAGAGATAACAATTTTAGTTTCATTTATGAGCAGACACATCAAATAAATTCATGGGTCGAAGCTGGCAGCAAACCACAAAACTTTGATTTTACTAGACGAAAAATGTTTTCAGGAAAAGGGTTTGTTGTGTTTTCTTTCTGTAAACTAAACTACAAACCATTTAATCATCAGAAAGATGTGGTTGTAATCTTCCTGTGTGAGGGATTAACTCAGATCAGCTAACTGTAGTGGCTTTCAAGCACAAATCAAAGTGTAATTCTGTTTAAAATAAAAACTGTTTTACGGACAAAACCAACATTTTAACTGTAACACGGTTCCCTTTTCACTCACAGATGGTAAATGGCCTGTGTTTGATGTAGCGCCTTCTAGAGTCCTGGAACCCCCCAAGGCGCTTTACAACACAATCAGTCATTCACCCATTCACACACACATTCACACACTGGTGGGGATGAGCTACAATGTAGCCACAGCTGCCCTGGGGCGCACTGACAGAGGCGAGGCTGCCGAGCACTGGCGCCACCGGTCCCTCTGACCACCACCAGCAGGCAAGGTGGGTTAAGTGTCTTGCCCAAGGACACAACGACAACGACAGACTGAGCGGGGCTCGAACCTGCAACCTTCCGACTGCGGGGCGAGCACTTAACTCCTGTGCCACCGTCGCCCCACAAACCTAACAGGTGCCGCCAGCTGCTGCAGCAAAGGAAACAATAAGACCAGAACAGACCTGTTGATCTGGGCAGGAGCTTCACGTCCTCCTCACCTGTTTATAATACTGACATCAGCCGCAAACAACAGAAACATGATTTATATAAAAGTACAATAAAATAAAATAGTCTTTTGTTGTGAAACTGAAGTTATGGAAGTGATTCCAGTTAAACAAAGACGTGTGTGATGTGTTTTGGCTGACAGCCAATCAGGCTCCATTTTGACTCCAGATTGCAAAGAATCTTATTTTGTCCTCAGATCTGGGACAAGTTAGAACATGCGCCTGACCCCGTGGTGGAAAAGTGTTTATATTGTGTTTGTATCTATTTGATCTTTCGGAGACGTGCAAACAAAGTTGATAAACGCTGAACGTTGTCGTCTGATGGCTTGAGTCCTTAAAGAAGCTAAAAGGGAAGGAATGTGATTGTCAGAGCCAGAATTTGACACCTGCATTGTGTGACGAAGGCACGGCGGCGACGAGGGGAAGGGGAGACGTCATCTCAGGTCCATCTTCTGTCACGCTGAATAAACGCTCCGTTCTTTTTCTCTTTGGTTTGTAGCTCAGAGTGCATTCATCCTTTCACTCCTCACAAGAAAATCTTTGATATTTGTCCGAGCAGCAGTCTGCTGCTCACTCACAAGTACAAGACTTCTTTTATTACACTGTCAAGCTGCTGAAACTTGGATTTAAATGAAAACAATAATGTGATCCCCTCTGTTTCCTCTGACATGAGGAGCAGAACGGGTTATATGTTAAAAACAGATTCTCTTCTTTATTATTAATTCAGATTTCAGACAAAATCCTCCTTGTCCTTTCAGAATGTCTCAGGTGGAAGACGAAGGGCGAGCAGACTTATTGTTAGTTATATTATGGCTGCTGCTTGCTGCCCAGAATACACAAAGCTCCTCTCTCACGTCTTGTTCCTTGAGGCCTGAAACATCTCCACCAGGAGGAAGAGTGAACTCCCTGCGGTCACCTGGTCCATCACACCACAAACTCGGGCACCTCTTCGCTCGTCAGGTCCAGAGAGAAGTACTTATTTGTCCTCTTGACGAGGAAAGGGTGCTGCTCTCCGAGCATGCCGGTACGCTGCTCGGCCAGATTCTGGTAGCCGGTGCTGTCGCTCAGCTCCTGAGCGCAACCAAACGTGTAGCTTTGGGCGGTGTCCTGACAGAGCTCCGCCCACTGCTGCCAGTCCTTCTGGTAGAGCCGAATGTCATCCAGCGACTGGCTGTGGCGATCGGTGGATGCCTGAGGCTTTCTGCAGGTAGAGGTCTGTGAGAGGAAATCAACGTTAGACTTAGAAAGGATCTCAAGGGTTATTACAGATTAAATGATCAGTGTTGGGATTCAGGTCAAAGGTGAAGCACCTGTGGAAGGGACTCGATGCTCTGTCCTCTCATCTTCACAACAGTCTCTGACGAACTGGAGGTGGACGAACTGACGTCTTTTACTATCAGTCCTTGAAAACAAACATGAGTCTCTCAGATTGGGTGTTCTTTCTCCGATAAAACATGAATGTTTATGCTCCTAGCAGATTAAAAACACATTCTGAACCAGTTACAACCTGTTCGTTTAAGAATCGTCCAATCAGACTAGATACCGCTGAGGCTACCTGACAACCCGTTGGTCTGATCTGGAGACATGGTCAGCATGTCCTCTGTGATGTGAATGCACAGCTCCTGTTCCAGAGCCACCTCATGAAGCTCCTCGTAGTCTTTAGGGTCGTCTACCAGCATCTCGATCTCTGCAAGAACAAAAGTTATCAGAATTTATCAAACATCTAAAGCAACTGTTAACATTTCAATACATATTTACAGGTTAACTAGTAAAAAGCTCAACCAGCCATCCTCCATCAGCTCTTACCATCGTCATCATCCAGGATGCGATCCTTGCCGCTGCTCTCGATGCCGGAGGTGTGAGAGCTCCCGTGGCTGGTTGTGGAGGAGCTGCAGGTGCGTAGGGGCCTGTGTGGGGTCTGGCCCGGGGCCCTGAAGCTGTCTGTTTCAATGCCAGATGTGTGCGAGCTGCCATGGCTGGTGGTGGAGTGGCGAGACAGACGGTTAGGGTGAGACATGCTGCCCGCGCTGCTGCCGCTGGCCCGGGAACGCTTGTCCAGATGCTCCATGTCCAGCTCCAGAGCATCGCTGATGTACGATTCCCGGTACTGCTTCTTTTCTGAAATCAAAACAGTAAATCGTCATTTTCTGCTTTGAGCTAATTCAGATGTGCACCACGTTTATGCTCGTGTTTAGAGAATTTAGTTTATATTTCAGCCAGAGAAGATGAAACAGTTCATATTTCTGAGGGAAAGTAATCAAAGCAACTGTTGCAACACAAACTTGTGCTGACCACACCTTCATTTTCCTCGAGCCGACGGACTTGTTTGAGGACCGGTTGTAAGTTCATGTAGAGCCGGTGGCTGTTGCTGAGCAGCTGCAGGAGGTGGCGGGAGCGTACGGGACAGCCGGTGTAGTAGATGAGTTTACGGGCTGAGGGCAGACCATCAGGAAGGATCTCAAACTTCTTCCCCTGAGAGAAAAACAAAAACACAGAACTCTGGTTTACGCCACAAGTTGATGAAGCTGGAATGCTGATCTGAAATCAGGGTTCTTCTCCAGAAAAGAAACATTTATGTCACTAAAAACAGAGCAACGACCAGTTTTCATGTCTGTAGTTTGACTCTTGGTGCACATCTTGGATTATTTTTGCAGTTTGCTCACCGTAAGCACATCCCATCTAAAAGGCCTTCAGCGGTGACTGACCCAGGAACAGCTGTCTGTGGTGTGTTGTCAGGACTTCAACAGGTGGAGGTTAAAAACATAACGTCTGATCACAGGACGGAGCTCAACTTTATTTATCCAGCTGATTTTTATTAAAACATCGATAGACCTCCAGGTTTGTGTTTGAACTAAACACGCTGATGAAACCATCTCTGAGTCCTTTAGCAGAGGCTTTCCTATGAAGGATTGTTTTCTCTGGACAGAGCAGTCCTTCAGGCAGAGAGATTTCCTGTTAAATCCCTGGACAGACAGAAAAACTCTGGGTGGGAAATTACAGTAAAAGTTCTCTTCCCTTCCTAAACGTTTGAGTTTAACCTCAGACAGCCCCTCTGCAGCTCCCCAATAACAAACCTGCAGACGTCGTGGACAGCTGCCATTACTGCATCAGGAAGGTGGAGCAAATCCTAGAAGGCAGCTGTGAGCATGTGACTGAACCAGATCCACAGATAACATGTCTAAGAGTCAAGCAGCATATTAATGAGCCCAGTTAGGATTCTCAGAGGGAAATGTCAGATTTTATTCACTAAGCATCTCATCCAGTCTCACTGGAGAGCTTTCCAGAGGTCAAAGGTTCAGTCCCTTTGAAAGTCCTTGGACAACGATCAACAGGACTTCTGCAGGAGACCACACACATCAAACACCACCCATCCTCTAAAATGACCAGAACCAACCAAACGTCTTAAGAACCACAAGTTTTAAACCAACACAACAAAACTTGAGGGAAATGTCATCGTTTCAGCTTTCAACAGCAGTGCTGATGCAGCTTCATCCCCCGAAACACAAACCCAACCCGTTTAAAACTCTGATACACAAAATGATTCAAAAGCCGCAGAAACAAAAATCTCTTCCAACATCCCACCATCTGGGATTTATCGACCAACACGTCCCTCTGCCTGAGCCCCGCCCACTGACGGTGGCAGCGCGGCTAGATGATGACACTCTTGGGTGGGGTGAAGGACAAGGCCTGTTATTCTGGAGATGGGTGGGGCAGGGCAGTAAGAAATCCTTTTGGTCCAGGGCGAAGCCACAGCTCAGTCACTCTCACTGCGCTCCTCCAGACGGCAAATGGAGACAAACCGCAGAACCCCCCCCCCCCCCACACACACACACACACAAAGTAAGAAAACAGGATGTCTGAGCTGTGGGCCGAGGGGCAGAAGCAACAGTTGTTTTGTGCTTCAACTGTTGTAGTAAAATAAAACGCATACCTGAGACACCAGATGGGACTTTCATCTCTCTCTTAGGTATAAAAACTAAACGTCCACATTTATAACCACCACGTCTGAGCTGTCTCTGGGTTGGCAGACACGGCGAGGCTGTCAGAGTTAAAGCTTCTCTGGCTCGCTGCGATAACGGAAACCCTGCCGAATTAAAATGGCGGCGCTCAGCTCAACGACAAGCTGACTAAGAGCAGAGATGAGAAGATTATACTGGGTTTCCTTAAGGAGCACGGGCCCACAGGACAATTACACGAACAGAGCAAGAGGGAGAAAATCCAGCTGTTGATTACATGACTACATGTCTGTAGCTACAGTACTGTGTGTGTGTGTGTGTGTGTGTAAGGTTGTGTGTGCAAGGAAAGTCTTTCAAAATCTCTGATTAGTTCCAGAGGATAAGATAAAACAGCAGTCTAGAGAAGAAGCAATGTGTAAAAATTTCCACGATCCTGAGCGAGAGTCTGGCGTCTAAACGCATCACCATGAGCCAGAGGATGATTCGGTTTGATCAAAAACCTAAAAAAACTATCAGAGCAAAGCAGCAGCTCTGGGCTGCATGTTGGACTCACCACAAACACCAGCTTTCCTACGTTGTTCCAGGGGAAGTCGTACAACAGCTGCCTCACAGAGCCGACGTTCTGCAATTCAAATAAGAATAATTAAAATTTTTTATCCCCTTGGAAAAATTCCCCTCTGCATCTGACCCATTCCTAAGGGGCAGCAGGCGGCCGTTTTTATAACTTCCAGGGCTCAGTATCGTGCCCGGGGTTAGGGTTGTGGCCTGTGACTGACCCGCTCCTCTGGTTCAGTCACGGCTGCCGGTCGAGAAGACTGTTTTCTAGAAGGCAGACAGTTGCTTGAAAAAGACTGTCCTACTGTATTTAACCACATGCTAAAGTAGGACAGTGCGTGTGTCAACAAACTCACGTTAGAAATCCTCCTGAATCCACGTGAATAACTTTACCAAAACTCTGTGGCTGGGACTCGATTCATGACTTATTAAAAATCCCAACGAATGTTGTTAGTGTGCTTTTAACCAAGGCAGGAACATCTAAGAGAAGGACGTTCCTCACTGATGAAAGGGATTTGCTTAGAAACAAACTGCCACATTTCTAAACATTTATTTTAGCATCTTGTGAGTCTCTGTGTTGTGATGCAGCCATCTTTAGTTTATTCTGTTTAACAATAAATGTCTACACAATCAGTGAGTCCATTTGTCGTTTCAAAGTAAGGTCTGGAAAAATAAAGAAAAAGACTGAGGTGACAGGAAAACGTGATTGGAGCTAAAATTACTTCCTGTGGGACTAAAAGTACAAATGAACTGGTGGGTGGGCAAAAATAAACAAACCCGGTCAGTGGGGCTTTTATTGATGCAAATACAGGGTATCTGCAGGTTTATGGGAGCCAAATTTAATACTTTTTAAGGGCTTTTTAAGGCCACTTTGACCAAATTTAAGCTTTTTTTTTTTTATTAAATTTAAGCTATAATTTCCAGCTAGGGCTGCACAGTGGTGCAGTGGTTAGAGCTGTTGCCTTGCAGCAAGACGGTCCTGGGTTCGCTTCTCGGCCTGGGATCTTTCTGCATGGAGCTTGCATGTTCTCCCTGTGCATGCGTGGGTTCTCCGGGTACTCCGGCTTCCTCCCACCATCCAAAAACATGACTGTTAGGTTGATCGGTCTGTCTAAACTGTCCTCAGGTGTGTGTGTGTGTGTGTGTGTGTGTGTGTGTGTGTGTGTTTGTGTGTGTGTGTGCATGATTGTTTGTCCTGTGTGTCTCTGTGTTGCCCTGCGATGGACTGGCTCTCTGTCCAGGGTGTACCCCGCCTGATTGCCCATTGACCGCTGGAGATAGGCACCAGCCCCCCCGCGACCCTACATGGACAAGTGGGCTCAGACAATGGATGGATGGAATTTCCAGCTATTGCCTGGAAACGGTGCTAACCAGGTCGCGAACATGGGATTAGCCATCCAGTTACCATTAAACTTGCACTTCCCCATGGCGCAAGCTCCCACCTGCTTAACCAGTTAATGTGATCATCTAAAAATAGCCACATTTCACAACCAACTGAATGTGTACGGTTCCACTTACGCCAATATCATACACAAAAAATGCTGAACACTAACTAGAAATTCACAAAAATTTTATAGAAATAAAAGAATCTTGTTTATTGGGTCTTTCGTCATTTAAGACCTTTGGAAACTGGATTTAAGGATTATTTGTCATTTTTAAGGATTTTTAAAGCCTTAAATTTGGAAAAGCAAATTTAAGACCCGCGGATACCCTGAAATATCATAAAACTGTGTTTAAACGGCCTAACCCCGGCTTTCCACGGGAGCCGTCAGCAGCACGTTACTGCAGCAGCACGTCATAGCTGCCGATAGGAACCGCTGTGGTCAACAGAACCTTTTCCACTGGAGCCGTCAGCAGCGCGAGTCGGCCGCGTCTCAGGAGCAGCATGTCGCGGCCTTTACGCGCCGGTTCTATTTTCTACGCGCGACGCCTCTGAAACGGGTCAAGTTCGACATTTTTGGGGAAGGAAAGACAGGAAATCGCACGCGGAAATGGAGAGAAGCTACAGAGATTTTCAGAATAAAGAACGTGCTGCCTTCCGGTTGCTTTACTTTTAAAAAAGGTTACTAACTGTGCGTCCCCGTGAGAAGTTATCACCTAGCTAGCGGTCTCCTTTGTTTTTCAGGTCCGTATTGGCGATTATAAAACGGACAGAACATAAAACACAAACCATGTTGTAATTTTCTCCTGCTTGTTGTTGTGTTTACTGACGAAGTCATTTGTGTGACTTCGTGCTCGGTCGGTGACAGCTGCTCCCCCGCTGCTTCGCGTCTCGTGGGAAGGGCCAAGCAGCAGCTTACGCGAGCAAGACGTGCTGCTGCAGTAACGTGCTGCTGACGGCTCCCGTGGAAACCCGGGGTAAAACAAGGCCCTGGCTGCTGAGGAAAGATTGGTACCTGAAATATTTGGATTCCACGTAAAGTCAGTCCCAGAGTTAGAGATGCCTCCACTTCTTTTTTGTCCTGTTGAAGAAAACAGATGAAATCAGATGAGTCAGCAATCAAATCAGAAGAGCAGCCTTAACGTTAAATATAAACTTCATGTTAAAACAAAACCAAACTGACAGGTCAGATGTCTCACCTTGTAGAGTCTGTAGTAGTGGACTGTGACATCATCAAGCTGAGCACACTCTTTAATGAACTTCAGGTGAGCCTCTGAAGCCGTGAGAGCGAACTGGTCTTTGTGCATGTTGGGGATATGCCTCAGGATGTATTCACGGCCACGCTTAGCAACCACCTGAGGGGGAGACAGAGGGAGACTTTAGACCCCACCGCCATTTAGACTCATTACAGACTGAACAGGGAGGTTAATGAAGCTCCCTGCTGCAGAGCAGACAGATGTCGGGGCAGACAGCCTGAACGTGAGCCACCGTCACTGGGAGCACACCCGCTGTGTGTTGAGGGTGGCTTTTGGCTAATCTTTCTAGACGCAGACTAAATCTGAGGGAGATTTACTACACTGAAGTGTACATTGTTTACTTTTGAACAATTTCCTGTAACTTCTGGTTTCTACTGTGATAAAGCAGAAGGAGGCTTATCACAGGAAGTAGAGGGCAATCAGAAGGGTGTGGCTGTCCGAGGGATGAAGGCAGTGAGATGATGAAACACCAGCTGAGCCAAAGACAAAAGAAAACACAAACACTTTGTTTTCTACTTTCAAGGACATAAATAAACCTGGCGTCCCAGTTCTCATTAACACAATCCTCAACTTTGCTAGTGCTGCAGACGCACACAGGCTGAAGGTCAGGACTAAAACTGTACTTTCAGCTTTCCTATCTGACATAGCTTGAACTTGGAACAACACAAGAACGTTCAGTTTCATAGATGAATTACCCGTCTGGGGCTTTGACACATTATCAAACCTACTCAACCTTTGCTGTAGCATTTCAGCATCTGAGCCTTTAGCAGAAGTTATGGTGTGTCACATGTGTCAGATGCACTCACCCATTGGGGGAAGTAGGCTTCAGGTTCAAAGTACTTCCCAAAGTGCTTGTTGCGTTTGAAGTTACCAAGGTCAGCTTGAAGGGCGAAGGCTGCTAGGAGGAAGTAGGCCTCCTCTCTTTGGATGCACTGAGACAGCAGCACCTGTTTCCTCAGGTGCCAGTAGTAGTAGTACCTGGCTACCCGGTCGCTGTGGTGTGGGAACACAGAGAGCAGATTTAAACAGCTTTAAGGATAAACGTAGCTTTACTCACTGATGTTGGCACATGAATTTAGCATTACTTGGGTTTGTTCTAAAACAGTGGAGGAGATTTACTGACCTGATCAACCTCCCGTTTTCTACATAATACTGAGCTCTGAAGTGAATGATCATCGGAGGCCCAAACTGATCGATACCCTGGAAAACACGCAAATGATTTTACTACAAACAACAAAACTCGCATGAAACGTGTTGGGAGGGAGAGGAATACTCTGATCTCATTTAGACGATGTTTAGTCACACATAACGTGTTAGTCCTTTGAAAAACCCAGTAATAAAATGTAATTCTGCAGGCTATTCTCACCTTGCTGGCTTCTCTCTTCCATTCTTTGGGGCAGTATTTAGACAGCTTCTGGTCCAACTCCATGTAGATGTGCTCATTATCTGTAGAACAAGGACAGATTTCACTCATTCATTCATACGGACATCAGCTGGGTCCTTAAGACTAGATATGTGAACGTCTTTATTTGTTTATGTGCACAGGGAAATCTTGTACTTAAATACAACCTCAGAGAAATCCCATTAAACCGCCTCAGCACTGAGCCTCTGGTACGCCTGACTTCTTTACTTCTCTCTGTAATGTCTTAATCTGCCCCCGGAGGGACGCCTTTTATGGGCTGCAGCCTGCTGATCTGACAACCCAGTTTCTACAAAGCAGCTGAATTCAAAGGCTCCTAGCAGGAGCCTGCAAACCCTAACCCACATGGACTGAGCTCCTCCTGAAATACGATGCATATTTTTGATGTCTACCAAAGTTAAAGTGTAACTGTAGCAAATCCTTATATATTAAACACAATCGTGTCTAAAGCTGGTTCTAGGTTAGCTATGTTGTCACTGGGAGGGACAGCGGGTGACATGAAGGTGGGTGGCCTGTTTGCCATGGAGATTTTACGCTCTCTAGACAAGCACTCCAAGAATGTCCCACAATCAGACCTATTGGCTCCTGCCCAACTGACCCCTCTGCTCCACCACTGGCTAATCTGGAGGCAGGCTGAGTAAAAACACAGCGTTTGCAGTTCATTCTCCTCTTGCAGCTGCCTGCACCCATCACCACTTGTCTCCTCGTCGTAGCACAAGCTAGGTGACTCATCCACAGGAACTGCTAGCAGAGGCTCGTCAGTGTCAATAGCAGCTTAAACTTCACCACACAATAACAGGCAGCCATGATAAGGAGGCCCCCGTTTTCAGAGTCCAATGTGACAGATTGGTGTTACAAGCTACATTTATGGCTGTTTCTCAGCCCAGTTGTCAGTCTGAGTAAAGCTACTGTCTGGTTATAAATGTGTTTAAAATACCCAAATACATTGAGAGTTGCTGTGCATTCATTATCAATACCCAGCTGCATTTTGCAATAGCTGTATTGAGAATGCTGGTATAGAAAAAGTGCATGAAAGAGTTGACACTGCTGCTGGCTTTGTGATGACGCAACAGAAATCTGGGGAGGAAAGTTAAAACACTTCATTTGCTTCATTCATCTTCTGTAACTGCTTTGTCCTGCAAGAGCTATGAGGAGCTGGTGTCTCTTAAGCAGTCACTGGCTGAGAGACAGGGGACACCCCGGGTAGCTCACCAGTCCATCACAGGCCAAAACGAGTACATTTCAGCTAAAAAGAGACATTTTCATCAGGATAAAACCAATCACAGGATTACCAGGAGGCTTAAGTTCTGCCCATTCTTTTAAAATTGTGTGCTTAACTTGTTTTTGTTCATGGTGGGTAATGGCCTGTTTATGTGGACCCACTTTCTACATTTGTATACCGCTAAGTCACAGTTTGTAACTGTGTGGAACAAAATAAAACAAGTAGATTTTCTAAGTAAGTGTGTGAAATGAAGCAAAGTCTCACTCTGAATGATGCTGAGTCCAAAAAGGTGACAGTCCTTTAGTCTGAGGAGGTCACACACTTGGACCAAAAGTTCCTGGCACAAGGTTTTCACCTAAGGAGAAGAATTCAGGAAGTTTTTAGCTTTATTTAAAAAAACAAACAAACATCAACAACCACATACAAAGAAAATCAGTTATTTCATGCGGTTCATTTTCTAACTAACCCAAACCCAGAAAACTATTTAGTTTACAGTGTAAATATCTGATTTTTTGGTGAGAACTTTGACTCTTTGTAGAAGACAACTGCCTACTCACGTTGATGATGATATTGAGAGTGTCATCATTGGGCAAAAAGACACAAACACAGCGGCGGTCCTGCATGGTTTTGTTGTTGTGGAAGTTCAGTTTGTTCATCTTCGTGTGGCCAGGACAATGCAGGTCTCTTGTGCCTGCTGTTGAGGTTCCTGGGCCCTGTGACGACCCACCTCCACCACTGTCCAGGACCTGCAGTCCAGTTTCAGCTGCAGCCCGGCACAGACTCAGCTGTAGGCTCAGCAGGCCAAGCAGCACTGGCAGAAGAGGGCATGAGGACCGCAACTGCAGGCACCCACTGTGGAGACACATTGCAAAGAACAAAGGGATCAATGTAAACAAATGTATGCTAATAAACTAAAATGATATCCTCGGCTGTTTGAGAAGCAATGACGTACGTAGCTTTTCCAACAAGAGTAAGAGTTAAATGCTTTTAAAAATCTGCACTAGAAATATGTGCTAGGATCTAAAAATGTGTTTCATAATTTCAGAAGGACTTGAGAGGAACACATGAACATATGTTTGGAAAGGAATTCAGAAAATGCAAAAACATGCACTGGGACTGTATGCCCCCCAGTCACAGCAGAGTAGCTATCTCCGTGTGAGTGTCTTGGTTTATTTTTCCTGTCATTCTGACACAGCAGAAAAAAGAAATAAATGTAAACATATAGTTTTGATTTTGTTTATTCAACACAGAAATGGCCCATCATTGACATTTCAAAGTATGCGTCGTAAACCCGTTTGCCATTCATGCACCTCCAGTCGCCCTGCTGCCACAGAAACAATTTCACACGTTTAAGAAACAGACAGATCTTTTACTTATTCTGTTATTCTGAAGCAGACACTCATGAGGTAGAGTGCTTCTTGTCTGTTTGTGAGCTGCAACACTATACAACATTTGAACTTACACTGTTTGCTTTAATGTTTGAAAACAGAGTGCTATTCAGCAAACACAAACACCTTCAGCTATGCAGCTGCTGCTACTCAGGTTGAGCTGCATTCACGGACGTGTGAGACCATCAGAAGGTGAGAAAAGTCTCAGACCAGACAAAAGAATGCTAAGGAACTATCAGCTCAGATGATCACTTCCTCCTGTTGAAAGTTGGTCACCCTGAAGTCATGTTGACAGTGAAAACCGATAGGATACTAGCTGGGATCACATTAAAGGTGAAAAACAAGTGTTAAAAGATGTGGGTTTATCTGTGGCATGTGGCTGTTCCTCAGCTGAGAAAGCTTTTCTATTCAGTCATATAATGTAACAATGTAGGAAATGAGAATTGATTTTAAAGGCCAAGTTCACTAAGCAACTGTTTTTACTTGTTTTTGAAATCTGATCACTCAATCTGACTTTAATGTGCAAGCTAAATGTGAAAATAGTCTTCTACCTCTAATTCCTGCATTAGCTGCTGATTGGACATAATGATAAATGATGACCCGCACTTGTGTAGAGCCTTTCTGAGTGAGAGGACTCCAAAGTGCTTTAACAGTGAATCATTCACCTATTCCCACACTAGTGATGATGAGCTACACTGTAGCCACAGAGGCCCTGGAAAACACGGACAGAGGTCAAAAACAGACAAAGAAATTTTCAGATTAGAAAAGCCTGACATTTACACATCATAATGTCAGGTTAGCATTGATGGATAAGCAAACAAAGTCAGTGGTAAAGTCATGCTGCCATCAGCCAATCAGAGGTGAGATGTCCAAATAGGAGGAAATAAGATCCTGCCGTCTGAAGCTCAACTGATCAGGATCAATTTCTAGTTCTTGATACAGGAGAGTCACAGCTTTTTTCCCACAGATATCGACCAACAAGGCACTATTTGTACTTGACCAGTGTAAAGGTGTTGAAAAAACAAATGAACTTTGTCTTCAAAAGATGAGACAATAACCAGCAAAAGCTTTACTAATGCATGAAGCTGCAAAAAATTGTCATAACAATAGCTGGATTCTAACTTCAGCTGCAACTTCAGATTATTATAATTTTTTTATAAACTAAAACATTCTGTTGAAATATAACAATGCTTTGTTTCTGCAAAGAAGAGAAACATTGTGGGCCAGGTGGTCATTAATCCTTGTACTGTTGACATAAACCATGCGGTCTTATTACAGCTGGTCATTTGATGCACAGCGTGGCAGGGAACCAGCCACTCAGGAGTCTGCTGACAAATCATGAATCTCTGCATTGCTGACAGTAACAACACACGTAATTTCTGCACACAACCGTAAACATGTGCACATTACGCCAAAATCAGCCTGAGCATGAATATTAGAAGCATTCAAAAGCATGCACACTGACTCTCCTCCCATCAACATTTGTCAGGTGTTTCTACAGAGCACATAAACTGGTGGAAGTGGGACTAATCAGAAGTAATCCTCTAATGGGATCACTTCCTTCCATCACACATTGTAATTCCAGAAAGATAAAGTGATGGAAGTAATCCAAAGATCCTCACTGGCAAACAAAGCATTAGGTGATCCTTTATTCTCTGTTGATAACACTCAGCAAAACTAAGCATCTGCAATCTGACAGACATTTGATCCAGTTTTAATGTTAATAATAATGCAAAATAAATTTGAATTATGACATTTTAGAAGCTGGTTTTTGCCAGAACAATGCAATAATTAGATTATGCTAAACAATTGAAATTGTCATGGTCTGTGTCTGCGTTATCCTCATGTGTCTCCTGGTGTTCCCCATTTGCCCTCTAGGTTTCCCTCCTCAGACTTCCCTCTCCCAGGTCCTGTGCTCTCTTGGCCCCCTCTTAGCCAGACCCCTGTAGTTTCTTTCTGTAGTGTTTTCCTTTAGTGTCAGCTTCCCCTTAGAATATTAGTTATGGTTCATGCCTTCCGGTCTTTTGTTTTTCTCTTAGATCATTGTCTTTTGTTACAGCCTTTCATAATTTAGTGTGTTTTTTCCCACCAGCGTTTTCTTCCTCCTCCCTGAGTTAGTAATTGTGTTCACCTGGTCCCTCTCCCCACACACCTGCAATTCAACTCCCTCTCATCTTCCCAGTCTATATAAGCCCTGTCTTGTCTCTGTGTGGTTGTCGGTCCATTGTATTTCTCTCAGCATTTGTTCGTGCTCTGTCTGAGCTTTTCGTCTCTAGGTCTTCGTGCTCTTAGTGAACTTCTTGTCTCTAGGTTTTTTGGTGCAGAGAGCTTTGGGTGTCCTGTGCTCCAGGACTTTTGGACTTTGGCCTTGGATTTATTTTTGTTCTTTTATCCTGCAAATAAAAGGATTTTTACTTTGAACCAACTTCTGCCTCTTGTCATCTGGGTAATCTGCATATTTGGATCCTAAACATCCCCACAACGTGACAAATCTCCCCAGAAGACATGTGATCAAATCATTTAATATGTTTAACTGAGAGCTGAACTGCACTGTCTTAAGAAATTTTTATAGATTTTCATTTAAAGACTATTTAATGTTCAAAACTTATTTAAAAAGACACAAAACCTTTCAAGTAAGTGTGCTGTATTATGAAATTTTTTCCAAACAATGCAACACAAAAATTCTCATAAAATGAATAAAGTTGAACATATTTTAAATTAAATATGAGCTAAATGTGATCAAACACAATTTTCTAAATGGTTTTGAACTGAAGCAAAAAGTGCAAAAACAGAAATAAAAATTCTTTCTGCTTTCCTGATACATTTAATCGTTGTTCATGTTTTACTTTTGCTCATAGAAGTAAAGTTTTGCTTCACTAGTGAATAACTGCAGGTAAAGTGATGCTTTGCTGCATTTTATTGTTGAGAATATTAAAATAAAGTTGGAGGTATATCCTTTTTCTCTGCCTCTCGATCAGTTGATCTGAGAGTTTGACAGCTGTGCGAAGCACGGAGCAAGAGAGGGACTTCAGATCATGCTTTATTACTAAATGGGATAATCAGCTGAAACTGTTGAGGGAAATTTGTGAAAGTTAAATCACAGGAGATGTCCAGAAAGTTTGGAAGCCTTATCATGTGATAAAAAATGAACAGCATTTAATTTACGTTAACAAGCCATTACTGCAGATAGGACTTTACTGTCGCCCTGAATATTTTACTGAGGATGTTTTTCTGCTCAACATCAGGCTCCTTAAACCCAAACCAGGTCTGTATAACCAAAGTTACCCCACAGTTTTACAAGCATGTCTTCATCAAACCGCTCCAGCTGCAGGCACTGTGTTCAAAGTTGACAGAAATGGGCATTCAATGTTGGGGTAACCGCAGCAATCAATCTGCACATCCACAAAAATGCTAATTCTCAGTTACATCCTACAGAACAGGGCTGTACGTTAACATTTTTAGCTTATAGCACTGGTGCTACGAAGGTCATAGGGTTTGTAGCACAGAATAAAAAGTTGTAGCACCAGCATAAAACAATTGTTACAATCTCTAAAAACCAAAAGTAGTTTTTACAATTACACAAACATCAGTAGTGCATATAATTAAAACACAATTACAACCACCAAAGCTAATTCCTGGTAATGCTAGTCTCACTCACGTACTTGACAATAAAGTTGATTCTGAAATATCTCCAGACATTATTGTTAGTGTAATTTAAAAAAATAAACATTTTATTCTAATTAGTGTAGATTTGTTCATTACAGAGGTCCATTGTCAACGACATAGACATAGAAGAATAGACACCATGCCGATCGCTACAGTGTATGATAGTTGCATTGTCGTGGTCTACTTTTATAAACGTTATGGGTAACAGCATATTCGTGGAGATCTGGAGCTCTCAAACTGTGAGAGAGAGCCAATTATAAACACACGCCAGAATGAGAGCTCACTTAATTATTCATCAGACAAAAATGCGAGTTTGGTTTACACCCCCCCCCCCCCCCCCAAAAAAAAAAACCAACAAGTTCACGAATGATCGTTCAATCAACTTGTTCAGGCACAACACCACCGTGTTGTATTTATAAACTTTTCCCTTCACAGATGTACCTTAGTTTGTTGCAGGTTGTGTTTTTGTTTCCTCTTCTTCGTTTGTTTTTCTGTTCTGGTAGGCTGCAGCTATTGACTATTTTAGTATTTGAATATTTTATTGAATCTTCCAATTAATCAAATATCCCATTTGACAATGTTTCAAGTGAAAAGAGACTGTGGTCTGCTGCTTAAAATATTAAATAAAACAACAAAATTATGAAGCTGAAATGTCAGACTCTTGTTATAAAAGGCTCAATAGGGAGCCTAAAGCCGGATTCATGCTTAAAGGGGCATTATGGAAGTTTGACAGCCAAAACATGTATAGAAATAATACATTTCTTCTTCATACATTCTCCTGCAATGCCCTGGTCCTGT